TATGGTTCGATTTATTAAATCAGAGGGAATATTTACTGTTTCTCTTGTGTAGTATTACTGACTATAGTTTTTACCATCAACTTCCTTATCGTATATAGGAACTATTTATACATACATGTATAACAAGTACATATAATACATGTATAGTAGAAACTAGACTTAAGTTTCCAACCAACTGGACCGAACATATGATATACTAAGGAAATATGCGATATCTACATCATAAAATTAATTTTTAAGAATTCATTGTTAAAGAATTTTATAAGAATGATCTTTCAATAATACAACTAATTGTTAAGAAATCAATGTACGAACTTTAACGCAACAATAAGGAGAACTATATCTAATATATAATAATATTGTTAGTATCTAATTTCAATTGAAATCTTTGCAATATTGTTTCTTGAATATTGCCAAGGATATATGCTTGCTAATTCTAGTCAAAACATGCATAAATTAATGTGAGAAAATTAATAAATTATTACAGAAAGCAAATGCTAATAATGTCATAAATATTCGAATTTCCAGAACTTGCAAATAACAAAAAAGAAAGAATACTGCCAATGGACCATACTATAGTATTAAACTGTAGAACACTTACCTTTGTCTGGCATTAAACCGTGTCTGGATTCCGATACTCCTTTCGTAGTTTAATTGTCTGTTATTCTGTCACGATCCTAACACAACACTCATCTTTCCGAGACTCATTTTGTTACACTCAGTATTCTATCTGCAACATAGCAAACAGTTCTATCAAATAATCGTTCAATTTGTACCAAGAAGGGGCAAAGTAAAATAACTACCAATACTTTGGCAAAAACTTTACCTTTAGAATCATAGTAATCGCATTTTCAGCTGACGTACTGAATCCAATTGCTAAAATTCATCTTCTCCTCCTTGTAAAAGGAAAATGCAAATACGGTATCGGTGCCGGTGTCAGTTCTGGTATCGTGCACGCAACTCTGTAAAAGAACCAGAAAATATCGTTGGCAGTTTGTTATTTTCCAAAAATAACACAAACGAACGCACGGACAAACTAATTATACCTATAATATCGAATGCAACCGATTTATTCAAGGCGATTCGCTTTGATATTTATTGCGTCTTCTGCCCTTCCTAAATTTCAAACGCACCACGCTAACGTTCCTCGTTTACAATTTCCGTTAACATTCCAACCGCAAGATGGTGTCGTTAGACATTCTTAAAATTCCAAGTGCGTATTTTAATTTCGTTCTCAAAAGAAACGTAGTTTTTGATCCCTAAATTGTTCTATTGTGTTCTAAATGGAAAAGGGAAGGATGGATTCTCTCGTTCTTTTACCCAGGTTCTTTTTTTTGAGCCTTTAGTTTCTAATATTCTAGTTTATTTATTTCACGTTTCTAGGATCCTACATCATCCAAGTCCTTTTCTTTCTTTGGTGATTAACGCAAAATGAATCTTTGATAATTAATATTATTTAATATAAATTAGTTAAAGTAATTTCTAAACTTGTCATACGCGTGGAAAAAAAATGAAGGAAATAAAAATTCTGTCAGAGTCAGATACTCACAGACGATATGTCCCTAGCCTTGGGGGAAAACTTTAGGATACGATCATTCAGTTGCTTTATGAATAAAGATATATCAACATGATACGTGGTAAATATATGTATAAAACCACATGAAAATGACACACATTCAATGGCAGCATAGATGCCAGAAAAGCACCGCCCGGTGCACACGTACACATGCCAGATACGCGTACGTGAGCTCGTGGAGTTTCGGAAAGTCGACAAAGGCAAACTGACGCATGCCCTCTTTCTCGATTCTCCGAAGCTGCCCGAAGTAATTTCGGATCGCCTCGTGGGAGTCGAGAGAGAAAGGCTCACATTTGCCTTCTCGCTCTTAACAACTGAAATCCGACCTCCCGTCAACGGCATACGATTTGGATTCTCGAGCCGAGATTCTCGACTGCCCAGGCATTTTTACTTTCCGACCTATGTAGGCGCACATAAGCAAGTACCCATAATGAAAAAAAAATTTTGTAAAATTTATTTTACGGAAATACACGTTTTAAGACCTCCTGATCATATTTTAATTATTGAAAAAAAAGACATTTTTTTTTATTCCCATGTATGAGCACACATATGTATATTATTAATACGATTTTTGAAAATCAAAATACTTTAAGATTGAAAATTAATAAATTAAAATGAGATTCCACTCTTTACCAGTATTGTGCACGCTGTGGTATTTTTCAATAAGAAGAGTTCTTACTTTTATAACATAAACAAAACAGTAGAATTAATAATTGCAGAAATTAATTAATAATGATTTTCCTCGATTGTTTTGAAATAACCGTATCAATTGGTTATGACGAACTAAATAGAACTAACTAGAAACAAAGGAAAAGTGATCCCGTTTGCCAGTTTAATACAAAGTATGGGTTGTATCTTAAATTTTAAAAGGACATAGTCGAATATTTTTAAAGGTACAAAACATAGCGTTTCATTGTAGAACAGTAACATAAGTTAGCAGGTAATGTCATAAAACTGTTTTTCCCAGCTATATCCCTTTTTACCTGAAGTATAAGGTAAAAAGTACGAGCTACAAGGTACGACTATCCGAAAATCGTTCACATTTTATCAATGTAAATGAAGCGGCCTTTCCATCAGAGTTAGATACAAAATTTTGTTATTTCTGTGAAAACAAAACTTTCAGTAAATGTACGTGGTGCTTGAAATTTTTATGTTTTGACTGTATTTGTGAAAAGTACCATCCAGATTCATGTACTTCGTACATTGAAAATAACATATGTTAAATGTAATCGGTTAAATTTAACTTTAAAAAAAAATATTCGAAGGTCAGACAAAAATATAATGTCATATTTAGTGTACGATTAAAGTATGATTGAAAAAATAAAAAAAAAAAGTTCAAGCAGGGTTCGAACCAGCAGAGCAGAAGAAGTTCGGAACTTGCAGGCAAAGACCTCATCACTCACGCCACGCTGATTAGTGGTGAACATAGTTCTATTTCTAAAAATAAGTACCTGTAATAACTTTAATAATATCTCAAAGTAAAACCTAACCCAAAACCTGGTACCATTCCAACTTTTCCTTGTTAGAAACGAGTTAGAAAATCGTAATCACATTTTGCACATTATTCTAAAACATTTGTGGTATTCGTTTTCAATGCGATTTAAGTAAGCATGTAATGTATAAGATTTCATTTAATGTTTTCTTTTCTAGAGAAGATAGAGAAAAAGTGTATATAATTTTTTTTATATAAAAATTAATTCGTCCTAAGATTTATATGAAACATTTAAAAGATTTTTTATACATTATGCCTATATATCGGAACAACTATGAAACAAGAGGTATAATCTGTAAGGAGTGTATGTGTGTGGCTAGGAACCGTTATCGTTTGCGTCGATAGGAGTGTTTAGTCTAAGCTAGAGTAGGTATCGAGTGAGGTGTTTAGGTTTAAGCTGAAATACGTTTTAGAGACTGCGTCTCGAACGTGCGTTTTGTTTAGATCATTATTATAAGATAGGAATAAGGAAGGGTCGACTTTGACTGCAGGAACGTCACTCTGTATCGAACGTTAGTCGAGAGCAATCACAGTTTTACGTTTATGATCTTTTACGTTTACGTTTTATGTCTTTCTTTTATGTTCTTTATGTTAAATAGTTAGTAAATATTAAATAATATAATTACATCGTTACGTTTAGTGTTCACGTATTTGAATCCGTCCACACGCCTTTGAAATGAGAACATAAAACTTAAAAGTAAAGTTTCATTTAAATTCATTCAGCTATTTATATTCAATCGTATTAATAATACATATACATATGTGTGCTCATACATGGGAATAAAAAAAAATGTCTTTTTTTTCAATAATTAAAATATGATCAGGAGGTCTTAAAACGTGTATTTCCGTAAAATAAATTTTACAAAATTTTTTTTTCATTATGGGTACTTTGCTTATGTGCGCCTACATAGGTCGGAAAGTAAAAATGCCTGGGCAGTCGAGAATCTCGGCTCGAGAATCCAAATCGTATGCCGTTGACGGGAGGTCGGATTTCAGTTGTTTACTTCGGGCAGTTTCGGAGAATCGAGAAAGAGGGCATGCGTCAGTTTGCCTTTGTCGACTTTCCGAAACTCCACGAGCTCACGTACGCGTATCTGGCATGTGTGCGTGTGCACCCGGCGGTGCTTTTCTGGCATCTCTGAATGGCAGTAAACAAATTTTGACAATTGCAAAAAACGTAGTTACATCTTAAAATTCATTGAAACGTATTTAGTCGATTTATTACAATCGTGTCAATAGCATATATATATTTCATATAAAGTTAAGCACAACGTGTAAATAAAAAAAAAAAACAGTAGAATTGGTGGTGTCGATCAGACACTAGAGCAGAAATAACGTCGTAAGGTACAAACCTGTGATTAAATTATGGACTTTTAAACGGTCAAATCCATCAATTCCACTTTTCTTTTTTTCCTTGCCTATGCTTACACTACTATATAAATACAAACATTTTATAAATATATGAATATATATCATAATATTCATTAGATTAAAACCAAAAATTAAAAAATTTCATTTTCATACGATTACGGTTTCTGAATGCCAGCAGTCTGCTTCTTTCAAACAAGCTCTCGGTTCCTATCTTTTTACTGTAACCTATTTTGTGTCAAAGCACTTTTAAAGTTTCGTTGATTACAGTGGGGGATCACTCCAGTTAGAATACTGATAAACTAACAACGAACAGAATTTGGCAACTTTACAATAGAAATTTGCACATACATTTGTAACGCGAATTTCTGCCTTTAGTTGCACAAACGTAAAAAAAAAATAAAATCTTTGACATCGCTGACTGGATCTGGTCATTGTCGTAACGCCATCCAACGTTTCAATCGCACAACTAAAAGGTTACTAAGAAGGAGAAGGGGATGCATTTTGTGCACCATATTCCCCTCGAACGAAATAAATACCGCCGGGTGTACGCATCGTTCTATGATGCCTGGTAGACAAAACAAGACACGAGTGTACTTGACGCTGCAACAACGATACGACGTCTTACGAAAACTAGAAGATGGTTGTTCATGGTCACAACTGGCTAATTACTACAATGTCACCGATTCAACTATTCGTCGCATCAAATCGAATGAAGATCAGATACGGAAACAGTTACAGACATCAGAAATACACGATCAGAAGAAGATGCGGACACCTATATTTGATGAATTAGATGCTCGTCTACACTCGTGGTTCCTACAGCGACGAGCAACAGGCAAACTTATCACTGATATACAATTCCAACAAAAAGCGAAACAATTAAACGAAGAATTTGGCGGCCCCTCGTCGTTTTCGGCCTCCAGAGGTTGGGTATGGAGGTTTAAACGTAGACATGGGATTCGTTTGCTGAAGCTCCATGGTGAGAATATATTCTCCAACGCGAAGGGGGCGGAAGAATTTTCCCTGTGCTTTCTACGGCGACTGAAAGAGGAAAATATAGACCTACAGAATGTATATAATATGGATGAAACTGGTCTATTGTGGAAAGCTGTTTCGCAAGAATCGTTGGTCCATGCTGGAGAACAAAGATTCCCCGGAAGTAAAACAAAAAAGGATCGGGTCTCTGTAGGACTTTGCATAAATGCCACCGGAACGCACAAACTTCCGCTAATCTTTATCAACAAATATGAGAAACCGAGAGTCTTGAAACACTGCCAGAATCAATTGCCTGTTATTTTCATGGCTCAAAAAAATGGTTTTATGGATCAAAAATTATTCGCGGAATGGTTGAAAAACCATTTCGAACCGGCCGTAAAAAAACACCAACTCGAAAGGGGTACTCCCGGAAAAGTACTGTTATTACTACATCGTTGCGAAACTCACACACTTCTGCCGGATGAACAAAGACAGGACAACAGTTTTGAAATAGTATACTTTCCGTCGTTTACGACGTCCATTCTACAGCCAATGAACCAGGGAATATTTGATACGATGAAAAAATCCTATTACCATCGTATGCTGAAGAAAATTTTGGAACTTCCCGGCGGAGTGGAAGAATTTTATAAGGACTTTGACATAAAGGATTGCATTGATATACTCACCGAAACCTGGGCGGATATCTCGCCAAGTACTATCTGGAAGTCATGGGAGAAAATGTTAGGAATGGATACGTTGGAACAAGAAGCACGAGAAAACCAAGAAAATGGCTTCTTCCGCGCACCAGTCATGACTGCTATTTCAACTCCAGTAAATACAAATGTAGAGGAAATGGTTATTCAACAAGAATTAGAATCGCTTTCCACCTGCAGCGAAACCGAGGATATTTCAGATTTGGATGTCAACGAACAAGAAGGCAACGAAAAATCGTGTTCTGAACGAGGGCCGCACCTAGACGAGGAAAAAATAGATAAAATGTTTAAAAACCTACTTTTGTGGTCGAAAAATCAACCTATCTTTATTAAAATTCAGGTGCAGGCATTGCAAGATTTTTATCAACATACACGAAGATAATATAATCGATATTATAAAAACTAATAAAGCTTTTATTTATATTTACTTTGTATTCTTCATTAGGCTAATACTTAATTTGGTATCTTAATTGTCCGAAAAATATAAAATTTATAAGTATGACAAAACATTTACATAGAATTTATATTCTTGTTTCACTATACCCAATAGATTTAATATAGAATACAAGTTAGTTTTCAACATTATCTTATTAAATGATTTTCTTTCATTTCATTAAATGGGATACTGAAAATGTATATATGCTTTTTTTTACTTTAAATTTTATTTGTGTATAGTCGTATATCATTTTCTCCAAAGCTGAAACAATTGTCTCACCATATTTCTTAGTTACTTTATTTATTATATACCTTTAGACAGAAAGATAGTATGCAATAATGTTTGAAAATAATTTTTATTACCCTTCCTATTTCATAATGTATTATTATATTTAAGGATGACAAGAAGATAATACATTTATAGTCATAAAAAAAATGAAATACTGTTTCCCCTGGACAGTAGACATTACAACAAGAACCAATGGGTAGAGAACTAAAGCAGGAGGGATGTAAAGTCCTACATATATTTAACTTTACAACTGCTAACTGATAGTAGTATTTGTTGGTTCCCGTAAAAATTCTTACATCTTCGTGTATGTTGATAAAATTGGGACCAAAAAATTTAATTTTTAAACATTTTATTTATTTTCACTTCATCCAAGTGTGATCTCTTCTTGAGATATGATTTGTCATTGTATTAACAGTCACAGACAGAAGAAAATGACTTTTCAGTTGGTACAATGGAAGAGCCATTTTCCTGATCTCTACGCATTTCTTGTTCTATCATTAGTTTGCTCGGAGCCATGAAAATTATTGGTAATGGATGATAATCTTTTAAGGCCCTTGGTTTTTCATATTTATTTATGATGTCTGGTGGCAGCTTATGCATCTTGGTCATGGACACAATTCTAAAGTAAAACGATACTTTCTCAGTTCTATTCCCCAAGACTTTTGGTTGTCTTGCGCGGACTTTTTTTGGAATTGTACATCAGTAACGAGATCGTTCGTGTCTTGTCGTTTTAAGTACCACATGTGTAAACGAGACTGTACCTCATCATATACCGGAATTAGCGATTTCTTATGACTGCAAGCTTCCGATATACGTATCTTTTTCCATATCTAGACTTATAACTGATGTTACATCAGTGACGCTGTAGTCCTTTAGCCAGTTTAGTAATTGGTCAGTCATTCTCCAGTTTCAGTAAGATTTCAAACCATTACTGTAGCGTCAAAAAGATACGATACAATAAACACATCTCTTTCTTGCCAAGTTTCTAATTATTACACGACTAAAACGCTGGATGGCGTCACTGCAGCAATGCGGTCTGAGAGCGCAGAATCATTAACGAAACAGTGATGGTAGAAAAGCTGTAAAAAGATAGGTAGTATTTTTCGCACACGCAAGGCTGAAGAAAATTATGGGCATTAATATCTATCGTCCATACCCGACGAACAGATATAAGTTAGGCCATTCTTTTTCACTAAAAGCTACAACAATCCCACTCACAAACAACCGATTCTGCCGCTATTAAGTTCCACATTAAAGCGCCAAATCTTCTTGCGAAGATAATTCTTTTGCGCTTGCGCAGAGATAAAAAATGTAGGAAAACAGACTATACTGCTCGCGAGTCGACTGAGCAAGACTAGTGTTACAAACGCAGCCTCAGTACTTACGGAAATCACATTAATAATTTGAAAAGAATTCTCGAATTAATTACAATTAATCTCGTAAGTATGTAACAAAAAATACAACAATCGTTAATTCGAATTAGTGTTAACATATTGATATGCGTTACGCGTTGTTTTAAATGATTGATCAAACGATTTTGAATCTGCAGATAACGGTTACTCAAATCAATACGTCACTCAACTTGAAGAAATGCAAACGGTTATAGAGAAGATTTTTCAAATCCTCTATATAAATTCTATTTCTAAAAGAGAAATTACTATGCTGTTTACGGAAACGAACGATGATCGGTAAGACTACAATTTTTTATTAGTTGAATTCACGGACACCATTCGAATTGTTTGAAAAATAGATAATACAAATATCAAGCTTGCTTTTTTGTAATTGTGTTTCATTATGCAAAATTTGATTTGGTTTTAAATATATATTATTGTTTATCATGAGACATTATATAAATATTATAAAGTTTAATATTATTTAATATATAAAAATAGTATTCCTTTAATAAGCCATAATAAAATTGGTATATAGTAAAATTTTTATTGTTTCTAAATACAAGGTACATACTTAAAATCACCTGTTAACATACCTTTCTTTTTGAATATAACATGTACACAAAGAAATTACTAAATGTATCATTTACTTACTTGTGTTGCTGTTGTAAGTATAATCAGTAAATATATAAATTATTCTTGACATGAATTTTACATTCAAAATTAATTCCATATTTAAAGAGCAGAATAAATGGTACATTTCATTGGACCATTATAATAATAAACACTTAAGTACCATCTTGTATTTAATACAAGGTATTTAAAATAACATGTAATTTGTAAAATGGCATCGATAAAATATAATTTATAAGTACACAATATAATAATAAAAACTCAAGAAAAATACAATGCATAAAATTTAATTTTAACTATTTAATACTCTAAACCACAGCATTTGGAACCATAATATTCCAAACACACAAGTCATTAAAGCAAGATGAATATATTCGATTATTTTTTCATCTTTTCAAAGTATATAACATTTCTACAATTATTTTCAAATTTTAATTACTAATACTAAAGAAAGACTTGCTATTACTTATTGAACTGCATGGAAAGTTATTACATTTCATTTCTCGTAACAATTAAACTTGTTTTAGTTATTTATACTTAAACTACATGAATAAATATATCCATTCTATATCTAATTAAAAAATTAAAAAATGAATTAAAAGTTTATAGAAAGTTTTCAAAATTTCGTCAACGAAATTAAAACTACAAGTTATAAACTTAACCAAATCTTTGGACGTTTACATAAACAAGTATTAACTATAATGTTTTTTAGTTTATATTCTAATTTTATCATTTTAAAATATATACAAAGAAAGCGTCAGAGTTACATTCAAAAACAATTTCATTTTTCTTATAAAATCGTAAATACCTTCCATCCAACTCAATGCAACATACAATCCAATGTTATTAATAAAAACTGCAAATTTCTAGCGTTGTTATCTTAAAGTAATCCTAAAATGTCTAATACAATTGCATTTAAATTCTTAGTAATTGCTATTTTTGTGCCATATTTTCGTAAATATCAATAACATTAATCAACAACAATTACACTAATGTCTGGTCTATGATTCATATAATATATCTAGTAATAAGATAATTGAATTCATTGGTGTGTAAATGTAGATACAGTATGATGAAAGGAACGTCATACCATGACAATAAAGGTCAGTGCTTATTAAATGTTATTTTCTTTGGTGATTAAAATAAATAATTGATTGAGATACTTAAAAAACTATAATTGATTATAGAAACTAATTTAAAACAAAGACTTGAAAACTAACACAGACTACTTTAGGAATAAGGTGTTAAATTCAAGTAGGGAAGAATTGCTGTTAACATTCCGAATGATCACAGAAGTGTAGTAAAAACACTACTTAACTATTCCACTAAACAATTCAATAATGATTTACGACTACTCTTACATGTTAGATCGAAGATCTTCAAAATATAACTAAAAAATAGTACTGAACGAACGAAATACAACACAGTTGTAAATTTAATTATTATTGGCAAAATTCTTTCGAAATTCTTATATTCACATTAAACAACAATAAAGTCTTAGTACTTGTACTGTTATAAAAGAATTTTTAGTTCTAGACAAAAGTTAATGTATTCAAAGCATGAATAAATCGAAACATATACATGTAAATTAAAGAATTTTTAAAAATTCTATAGATGTCTTATTCTAATTAGGGTCAAATTTTATTTTTAAAAACAATATTCACCAAAAATACTACCAGAGCATTGACTATGGCATACTGTGGTATACATTTACACAGAGCCAGTTTTGTAACTGAGAATCACGTAACAGCTTAGATATACTCTTATTACCAACCCACTGTAGATGGAACATGAGAACTCACCGTAAAATCTTTATATTGAGAAAAAACACAGATCTGAAAAGTGTTTGAAATAAGATAAAGAAATTCGAAACCATACTGTTCGAACTAACCTTATCTTTTAACCGCTGGCAAAGCTGTAATGCTATAGTGAGCAATACTAAAGCATCGTTTAACCAGGGTACACTGCATTCTGCTTGTTGGGTTTCATATTTTACACTACCATGCGCATTTTCTAGTTGATACACTGCTAGAACCAACTTGTAACTTTGAATGTAAAAACTAATAGCCAAATTTTCTGGAAGATTTGGATTCAAAGACTTCTGCGAACAAAATTTTGTATTTCAGTTGCTTACGCGTATAAAGTAAAGAATTTAACACATCAACCGAATAACTTTCATGATTTTTGAAGACAAAAAATAATGTTCGATCCCTATCAGAAATGCTCTACCCCAAAGATTTATTTATTTATTTGTGGAATATACAGTAGTGCCCACTTAAGTGACCGCACTTTTGCCCACTTAAATGTCCGCGATTATCCTCACCAATTCTTGAAAGCCAAGCGGCTTCGAACATCGAGCGTGTCGTGCGTAACTTGACGCCGGTCGTTATCGATACATTGTATATATGATTTCGAGTGCCAGCTATTGTATCTCATTCGCACTTATCCACTTTCCTTATCACCGTTAAATTCTGAGAAGTAACCATGCCCACTTAAACGACCACGGCCGGTCCCGAGTGCGGACACTTAAGTGAGCACTACTGTATTTATATTTTTTAAATGGCTAAGAAATGTTTGCTTACCATATTACGGCTTTTAATTAGATCATCAATGGTTTTCTTCCTAGGAACAATTAAACTTGTTCGACTACGTTGAAGACAACCTAATATGTTTCCTAATATGTGCATAACTTCATCAGATGTTTTAAAAGGATAATGATGATCAACATTGTCTATATGAGCAATAGCTTGTTGTAAGTGATTAGCAGCATCCTGTATTTGCTGTAATTTCCAAGGATGCTCATTTTGTATGCTTGTTCTCATATTAACATTTTGTTGTCGTTGAACTTTAAAGTTTACATCCTGTAAACATTTTTTTATTAGCCAATTATGTAATTACAAATTGAAGAAATTATTAGTACATACAGCGCTTGTAATGCTATCACCAGTTAAAACAGCTATGCATTTCACTTGGTCATGTGGGGCAGCAAATATAAATCTGTCTGTCTTATTATGTTGATCATTGCCAAATAATGCTAATGGAAATCTTTGTGCACATTCCTATAGTATTATATAAAAAACAGTAATATTTTTTTATTTTTTCATAACGAAGAAAAAAGTACTTTTCTACCATACCATTAAAATATTCCTCAACTGTGACAGTGAAGAATGAACTTCTTCATGAAGTACCCATTCAAATTCCATTTGCTGAAAAAATTTTTAAATTAAATAAATAAGAACCCATAACAGGAAAAAAGTGATCATGCTATTGAATAAACAATTGATTTTAATTAGGAATGACAAATTAATGTCAATGTCTTCTTCTTTCTTCTAATTTATTATATTAATATTTCTCATTCTTGTACATTGGGATTGGGTTATTTTTTATTTATTTTGTTGAGGTTTATTACCACATAAAATCTTATTTTAAAAAAATAGTGTTACACCTTATGACTTTTCCTATCACATGTGGGTATTTTTTCATTTTTATGAATGCAACTTAAAAAATAAAAGTTTTACAACTAATCTTAATAGTCAACACAAAACCTCTTCAACAAGTATGTTAATAAATAAAGTGAGAAGAATTAATAATGTATTATCTAGAAGTATGAAGAATAAAGAATAACCTCAATTTCAACATATTTGTCAAGTATCCTTACAAGTATCTGGATCACATAATTTTAAATTAACTGATATTTTACTTTATGCTTACTGACATTCTACAATTACCATTTAAAGAGATATAATGTACTATATTTATTTCTTGGCGATAGACAAGTACTTCCTATTTGATACTGTCAAATGATTAATAAGTCTTGCGTTGATTGATCATTTTCAAATAATGACTAAATTAATCTTTTTCCTGCACATCATGTACAAATATTATTTATAAATCCTCGACATAAAAACACAGAGTGAATGAAACCGTATACGTAAATAAAGAATAAATGTGACAACGACTAAAATAATACTTCATTGAAAGACAACATAACCAAGAAGAAGTTCTTTGACAAGAACAATGGGTATAAGTTTAGTTTAACGATAGATAAGGTACACTATCATTGTGGACTGCTAACTGTCGCGGTCGCCTAAGTGATTAGATAATCGGTAGGCAAAGGCAAATAGCTTACGAGATTGTGAGCCTCCTCCTTCTCGCAGTCGGCCATTTTTTTCACTCCGGGTGCTATCTGCATGTACTTCTTGTTACTTACACGACTCTACGGGTTTAATCTTAAATAGTTTCTTTCACAAATCCCTACGTTCTTTTAGATACTTTATTTGTAACTCTTTCCATGAACGAACTTCACCGTCATTTGAATACAAAATATAAATTCCGTCATCTTTTCTGCCGTGAATTCTCGCGATCTTGAAAAGATAAATCGTTATCATTGTGAGATATTCTAATTCCAATCTGGGATCTACCAGGATCCGTGCAAATTGGTAAAGGCATTCAGACGTGAAAAAGGAAGCTAGATCTATTGAAAGTAAGATTATAATATTATTTTTTTTAATGTCTTCTGATTGAATGTAAAATTAAATTAAAATTATGATACTTATGAGTCTGAATTAATACAAATATGACGCATAACTTGTGTCATTTCATTGAGATCAAGTAATACTGTTGAAAGTTAGACATTTTGTTCGATGACACGCTACTTTATAAAATTAATTAATATGTAATGTTTAACCACCATGTCCGTAAAAAAAACTTTCGTAACAAAGATTTAGGAATAGATCAGATGCAAATTAAATTGTAGAAAGAACACTGAACTAATTGCCGTGTCATAATAAATGAATAACACTACTATGATTTGGCCTAAGTGTGAATATATATGTGCATTACACATTGAAATCCGACTAATGTGTACAGTTCAAGCGGCATAAAACTACTGAAGGTGAAGATTATCTCTTCGTAAGTTATGAGAAGTGTTAAACCTATATCCGATAAATTGTGATTATGTATAACAACTTATAGAATTTATACGGAATATAAGTAATATTTTGCTCATACAAGTATTTAATGGCGACGAAGAAATATAATAAATTTTTAGGTAAGACTCCCAACATGATTAAAATATTAAATTTAGTGTTCTTTCTATGTTCTTTTCTTAAGAGTAATTGCTATTGAAACAAAAATTAAATATTGGATTGTTTCGTAAACTCATGTTTTTGCTGTATATTTTATATATATATAATACGGTCAATTTGACTAAATCGAAAAATATACTTTTGAAATTCCCCAATTCTGTGTTGTTTTATATAACTTGTTGCGTTGAGTCCAAATATGTAATTATTTTTTGTCAGACTCAACAATGGATTGGAATATGATCGTTTTAAAATCAACAAAAACCTAACCTAATATAACGTAGGTATAGATATGATTTAAATTAGAATTACTTGATTGATACTATGTTGTTACGTTGTTTTTATATAATAAATGAATCCTAGGATTAGGTTTAGTTTGGATAGTTTATGATAGTATACTCAATTTATTAGTATTCTTAGTATTTGTTTAAACAATGTATGCCTAGTATAATCATTGCAACAAATGGAAACTCATTCTAGAAGTGGGAGATGTTTTATTTGTAATAATATTATGAAATTTATATGGGATTCTAAATAGTATAGTTTTCACTGTGCATATTTTGATTTCCTTTTGAAAAATGATACTACAAGCATTCATACTGTTGTATTTAAGATGTTACGTTATCACGTGAACGTAGGTTTAATGCACATAGCGCCACAACGGGAATTAATTGTAACCCGATTATTCACCGTCGAGTGCAGAGTCATGTAACTGCGTTTTAGTTAAGAACGAATTTCAAACGGACCAGCGTATTGTAATAAACAATACGATTGTATATTTTTCAACGTGGGCGATCAAGCTGGGGAAGGTAGAGAGAAAGGAAGGCACTTCTTTTCAGATACTTAGTTTATTTTCTAAAGGCCGCGTCGATTTCGAGGTTCCATCGTTCCTTTAGTTTATTGTTTAGTTATTACGGACCGTGACCGATTAGCTATTTCCGATAAGAGTTTCAATGGTCTTGACACGCAGCAGGGCCTCGCGACACTTCGCTTCGAGTTTCGTTTACTCTCATAAGGGTCATAAATTTTCTTAAGGGTTGCTTAGGCCGCTAGCCTCATTTTCTCTCTCGACTCCCACGCTCTCTCTCACGCGCGCCGCTCCAACATGGCCGCGAAACCTCCACCTCCACTCGGCTCGGGGGTGGATCATCGATCGAAGACGATTCGGATGGAGGGAGCAAGGCACGAACCCCGATTGGACCAGGACAATCCAGAGGGAGGATCAAGGAATATTCCGGAGAAGGGATGAACACCGAGGACGACGAGAAGATTTCCGCGGAGGAGCAGATCGATTTTGAGAGTCAACAGAATTGTATCTAAAATCAAGCTTAAGACGAATAAACTTTTACCAATCTTTTTCGAGCAATCAATAGTAGTTTGATTTTTGCGCGTCTCGCCGAGCAGAGCGGTTCAGCGCTCCACGGGCACCAACCCACTGTCCTTTCTCCCTAAACCGCTATCTCGGGACGTAACAAAGAATTAAAATAGTTTTTAGTTGGGTTGACATGCCGGCAGAGTGCGCTCTAGCTAGAGCTGAAACATGTGTTCAAATTTTTTACCCGTTTGCCGGTCTACCGTTTTGTCTCTTACTTGCTTTTTGCACTTCTTAAGAAAGGAACGTGGGTGCACCTTTTGTCTGTGGCAATAAAATCTATCACGTATGCAAACTAAATTGTGGCGATCTGTTTATTAATACCCAAAACTCAACACATACAACATAAATAGAAGGTAAATAAGAAAACATAGTAAAGGTTGATTAATAAAAATTTTCTGTTAAGTATAGTCCTCCGCTCACTTGAAGTCCCGCGAGACGGCACAGGGGCAAGGGGAGTCCATTTATCTGTCTTGCTCACTTGCTCTCAGGCAGTCCACATGTGTGTGTAACTGCCGCGACGAATAGCGAGCTAGAGACCAATGTGTGCGTGGGAATACGTGTGCCCCTTCTACTTCTCCCGCATTCCTTCCGCGGGACTTCAAGTGAGCGGAGGACAGTACATGACATGTTGTGGAAGGGCATAATAAGACACTTTGTAGTAGTATATGTATGTATGTATGATTTTATTGGCTTCCCCTTAGGGTTACAGAGCCTTTCCTCCTTTCTTTCACAATTCTTCCTTAAACTAACTTAACTTCTACCTTTTACCTATCCTCCTTCGTTCGCTTTCCTCCCCTCTCTCTCTTTCCGCTTATCCTACTCTTAACCTAACCTTAACCTACGCGCCTTGTACCAATCACTTCGCTCGCATCTCTCGCTTCGCCTTGCTTCGTTTCCTACTTCCTAACCTTAAAACTACGCCTCCGTATCTCAACGCCCGCCTCCTCCGCCTTTGACTTCCATTTCCATACTTTCACTCCATTCCTATCTTCCATCTTTCTCTCTCCCTTCCCCTTTCCTCTTCTTCCTTCCTTCCTTTCCTCCTAGTTTTTTGCTCCCCCTCTTTCTTCACTCCTTCTTTCTACCTGTCCCTCCATTCTCCTCCCTCCCTCCCTACTCCCCTCCCTTACTTCCCTCTCTACCCCTCCTTTCTCTCTCCCCCTCCAGTCTCTAAGTACTTCCCTCCGCTCGTCCCATCCACCATTATCTTTCCGTAAAACACCCTCACTCTCCTTCCCTTCACCTCCTCCTCCTCTCCTATCCTCCTAAGCTGCCACTGCATCCTCCTCTCCCTCCACGTCATATCGTCCTCCACTCTCTTTCCTTCCCCTCAACCTCCCTTTGTTCCTCATCACCTCCCTCTTTGCCTCCGTTGACTCCAACTTCACCTCCAGCATCACCTCCTTCCTCTCCTGCATTCTTCCTCCTACCTCCCTTGCCCCCACAATTCCCCCTTGTAAACCTACAACCGCCAAAATTTCCCTTGCCCTTTGCATAGCCGTTCCCTCCCTCCCTACCCTCTTTATTATCACGTTCTTCCTTCTCTCTTCCCTCTCTTTCATTTCTAATTTTCTCTCCAGCTCCTGCACCCTTGTTTCCCACTCTTCCCCCTCCCTCTCACAGCCCGCCTTATCTCCTCGCCCCTCCCATGCCCTTCCTGTCTCCATCGCCTCTATCCTCTCCTCTACTCTCTTTAACCTACCTTCCTTCAACTCCACCTCCCCCATCTCTCTCTAAACTCTCCATCCTATCTCCCATCTCCTCTCTTTCCCTTCTCCATCTCTCCTCCCATTCCTCCATCATCTCCCTAGTTCTTTCTATCTCCTCCCTTGTCTCCCTCCCCTGTACCTTCACCTCCTTTAATTCCTTCCTCACCTCCTCCCTCATTTCTCTGATCAGCCTCTCTAGCTTCCCCTCCTCGCTCGCCCTTCCCTCCTCCGGCGACCTCTGCACCATTTTTTCCTCACCCTTTTCTCTATCCCTTATACCACCGCTCTCTACCTTATCTCCCGCTTTTCCTTTCCTTTCAATCCTTACCGCCCGATGTCGCCACTGCCCCTCTACCTCAGCGCCATGCCTGCTCTTCTCTCTCTCTTTTCTCTCTTTCCTTGCCCTAACCTCCAAACTACACGTTCCCTATCCACCTTTCCCTACCTCCCTGCACACCGCCCTTTTCCTCGCCCTTACTCACCCTTCACTACCTTCTCCCCCTCTACCTACTCTCCCACTTTCCACTCCCTACTCCACCTATAACCACCTTTTTAACTTCTCTTACACGCAGCACTCACTCAACCGTCTCTACTCAACCACACCTGAAATGGAAGTCTTGTAGTAGTATATTTCTATATATTTAAAATATCAATAAAGGAAGATAAAATTGTCCAATTCCCAATTGTATCCAATCATACATTAATGCTTCATGGACTTTTTATTTAATCACGACCAAATTCTGATTTTTTATGGACAATTTTTTTCTAATTTTATTTTCTATTTGTGTTTTAAATTATATTTTATTTCCAGGATTTTATTTATTACTTAATAAAGAATACCCAAATTAGTTAACTTTTTAATTCGTTTTCTAATATATTTAGTCAACTTTGCACATTCAATACATTACCAAAAAACATGAGTCTGAAATTGTACTATGATTTATTATCACAACCAAGTAGAGCTTTATATATATTTTTAAAAGTTAGCAACATACCGTTTGAAAGTAAAAAAATAAATTTGGGTAAAATGGAACAGCATAATGCAGACTATCAAAAGATCCACCCATTTAAAAAAGTTCCTGCCATCACACACAATGGTTTTAATATAATTGAAAGGTATAGTTATGTTTAAATTATACAGAACGTATAAAATGAAAAAAAACAAATTATAATTCATATTTGAAAAGTAAAAATTTGTACGACTGTTTGTTGATATTAACGTAATAACATTCCTGTATTTAATCAACATAACCTTTGTTCTATAGGAAAGAAACTACCCGTATTATCCGAATCGTCCCTTTTGTTTGTTTTTTTAAATAAATGTTATATCGTTTCTGAAGAACTATATGTATACATATATAATTTCATCTAATACTTTTCATTTTTTTGACAATTCTTTTCTACAAATATATGTATAGGCCTCTTTATAACATTTATTTAAATCGTTTTTCAATGTATTTCGTAATTTACGAAATACATTTGTACTGCATTATATCTTTTGCAACTTGTAAAGTAAAAACCTTATTATTTAAAACTTATTAGGATTTTTTAAATATAAATGAGATAATACAAATTTGAGTCTTCGGAAGAATTTAGTATTCGTAAATACTTTATTAACTCAAATGTTTATTACATTTCATATAGCATTGCGATATTCAGATATATCTGCAGAGAATTTAATGTAGATGATCATTGGTATCCTAAGGATTCAAAAGCCCAGGCTAAGGTTGATGAATACCTCGAATGGCAACATCTTAATACAAGGCTGTTTTGTGCTTCGTATTTTTTACAACAGGTACTAAAATATTTTACAATGTACGTGGGTAATTCTAAATCACACTAATCATGTTTCGCAGTTCACTTTAAATAAGGATGATTTTCAGTATTTTGTTTCTCATTTCGGAATCATGATATAAAAAAAATATATATTTTTAGTAGTCAAAACTGATCAATGTATTAATACGAAAAAACGTTTAATTTATACATATTTTTCTATATTAAACACTTAGCTTTGTGTTTTTTTGAATAGTAAAACGCCCCACTTTGGGAATTGCGGTTCTAATTTGAAAATCATTGGTTTACCCCGTGTTCCCCCCGTACATTGTTAACTAGATGTTATATTTCAATTCTAGTATTTGACGCCAATGTTAACTGGCGAACCGGCAAAGCCTGAAAAAATAATGCCATACAAAGAGCGTTTAAATGATAATCTCGATCTTTTGGAGAATGTTTGGTTACAAAATACGCCCTTTTTAGTCGGTTCTGAAATCAGTATCGCCGACCTTGTCGGCTCGTGTGAAGTAGAACAAGTTCGTAAGTAATCATATAGCAGGGAAATATATTTTACCAGATATTGATGTTATAATAAATTAAACAACTATAAACAAAATTTATCCACTGTTAAATATTTCTGAAATTTATTATTTGGTCGTACTTCTGTGCTTGTGGCGTGCAAGAAATATTTTCCTCGCGCGAAGAAAAAAAATTCAAGATCGAAGAGTTTGAAGTTGCCATAAAATTAGGGATAGTACTTGACATTCATTAGAACTCAAATAGTTAATTTGCTTTTTCGACAATTGTAATAAAACGTATTTAACAAATTTGAATTTTTATACAGGTGTAGGTGGTTACGATCCCTGGGAAGGTAGGCCACGCCTAACCGCTTGGATGAAAAGGGTCTCGGAGGAAACGAGTCCTCATTATCAAGATGCTCATGTGTTTCTCAATAAGTTAGTAAATAAGACAAAAGAAAGCACATTGAAAAGCAAATTTTAACAATCTTGAATTTTTGGATTCACATATACAAATGGATTACAATATCGCAAGCATTGTTCAAATCTTTTCTACATCTTGAATGCAGAGAAGACAGTTTATTGAAATGTTTAGAAATCTCGCGTATTTAACCTAGGAGGAATTATTTTTCTATTCGACTGATTGAAATAAATTAAAATAAAAATTTTGAAAGAAATTCCTCGAAGAAATTCAAAGGATTCTAACAAATCCTTTATCGTAAATCATTTGCTACGTTTCAGGTACACACAGGATGTGTTTACACATTTAATCGTTTTTTTTTGTTGGTGTTATGCATTTAAAGCTGTGTATACATTTATTACGTAATTTTGTAATGTACACTTGCATAGCTTTCATGCATCTCATTACATGGCTATCTACTTTCATGTTTTATTAAAGCATAATACAAAGTAATATTTTAATCGCGTGGGATGTTGTATAAATATACATTTTTATCATCGTTGCATAAATCGTACGATTTTACTTCGTCATTTGTTTGCAACGACTATGATTACATATTTATTATAAATATATTTTTTCTTCACTAAAAAAGTATACAGTTAAAATACTCTAAAAATATGAGTAATAATTTTACCCCTAACTATTCAATTAATAGTAAATGTTGTGTACAGTAATTAAAAATTTGGTAACAAAAGTAATCATGTACAAAGAATATAAAATTTGGCATATTAGAAGTATTCGTGCATGGAACAATATTTTTCAATGAACACATATTTCGTAAGTATTTAATGAATTGTCATTTAAAAGTAATCTAAAACGACGACTTATTCAAACATCAAACAATGATATAGAGACATTCAAAGTATCAAAGACAATTTTGTGCATGTTTGAATTTATTACAGACTATTTTTTAAGAGGAAATATTGGGGGTCTGTCTGCAACAGTTTAGCCGAGACAGTCTGTATGAATGAATTTTCAAATGTCAATTAATAGCTTCTTCGAGTATACAATATATCGTGTGATCAAATTTTTATAAAAATATACATATATGAATAGGCACTCTTTGAGTAAACGTCAATAATGAGACTACAATAAGGTTTAAAAAACGAGGCACAAGATTATCACATCATTGATTGCATCACATTTTAGTGCGTTTCCACTAAATGAGCGAACAAAAGCGTATTAATAAAATGTTTAAAATATGAATTACCTATTCTATCACTAAGTATTATTAATTATTATTATAATTCTTGCTCCGGTTGAAAAGTCAAACCAGAGTATGAAATTCACATTTACTAGCGTTTATCTACGTTTGCCTTCATCTACTCATGGGTGTGGAAATATAGTCTTTGCTTATATTTGTAGATACGTTTAAATTATGTAGACACAAATGAATAAGCATATCAAAAATATGAACACTTATGTACTCAGATATATTCACTGTTAAAGAACAAGCTTTTAAGCAAAGTAAAACGTAAATACGAAGTTTGCTTGTTATTTTATGTTCATTTGCCAATTAAGTTGCAATAGGTAATATTATTCCAAAAGAAAAAATCAATTTCAAAATGGAATGTAGAGTAACTTCGCGTTAAAAGTTCGAATTCTTACTTCGATAAAAGTTTTGGACTAATCTCCACCGTTTACACCAATCAACAAAAAGAATACAAAGGAGGGTGTTAAGAAATGCCCATTTTTGGCATCGCCTGGAAATGAAAAATTCATGCAGGATCTTTTAGAGTGTTTCCCAAGGAACAAAAAATGTCTTTATCACTTTCCCGAGAAACGATGGGAAAGTTGTCAAAAATACGTTCAAAGTATGAATGTGATGATAATGGAACTAACGTATATTTTACATTTCGTCGTCTTCTTCTTCGGATATCGAACTGCCCTCGAAATATTTAACGACTTTTTATACGTCCTGCGATTACTTCAACAGTATATTGATATTTTGTAATGAATTTCGATTCATTAACTTGTTCAACTGTTAGTGGTTTCCGAGTTTCCACTACAGAGTATCGAATGCCACGATCCGCAAGGAAATTATCACCCGGTTCAAAGTATCTTAATCGACAGTATCGAAGCGTCTTAAAAATGATTAATAAGAATCATTAATTGAAACTAATAAATCTTACTGACTATTAAATTAACGGACAAATGAATTAAGGGTAGTAACCAATTAACGCCATTTTACTTAAAACGAAACTGCATTCACGACACTCAAATAGTTTAAAATACTTTGTATATGTACTAATTGATAAAAGTAAAACCGCACTGGAAGCCATACTTGCATATTCATGTGGATGCAAAGTCGGAGCACGCGTTGTTGGGTGCTGTTCCCATGTAGCCATGATTATATGGTACTTTGGATTTGCTCGATTTCATGCTTCTATTCATCTGCCTGCTGAGTTCCTTACTACGTATTTCGAAGACTGTTCGATATCCGAAGAAGAAGACGAAGGAATGTAAAATATACGTAAGTTACGTTATCATAACATTCATACTTTGAACGTATTTTTGTCAACTTTCCCATCGTTTCTCGGGAAAGTGATAAGGACATATTTTGTTCCTTGGGAGACACTCTAAAAGATCCTGCATGAATTTTTCATTTCCGGGCGATGCCAAAAATGGGCATTTCTTAACACCCTCCTTTGTACATTCATCATTTTAAGTTTAAGAGTACGTTAACAATTTTGTTATCTATCACAATTATTTATTTTTCAACATGTATGGCCCTACTAAACTCTATGTTTCTTTAACATTTTCCGAACAGATTCAACTTTGCGACTTTCATCGAGGACTCACTGTATCAGTTTTTACTCTCTCGTTCGGTGGAAATGCATCAGTATACGATAATACATTTCGAAAAATCAAGTTAGTTCCCCCCCAAAATTTCGTGTATCCTAAAAATTTTTTTCATTTGCTATTTTTACATGTTCCTTGCATATTCAAATAAAATTTATTGAACTTTTACACTCACGATCAGTGTTACCAAGCCAATTTTCATTGAAAACATAATAGCTTACGTTCCATAAAGTGGGTAGCAAGCAATTCCTATTTTTTAAAATATCTAAAATAGGTATCTTCATATCGAATAACGAAAATGCCCCCTTAAAATGGCAGCACTCCTTGTGGTACGTTCGAAATAAAATCAGACGCGTTTCGGATAAAAATACCAACGACCTAAGGTCAGTTTCAAGTGACTTTCTTCAGTTTTGGCATTTTCTTTGGACACCATTGCATATGAACCCCCCAATGCTTTTCTTGGCACCGTTCATCACAGTAAAATATCATCTCGCATCCGAGACACTTAAATTTGGGCCCGATGACTCCGCAATTGGAGCACGAAAGATTATGTAAGCTGTTAGGGCTTCGGTTCACCTTACCGAGATGCGGCGTCTTGCAATTCCTAAGCGGGTTCCCCGGTGTGGTCTTCGACAATTGTGCGTGGGAGGGTACCAAAGCCACCCGATACGGCGTCGTCGAGTCGATGGATGGCATTGCCTGGGCGTCGTTGGCAACAACAGGGTTCGTTTGTGCAAAATTATCGGTGCCTTTGACGAGCGATAATCGATCGAATAGAATGTTTTGCATCTCTTGATACTTGACGTTGTTCTCGTGGCCTTCTTCGCCAAAACTAACGTCTTGCGCGTGATTGGTCGCATCTCGGTTAATGACTGGCTTATTAACATTTGCCACGAGCGGTGACTCTATAACGTTTGACAGGCTGGAAGTTTGCAACGCGTCGTTGTTTGCTCGGTTGGATGTTAACGTGTCGCGTTGCCTGTCGAAGGAAGCTGCCGCAACAACAGCGGCGGCAGCCGCGGCCGCGACTACGTCCGGAATCATCCTGTTCTGAGAATACTGGCTATTCATCGAATGTCCAGTCAAGGGTACTCGCAGTAGAGTCTGTTGCGACGCGGGTAAAGATGGCGATGACAAAAAAAGGGGCGGTAGATAGCCCGCGTTAGCGTTGTTAGTAGATCTTCCTCGCAAACGATCGAAACTCAAGTTGTTTGGATGTTGTAGGTTGCTTGTAGTTGGAGAGGGATACTTCATCATTGGCTCCTGCATGGGTGGAAAACGTTTGTCCGCGTGTTGTAGTGGCCGCAGACCTTCTTGCATGGGAAAATGGTATCCTGGTAAGAAATTTGGATGCAATCGAGAGTGATACGGATAGGTACCGTAAGGATACATTGCTGGATGATAACTTAGAGCGACACCGTTGTAGGGGTCGATCTGTAATCGTTGAAGTATTAATTTAGTTCGTATTTTTACGAATGCGATATGTGTTACTTACAGCATAATTGTTTGGGTAAAATTGATTCATAGGGATTGGCGAATAGATGTTGGGACGCAAAGGCGGTACCGATGGAACTGGTTGAGAAAGAGTTACGGACCCAGCAACGTGTTGTAGTAATTGTTGTCGTCGTTGTTGTTGTTGGTAATATTGCCATCTGTCCGTACTGCATTGAGGAGTGTTGTTCAATATATTGTCAGTCGCACTGGGACCACTTATCTTTTGCATTTCGGGCCCGGGAATCTGTCGTCACACAATAATGTGTTGCACATGAATAGAAATGAAAGAATAATAATAATTCCATAAACGAAATAAGTTCCTCTTACACGAGAAGCGTTCTCCGTCGATGCAAAAGAATCATTTCCCATGGTTTGTAATTTAGATTTGGGCTTCAAAGTTTGCTTCTTCGACATTCGTGCCACCCAGTTACCAAGAGTTGGAAATTGTTCGGTTATCGAATTACTGCTGCCGCTCCTTTGCGCAGGATCGTTCGACAGTTTTTCTCCTTTGTGAGATAAACTTGAACACGTGACGTGTTCCTGTTTCGATGCCCCTATGGAATCGGTTTGGATCGATTGATTCGAGCTCGATGTAACCTGAATCAAAACAATCTCCAATCAAACATCTAGATCCCGCGTGTCGGAACAAAAATACAATATCTTCATTTATCAACGAACCTTTTCCATATTTTGACCGGTTTCGCTGACTTTTGTGAACATAACATTGCTCCTACTGGACACGTAGGAGTTATGTTGCGGGACACGCTCCCTCGACGAAGTAAGTTGCTTGTCGGGCGTTGATTCGAACATTGTGCTGGCTGAAATGCTCGCAGCCGCTTCCAAACCGCTTGCAACAGAATTTATGCCAGTGATCTGGTCAGAGAATCCGAGACACTTAATTTTCTCCGATTCCTGGACCATCGCAGGATCTGGAGTCTCGTCCACCAGTTTATTACCTTCTTCTTTCTTCTCCATGCTTATACGATCATCCTCAAAAAATCGAATTACTTTTTCCGTACGATTTAAGGATTTATTATCGAAATCTTCTACGTGAACGTTGTTCGTACTATTCTGTTGCCTCGTTTGCACGCACTCCTCGAGATCCGCAGGAGCTTCCTCTATGGAATTGCACTGAATAGTGGAAACCGTGGGTTCCATCGAGTTCTCGATTATCGGCCAGATTTTCGTTTCTGAGACTTGTAAATCTAGATCTTCGTCGATCGAATCGGGGAGACAGACTCTTGGTAGGATCGGAGGACTGTTGCTGATCTCCCCGAGCTGTACAGTTTCGTAATTCAACGGCGATCGCGGCGACAACTTAGGCGGTTCGGGCGACGAATCTAAAAAGTTGTTTTTTAGTGGTTCTTCGCTCTCCTCGTTTAGGTTCACGAAAAGGTATTTGTCATCGGTTGGACATGCACCGTCGTCGTTTACGTTAATCACTTCGCTCGAGGCCGGAATGGCTACGGACAATTTGCTGTGCAATTTAGACACGTTCTCGATCTGTTTTTCGTAGCGATTCATCACCTGTCTCAATCTGGTGTTTTGTTGGTAGCTGGTGTCGTTCGCCATTTGCTTGGCTAACTCTTGAGCCTTGCTCCGCAGTTCGCGAAGCTTTTGCTTCAGTCTGTTTCTTCGGTACTTCAACTTGTAGCTGTCCGTTTTCAAAGACGCGGGATTCGTTTCCTTTTCGCAGAGCATTTCGGACCATGTGCTGGGAATCGTGTCCGATTGTGGCCGAGGCGTGGAGCCTGTGATGATTCTGTAGTTCGATTCCTGTTCCGATCCCGCAGTGATCTGGGAATTGCTATATTTATCCGCCTCTGTTATTAACAATAGAATGTTTTCGGTGGTTAATTAAAATATCTTGTATCTTTCGTGCAACGCTTAAAACTGGCCTATTCGCGATAGATAAATAAAAAGGCACGATACAAAATATGAGCAATATTTTTACTAAAAAATTAGGTTGCTTTATGCTTACAAACTTAAATTGTACCTTTAAAAACGACATCAATACGAAACTTAAACTACTATCATTCATGCAAAATTCAATAGAAAGCATTATTTATTATCGTCGAGATTACCTGTACGAAGAACTTTCTTCAATCTCAACGGGGGCACCACTTTGCTGCCATTGTCTTCCTTGGACGTCGACACCATTTTGGCACACTTGTCCCCACACAAGTTCTGTGATCCCCCTGTCTCCTTGGATCCACAGAAATTCTTTAAAAATTCCTTGATAGAGCTCTCGACGCATTCCTCTCTGCTCTGACTAGAATCCGCTTCCTGCGATCTTTTCTTCTTTCTGTTCTCGTGCTCCACGTCGTCGTTGAATTTCCTCTTGGGCCAACGAAGGCTTTCCACGCTGGAAATTTGGGGAATGACGTAGCTCAGGGAGCCCGCGGACTCTTTTATAGTATCTTGCTCGTCAAGATTCATATCTGCGTTTTTGAGAACCTCTTCGTTAGATATACTGATTGATTTCACTGGCTCCACTTCAACGATGTCCAGATTTATGGGCTTGGATACAACCAACAGAGATGAACAGTCCACGCGGAAGGATCTTGTAGGCGCGGGCGGAGCTGGACGAATTGGCAGAGAATGATTCGGTTGCACCGGTATAAAACATGGCCTGCGATCTCGTAAGGCAGTTGCCAAGCTGGCAGGTCCTTTGTGATTTACTTTACTGGAACTATCTGCTATCATAATTCGAGGCTCTGGAATTTCAGTAATTCATAATTAGTAAATACTACCAACACAGTTTGAGTTAGGTCTGGATTCTTCTATCATCTTCAATTCGTTGTACGTTTGATAACAGAATACGAGTTTAACTATTATTATTAACCATAATAGCTCTTATCTAAAAAACCCTATCAGCAAAAATGACTTTTATCTATTATTTTACAATATTTTGTCACGGTTAGCGAGTTGGATGATACTTGGAATAAATAATTTCGTATTAATGGCAGATACCCGCTTATCGATTTTATGGAGGAAACCTTTACTTGTTACAAGACTGATAACTTATTTCAATATTTAAGGACTCTACATATATCCTTTTAATATATCACATAAGTTTTTTAACGTAAAATAGTCTTCCACATTAATTTTGTTATATTGCTCTATCAGTTCTTTTTCAATTCATTATACATATATTATATATTGTATAAATGCATAAAATAAAGACTGCTATTATTTTTAAATACATTGTACTAGTTAGGAGTTAATTTAATCCTATTCCCTACCCCGTTTTTCCCTAAATCTCTATAATTATTGATCTTAGTATTTACAAAAATACCAGACATTTCCTGAATCAATAACATTTATCTCTTACCAAGAAGAACGAACGGCACGAACTTATGGGATGACCTAATGACCCATTAAAATATTGACTATAATAAATAAAAAAAATTATTCTACAAATTCCATACCCAAGGCAACGACTGCAGAGCATTTTTCGTTTCCGGTTTCTTCTTGATTCGCTCTGGTCAAAGTGTCCACGTCGCTAAACCGCTTCAGAATAGTCTGCTTCCACGTGTTCTTCTCGTCGGCTGTCAGGTCGACGAAGATGGGCCTGTCCTGGACGATCGTTTCAGAAATCGAACAATCGAGAACTGGTTCATCAATGTTCTTCGAATCCTTTTCGTTTTCTGTCGTGGTTTCGCACGTTTCCGAATCTTCCTGAATCTCGCTGGAGCTGCTGATCAAACAGACGCTCTGTTCCTCCTCAAAATTCGCGTAGCTTTCCTCGCAGCACAAGTGTTGCACATCGCAGGCAGTTTCTTCTTTCTCTTCTTTAGCTTGCAATTTAGTGGACTGTGCCTCGAGGAACGTAGAACTAGTTCCCGAAGATTCATCGGCTATTTTGCAAATTCTGTTGTCGCGAGATATTATTACTTTCGGCCAGCAATTCGGGTCGAACAATCTGGGCGGTGATTTATACTTTTTCGACCTTCCTTTGTGCTTTTTCGACGAATCGATCGTTTGGCAGCCATCGCGTTCTTTCATTTTTTAACATAGAGGTTGGCAATTTCGTAATTTATTATTTACAGGCAATTTTGGGGAAAGGTACTTTGTAGGAAGGTACAAGAAATAGAAAAGTAATTTATTATTTAAGTTGAATCTAATTAGAAAGAAAAGAGAGAAGAAAAAAATACAATTACAGATTGGTGTTTTCTTCCATACTAAACTTGTATAATTTGACAATTTATTACAATATTTCGAACATAATTTTTAAATTGTTGGAAACACTTGTAAGAATTATATCAAAATTTCACTCCGCTGCAATAAGAATTTTAATCATTTTATTCATTTATTAGATGAAATAATTTTTAAAGCTACTAACATCTTTGTTTTTTGGTAAGATTATATTTCGATCTGAATGAAGCTTTTACTAAACAATAAATAAGCTATTGTTTTGAAACAAATAATTGCCTGACAATGAGAAGTTTTTTCATAATACCATCCTTTTAAATTTTGAGGAATTTAATGATTCAAACTATTTTTAATTGTACATTAAAATAACTACATTTTCCTAGTTGTAAAATGTAAAAACGTGGTTACAAAACGTTGGAAAAAGTATGCAAATTCATTTCAGAATAGTAAACAATATCGAACTTTGTAAGAAATCTAAGCAGCTTGAAATTATTTTAATTTATAATTTTTTCTGTTTCTTTTTGTATTCACTTCGGCATTATTTAAACTAGAATACTTCGATTTTTATCCCGAAAAAATATAAAGTGAACTAAAAAATAGTTTTCGAGGAATATAAATTTGTCTAAATAATATACTGTTAACATTAACATGTTTGTTAAATTTTTTAATTGATTCTATTCATTCGTTTCAGTATTACTATACACTTCGTTTTTTTATCGTGCCATATACTTGTTCATTTTCGATTTTTTTAACGATTTTTTTAAAACTTGTTTATTAAACACAATTAACACTTTTACATTCACCGAGCTCACCAAAAATCTGTCACACAATTGTCAGATATTTAATAAATCATTAAGATTGTACATTTTATTTACAAGCACGTGCTTCCTAATTTTTTCACTGTCAATACCAGTCACCAAATTTTATCATTGGATTCCATATTTTATTTTCTCTCGCAAAACAATAAATTGTCAATTGCAAAAACTAGCATATACAAATATCTCTCCCGTCACCAGAGAATCAAAATAGAACTAGAGATTGAAAAACTAGCGCGTTCCGTGCAATTCAAAATTATTTCCTGGGAGTCTTACGAACCAATTTTCAAAACTTACAAAATTTCACAAATCTTTGATTCCTGAACGCAACAAAATCGAAGTGAATAATGGTATTCGATGTAAAATGATTGTGTACATGATTTGCAATTAGTATTTTGTAAAAAAAGGTATTAATTTAGCGAGAACTCGTAACGAAATAATTATATAAATTATATATGACGGTAAAAATTAAATTGTTCCGGTTGACACGCGCCACAAAGCGGATCGAGACGCTGTCGCGCGAAAAGTGAAGCCAGAAACGAAGAAATCTCGCACTTGGGCTTGTGTTCCCTCTTCTATAAAAGTTCTTATTAGAGAAACCCTTCGCAATTGGCCGACTAGAACGCATCCGTTTGGCGCAGCTCATGCACACAACATATGCCGATAATACATCAAGGAAAAAAACTTTGCTATTAGTGAACTTGTATTTTTTCTTAAAGGTACGCACGATTCTTGTATTTAAAATATGGTAACTGAAAAAGATAGACGATGGCAAGATAATATTTTCAAGCCTCGTTTAAAAAATAATAATATCGAATTATATTTTGAACGAAATTACGATTCAAAAAAATATTTGTTAAACGTAAAATTCTCTAAAAAATAAAATTAAAATCTTGTTACATGCTTGAACAAAATACACAGAAGTGCAAAAGGGTGATTTATTAATATAAAAGAGTAAAAAGTTTCATTTTTTATTGTAATCTGCGAAACTAGCGCGAACTCGAGGAAACACCTCTAACACTGTAGTTATTGCACCTGCTGTAATTGCTACTGTATTCACTATGCCCACTACAATCGATGTTAGATTTGCTTTCTACCTATTTATTTAACAATAGTGTCTTGATACAGGGCCGAAGTTATATTTAACTCGCTCGTGTAAAATGCATGCATGATATCGATCGACTCTTTCATTCTTTGGGTACTGTTTAATACTTAAATGCAAAAGTTCTACCTGACAAAATCGATTCGCCAAATAATCATTACGCCGTGTACTTCCCTCGAATACACATCTAAGAACAATTAGTACTCACTGTACAGAATAAAACTGCCCTTTTTAAAAATGATACTTCAAATATAGAACTTAATAAAAAAGAAATTTTATTTTCTGAAATACAAAACTATAGGTATACAATTTATAAATATAAAATGCAATCTTCGATTAATGCATCCCAGTATTTTATTACTATGTAGTTTATGTTTCTATTTATACAATTATGTTGATTATAACAAGTAGTAGAATTGTTGTGGAAAAATGCGTTTGAGCGGACACCGTAACAAACGATAATTCAGAGACAGTGGTTCTTGGAAATGGTAATATACTTTTAGAGACAATTTAAACTTCGATATTCAAGTTTCCGATATTCCATTATATCTGGATCACACATTTAACTTCCAACATGAACACTTAATCGACAAGAACACGTACATAGTCACATGTGCATTTTCCCACCCGAGGAAAGCTGACGTCGTAGGGAAACTCGGCGACGATACGCAACACGGACAAAAGGGGTGAATCACCCCATCGTCGGTCTAGACAGTTCTTTGTCGCTCGAAGAATAAAATAAAATATTTGCGATATGAACATTATAGAAATAAATCGCAATGAAACAATGAAAATCTTAAATATCTTCATCGATGATAATTAACGTCGTACAGAGTCAGCAAATTTTATTTACGAATAACGAAAAACATTGGACTCGTTCTTAAAATAGTTTCTGTCCACCATTTCACTCGTCTGGATGTTGTTTTAAAAAATAATTTACAAAGTTACATCTAAACTAGCAAAAGGGCGCACGAATATCTCTTTATTCAGACAGTATATTGCAAATTAATCTGTGAGATATTCTTCAAAAATATCGCTAAAAATAATTCTATTAATCAATATTCTCTTTAAATAACTATGAATTAATAATTCATTATTTATTCATTCTTCGTATGTATTAAACTACTTCAGTTTACGTATTTTTCTTTCAATTTCATAAAAATAACATTTGCTATTAATAGCATATTAAATTATTTTTGAATAATCGGAACGTGCCGCTGAATTTATCGAACAAACAAACACGGCGATCACCGGTTACTGTTTATAAATAATAGACTACTGTTTTACATCAGTCCGCGATATTAATTCATCATGGTCGATCCAACCACATTTTTGTTGCACTGACATTTACAACAATACAAAATATATAAACATATTCTTCTTTTTTTTAAATAAATCTACAGATTGTACATGTGATACGTTGACCTTTGTGTATGGTATTCGCGGGAAGAAAATAGTATATTTTAAAGTGTTAAATGGTGGTGCATAAAGTAAACATGTCGAAGACAAACACTGTTTGTAAACTACCGTCTAATAATGCAAAGCATCAAAGAAATTCAAAATCTGCAGATCAAATATGTTCGAATCTGCCGAAGAATGTGTGTACTCGAACCACTCAATGTAAATCAAATCATTTGAAACATTGTTGTTGTTCGTGCAACGGAAAAGAGGTACTTTTCTTTTGAATAATATTCTTTCTCTTTTTCTTTTTTCCAACTTTTACATTTATCAATAATTAAATTCTTCTACGTCTTTTGAATTACAACCACATTACTTACTTTAAACATTTAACACTGTATTAAATTATCTTAAATTATCATACGATTTTGAAGTTATGCTTATCGTTTTAATTAATAACAGCTTAAACTATAATACATTTTTTCTTTACACATTCATTTTATTTTTTGTGTAAATCCATAATTATACTTCTTAGTAGTGTATGTGTACTGTGTATACAAGTGTATGAAATAATAAATAAATGTCTTATTATAAAAGTTATACTAATAAATATTTTACATTGTAACATTTAAACAGGTAAGATGTTTATAACTAATTAATACTTGAGTGTATTATTAAAAGCAATAATTGAATGATCTTGGTATTCAAATATTTATATATTTAAATAAATAAGTCAAACATTTTATTAGTAACAACCTATTAATAAATAATATTGAAATGTCATATCTAGTTGGATGAAAGAGGAGTTAAGAATAGAGGAGCAAGAATGAAAGTAATTCCCAAGAAAAAAACGGCGCCGCAAAAAATACTAACGAAAAAAGAATATGAAGAGTTTCGAGAATGTAGTGGTCATATGACGAAAGAAGAAAAAATAGTAGCTTTCGAAGCAGAAAAAGAAGAAAGAAAAAGACTTATAAAGGAAAGCTTGGAAAGGAAAAAAGAATTTCAAAAAATAGACATGCATCGACCTCGAGAGAAAAGCGCAACATTAATTGAAATTGAAGAGGAAGCTAGAAAAAGAACGAAACACGTTCTTGAAAGAGCACAGGACATGAAACTTGAACAGGAAGAAGAAATCCAGGAATGCAACAAAATCATATTAGAAACTAAATGCCGTGCCATTCGAGATGCACAGGTGTGATATAATAAAAAAAATCTTTTTTTTGTGTCCTTTTATATTTTTAAACTACCAATTCTATACTTGTATGGCTATACCTTTGCAGATAGCAGAGAAAAAACTGGTTGAACTTGAATTGGAAGAAGAAGAAAAACGTCTCAACAATATGATGGAAAATGAAAGAAGATGGGCAATCAAAGAAGAACTTAAGAAAGAACAAGAAGAGGCAGCACGGAAATTAGAATTTGCCAACAGATTAAAGGATCAAATACAGGAGAATGAGGAACACAGAATGCTAGAATTTGCAAGGAAGCAGGAGGAAAGCCGGCTAATTAATTTAAACAATATTGCTTGGCAGCAAGACGAAATTGCAAAATTGCAAAACAAAGAATCGGAACATGCACGAATTCGACAAGAAATTGCTGAAGGAAACGAGCAATTGAAACATTTTAAAGCCATGGAAGAGCACGAAAATAAAATCATTAATCTTAGGTAAAACTCGTTATTAAGTTTGTAATTAATAATTAATAAATCGACCAATGTTTTATAGTATTCAAGAGTACCAACGACAGAAGGAGGAGAGAGAAAAAAAATTGTCGGAAGAACGGAGGCTTGAAAAGTTAAAAAAGGAAGAGGAAAAAGCGAGAGTAGCGACCCAGGCTATGCAATCTAAAGATATTCAAGTATTCATCTACTCAATTAATGGAATTATTAATCTTATCGGTTATAGAATGTTTATGATTTTTCTTATTTATCTGAATATTTGCAATGAATAAATATTTCGCATTTTATGTATTATTTATTACATAATTTTTATCCGAATAGTATTACCTGTTTCTGAATAACAATGTATTACAACTTTCTTATTTATACAAGAATTTTATATCAAATTAAAACCTGTTAAATAATTATTGCTTAATATTTTATACGATATATTTATACTGTACTTAGTGTATTAAAAATACTATGTAGTTACAATTATAGTATACAGTGAAATATTCTGTATTTAAAATTCAACCCTCTCTTCCAAACCCAATAAAAATTGATCTTTGTAAGATTCACAGAGGAATGTTTACAGGATTTGCACATGGTAGTATTTTTTCAGATACGTATCGACGAATTGAATGCAGCACGGATTCAGGAAGAAGTAGAACGAGAGTGGAGACGAAAGGAAAAGGAAAAAGCTTTGAAAAGAGCAGAGGCTCAAAAATTTCTTATAGAGGAACGAGAAAAACAAATACTTAACAAACGAATAATGCAGGCAATTGAACTGGAACGGGAACGACGCGAGTTTGAAAAAATTGTACGAGTTCAGAAAGAAGCTTTTTGTCGAGATCAAGAACAACTTGAAAAGAAACAACGACAAGCTTTAATTCACAGGAGCGAAATACTGAAACAGGTTTGTTTTTGTTTCAATAATACATTCTCGTTTTGTGCATTTATCACTAGTTATTTCCACAATACATACAGAAAATTGATGTGAAACTTGTTGCAAATATCAAAATTCAGTATCAAAAGAAACTACGAATTCGTATTCCACTGTTGTCATCAGGTAAACGAGAAGGAAAGAGAACGTATAGAATCTAGAAAAAAAATGTTCGAGGAAGGTTTGGCAATTCGTACAAACGTCGAAATGCGTAAAAAAACATTGCGCGTAGCAATGGAGAGGAAATGTGATGAAATGAGAAGCAATAAAGTACCTGAAATGTACATTAACGAAGTGAAACGAATGATCGAGAGTATACAATAAACTGGTCATTACCAAATTGCGATCTATCGATTAATCGAACACGACATGTTTAACGAAATATCGTGTATCTATTCAAATGAAAAAGTTCGTTGCATTTATCGAAAGTGTAGAAGGTAAAATCCACAGGACATTACTTTTTTGTTACTTCCATAACATAACAACATTTGGATCGCGTTCGACGATGTCTTCGATTTGTGCCGCCGATTGACTCGTACTACAACAAATTTCATCGAGACTGAACGTTCCTGTGAAGTACTTATAAATCGGATTACTCTTCATTTCCTCGTTACAAGGAGATCCTGTCAGATATATTGGATACTGCAACCAGAGGTAAACACCTTTGAATTTTTCTTACAATACATTTTTTTTCGTTAAAAAAAAATGACAAACAAACCTTATATACTCGACGAATGAGGCCTTCGATGAGACCGAATTGTACCAATTTTTTCTCATTGATTCTTAAATTCTGTGGATTTAATCGTTGACATAAGTCTCTCATGCTGCTGCCGTGTGTCATACTTGCATACATTCGACATATGTCCCTAAGATAGGCGGGTTGTCTAGCTGCGAAATAAATAACTTTTTATATAATGTGCTTTTGCTTTTGTAGTTCATTTTACTGAAATTACAAACTCACGAAATTTAGAAGCGTATGCTATACATCGCCCTTGTAATTTTGGGTTTTCAGCTAGTTCTTTTAATTTTGGAGTCGCTGTATAAACATTACTGTATTGAAATATTGGAATCAATGTTACAACACCATAATAGCTGAAAATAAATAAAAAATATTGTAATAATTGAATGTTAAACATAAAATTTTTCTATTTAAATGCTTACACAAGGTTTTGCACACAGCTTTTAACCAGGTTATTTTCCACATCAGCTTCGGCTGCTATTCGTGCAACATGATTAAATCCATCTATATAAGGCAGTACTTGCTGAGTAGTCAAATCCCACTGATCGCTTTGAAACGTTTCACGGCCCTCCAAAAATATGGGTACCTGATGATCAAGAACTGGTTTTGGCTCGGGTGCTAACTTTATGACTTTCAAGTGGGATGTCATTGTTCCCTCTAATAAAATATTGTTTTATATCTTTAATGCATTCATTGAAAATTACTAGCAACAAATTGTTCTTACCTGTTAATGTACACATTTTGTGTAAATTTAAATCTTGCATTACCTGCTGGAGCATTTGCGCTAACCTTGTTTTATCATCAGATGCTGATAAAAAGCAATTTTCTACTTCAAGGGCCATCTAAAAGTATGCATTACAATTAATAGTATTTTTAAGTAAGTTACCTCATTAAATTGTAAGGTATAAGGTCTTACTAAAAAATCAGACATCTTTCTAACAACAGGTTCATAATGCACTGTACGAGCTTCTGCATCACAGACAAAACACAAATTAAAGTAAAATGCATTTCTTGCATATTTCTTGTCGTCGATTTTCACAGGAAATCCCAAAATCTTACAGTCCTTCAATGTTCTGGAATGAAATGAAAATTTTCATAAATTTATTCAAAATCAATTTTTCTTGATCAGAAACTATGCTTACACTGTTATAGTGCTACGTTGTAATTGTGCCTTTGGTATAATATAAACGCTCACATTATCGAAAATATCCTTTGAAATAAAATTATCTGGTACCTAGAAAAGAATTAAATCCTATCTATAGTTTATTGCTTGGAGAAAAAAGTAGATATGTAGGAATGATATATAGAATTTCTGTTAACCTGACAAGTAATTTTTGGACCCACAATGTGATGAAATTCTGACAAAAATATACATCTAATAGGATCTTCTAGTCCTTTATCCTCTGCCTCGTTCATCGTTGCTACAGGGTTTTCTTTTGCATTCACTCTTAATATGTCTAGTTAAATACAAACATTAGTTAACCTACTTATTAACTAATTTATAAAATTGCAATTGTTACGTTTGTTTCAATCTCAGACTTAAAATCGTAAACATCTCTGTGCTATATCGTGCTCATAAGATGCGATATATGAATATAACACTTTTGTAACAAATAGCATAATAAAATTTGTCATGCATGTTGAAAGTATGATACCTAAGCGTTCATAAGGACGTGAAGATAAACGTTCAAACATTTTAGAATAAATGTTGATCTCCACTGATACGTCGTGTTTTTAATTTAAATACTCAACTAAGTTGTGAAGTTGATGTAATTTTCATGTTAGTGTCATTCAAATTATTGGTTACTGACGTATTTATTTATCTTTGTATTTATCCACGTTCAAACTAAACGTTTCAGCATGGTTATGTGCATATGTTTATGCGTTTATATTTTCTCATTTTGAAAATACAACGCAAATGGCATTTTTAGTTTTGTTGACTCTAGCAACTACAATAGTTAGGTCGAGTCAGTGTTACCAGACGCTGACCGGTGTCTAGAGAAAATGCTATATTGATCCACAGACGAGGTATATTAGTAGACCTTAAACCTTATGGACTTTTGGGGCCCAATCTGACTCCCATACCGACTTGAAAATTCGGAGGAAAATTCGAATGTTGTAAAAAAATCGGCAGGGGGTAGGTGGACAAAGTTTTCAACAAAATTACAAAATTTCAAATTGTTCTGGAAAAATTATTTTCGGTTGCGGGGTTTAATTCCAATCATTTCTTGTGAATTGACATACTCTCGAAATCCACTTTCGAGAAAAAAATTCATTATCGAAAATGTAGTTTGTAGCCAGAAATGCTTCCCCGAAATTTCATGCGAATCTTTAAAATGTCATAACTCCTGAACGGATCGGGCGATTTTAAAGTTTCAAAAGGCGAACTGCGTGTAGTTTGGCGAAGAATACATAGAAATTCCAAGAATATTCAAAAAACCTTATAAAAATGGTTCAATTTTCAAACGTCCACAACTCTCACAATAGTGAACGTATCTCATTGAAAATTTGTTCTAAAGTAGAGCTTATGGGTACCTACAAAAAGTATTACCCAAAATTTCTGTACAGTGTTAAACAAATTTATTAAAAACCAAAAACGAATTTTTAAGAAAAATCGACAGGGAGTAGGTGCCCAAATTTTTCGACGAAAAAAAATTTTAAATCGTTCTAAAAATATTATTTTTAGCTAAAGGGGTCAATTATAATCCTACGCACTTTTGAGAAAAAAATTCGAGTAGTTGTTAAATTTTTCGACAAAATTAAAAATGTTCAAATCGTTCTGAAAACAATATTTTTAGTTGCGGGGGCTAATTACAATCATTCTTGGTCAATAGGCATGCTCTAGAAATCCTATGCATTTTCGAGAAAAAAATTAAGGAAGGTGGACTTTTTCGGCGAAATTGAAAAGTTTCAAATCGTTCTAAAAAAAATATTTTTAGTTGCGAGGGTCAATTACAATCATTTTTTATTAATCCACATACCCCCGAAATCCTACGTACATTCGAGAAAAAAATTCATTACCGAAAATATTATGTGTGGCCAGTACTGGCCAGAAATGGTCGTGTGTGGCAATACTTTGTACAGTAAAAGATGAGCCCTTTGAGTGATGCAGCGTTAGCAAGAGTTAATCGTTGTAATGAGAAATAAATTAGACTCGAAATATGCGATTTTACCTTTAGGCCAATTCAAGATTTTTAGGCCGTCGAATCCATTCAGTTGGTATTATCAAAGTTAGTTTATAGGGAGTATTGTCGGAGGTGATTGATGACGTTTTATTGAACCCCACCTCTTCCAAGGAAGTTAGGTTGCAGGACAAAGTTTTAGAAGTCCTTGTTCCAGCTGAGATTGGAAGCTAATCATTCCTTTTGGAAAATCGTGTCCGCTATTGTTCCGCTGTGCAAACAAATGTAGATCTACGTGGTCGATTTCTGTACGAAATGGTTGACCATTACCAGAGACTGTAGATCCGATCGATAATCTAGAATGGTACCGCGGTTGGCCAGGTAGGGGTGATGGTTGAAAGCTACATGCTATTATTCTCACGTTGTCGATACGATAAACTAGATTTATTACGTTTCCTTTTAAATAAAAATACATTTATTTCAAGACTCCGGTAAAAGTTACACGCGAGTTTATTTACGTTAACACAGTCTTTGTGAAAGAAAATACATTGTTCCTCGCTGTAAGTTCGTTCCTATCGATGTAACAAGCGTTCTATGAGAAAATGGCAGCGTTCCATGCTTCGAATTTTTACGAAACTGCACGAGGTAGACATTTAAATACGAGGGAATATGTGTTTATGCCCTCGGCAGCTAGAACCTTTGACGGACAAAACCATTTTCTCATAATTCACGTTTCGTTCGTTGTAAGAAATTGTTAATGTACCGATTACAAAATGGTCCATTTGAATGCGGCGTCTAAAGGCGACTACGCGAATTCTGCAAATTGAACGATCGAAAATAAAAAAAAAGAGATATCGTCGGAAGCCATTCGATAAATGCGCGATGTACACCGGTCGTTTGTCTTTTACACGGATAACGATTAAGACTTATAAACAAGAATCGATGCAATCGTCGCTGACAAAGAAGATAAAAAAAGAAAAACACACACTTCGCATATTAAATAAAATCTGATTCATCCTGTTTCGTGCCTGGTCCTTGGATCTCCGTATTTGGCATCCGTTGTAACCCCATTTTTCGTTAAAAAATATTCTTCTTCTCGCCTCGAGAATTGTCTGAATTTTCACGGCTCTCCGAGGCAATCTGCAAAAGTAATCGTACATGGATTTTCTATTAGTCTATCGCTGTATCGTTGTTGCGATGCAATGCTTTGCAAAATAAAGTTCAATTTTGACCGGAAGTGATCGAGCCGCGTAATTCTGATCCAACCGACGCCGAAAACGAAAAGCATGCATCGGATGATTTAAACGATCCACTCAAATCGGCATCACCACCAAAATCAATCAGTCTGTACGAAATTGTGTACATACGTATATCACGAGGGATTTATCTATTGGAAAGGCACCAAGATACGACCTAATAATATCTGAGATCTTGCATGGAATGCCGAAAAACGTCGTAGTAGAAGTTTTATTACTCGTTGGGTGCCGTTTCGAATAACGTTCTTCGAGCCACCTTAAGTTTATTTAACGGTTTCAATCGTTTATTGTAACTATTTGACAGAATTGTGGAATACCGAATAGGCGTTTGTGCTCGGAGTGGTCGTAGCGTAAATCGTAGAGATTTAAACCCAACTGTTGGTGGTTTTGTGCCTTGGTGCGTTCCCGTTGGCGGAAAATCGGTCTATGCGGTAAGGAAACGAATCATCGACATTGATTTTAACGAAAGTAATTGCGTTACGTTGTCGTCCCTAATGGAGATTGTTCAAAATGGAAAACACCTTGCACAGCGGAATGGTTGCAAGTAATTGTCGTTTGCATCGATAAATACCGCGTTGCATTCTTTCCTTTTACAACTGATATTTCGCACGCGCTGCTTTTAAGATGATGGTATGTTATTTCACATCGAAATTCAGCAGAAGGAAACCTCTTGTGTGCTGAAAATAGGATAACGTATTAATGTCAAAAGCTTGTTGCCAGGAAATTTATGTCCGGCGAGCATGAGGTCTCGGTATCGACGGTGCGTTACACCTATATCGGGCCTACAACTATCCATGTACGATGCGTATTCAGAAGTTTTATGTAACTTGGACCGACAGCCAGTACAGAATTTATATCGCGCGATGGAGAACGGAGGAAAATGGAGACTGCTTTAAATAGGCCCCGCTGCAACCGATCAGGCCTGTTCTGTCAAGTCTTTCGAACCTTCGATGCAATTCTTACGTTAAACGCAGCGAATTTAGTTATTTCTCGACGGGATTGAAAAGTATAAAAAACGTGTCTGCCTCTTGTACTTTTTTACATTTCCTAATGCATACGCGTGCGTGTATATTTATTAGTTGAAAACGTATAAATAAACGTTTTGAACAAACGTTATTAAATGTTAAGTTCTATATAAAAAAGTTGAATAAACTTTTTCCCAATCTTCTCTAAGAAAGAAAAATGCGCAGCTTACAAGTAGTGACCATTTTACTCTTGCGAAATATGTGGCGGCAAGAAGAAGTCGCCATTTTGAATCTGTTTGGCGCGACGCATGGCGCGTTCTGTGTTGTCTAACAACCGCGCGAACTTTCGATTATCGAGTGTTCTTACCGAGCAAATCGTTACGTTTCTATGAGGTAATAAGAAAAAGATAAGATAAAAACAAAATTTTGTTAAAAGCGATACTTACTTAGATCAAGCTTCCTGAAGCTCTCCTTTGATTCCAGGCACGCTGTGATGGTGTCTGGACGCGAGCTTGTTTGCCAATTCGTGCATCACGTCCCTGTATATTACCGTGTCCAAATTCTCTCCCAACATGTACAGAAGGAACCAATCGCCTACTTTGCTTCGTCGAACTATCGTCTCGACGGCTTCCTTTCTGACCAAACGAAACCTTAATCGTAAAAGGTAGACCCTCGTTCGCGGCGAGAATATAATTACGATCTGCAAAGTAGAAAGTAAATGAAATTTTCGGCTGGTGAGATACCATATTCGATCGACTTACCCTGTATAAAACCGTTATGAAGCTGAGCACGCCGAGAAAGAGGAACCAAAACCAGAGAAATACGTATATTTTCTCGTTGACGACGTTCAAAGGCAATATGCAGACGGCGTCGTGTCTTTCGACCTCACCGCTGACGCCGTATTTGTAGAAGGTGCACTTAGTCATCCGTGGAAACACGTAAATCATTGGATCGACCCGGTCTTCCTGATCCGATTCCAGGAACCTGAGCACGTCGATACCAAACGTCAGAAAGGCACCGTCGAAGAAGCGGTTCATCAGAAACATTTGACCTGTGCATATTCAAGCCCATTTTGTAACCTCGATCGTTATGGAACTGACAAACGATCATGAAATTTGTCCGGTCTACGTAAGTGCGTCGAGTCTACTTTCAATTTTAAATTACATTTATTTGGTTACACATCGTTTTTCCAAGATACTAATGTCGGTGAACATTTAAATAGAATCAATATCGTTACTGAAAGCTAGGGATAAAAGATCAGGAGCAGAAACTGCGAAAAGAAATGTGTGCGTTTTGATTTAAGCCCGCGAAAATATCCGTCGATAAAATAGCTGGCGATCTCTGCCTTATCAGAATCCATACGCGTTAGGTGGCGAGCCCAAGCATATTTTTTCATTGTTCTATTATTTAGTATCATTATATCGGTTTCTATACCGAATAAATTAGCTCGTATAAATAATCCTTAGGTCTTGTAGAGTTTAAGTTGGTAATAAATGCGCGAGCGTCTGCTGTCGAGACTCCTCTTGTACCGAGATACGGTATAAAATGGGACCGCGAAGCTGCAGAAAGCGGAGAAGGTAGAAGACTGTTGGCGAATGCGTTACGAATATTGGACTACGAAACAGAATATCTTTTAGACGATCTCTCGTTACTAGCGTTGGGCTTTAGCCAGCTCCTCGATAGCGACAGAACTCTGCAAGTCGTTCATATAATCGGTACGAGTATTGGGTTTTGGCCAAATTCTCGATACCGGTACAGCGCGTTCATTCCCTTATTGTGTTAATTAATCCATATATTCGTAATCCTAACACCTTTACGCAAAAAGATCTAGTAAACGAGAATCAAACTTCGTTTGTAAGGAAGAAACTATTTCACGTTTTTGTGAAACGAACATAAAATAATAACAGCTTTTACTGAGAAATAACCATATTTTTTCTATAAACTTTGTAATTGTGATCTTTCTTTCTGAAGTACCTTCTTTTTTTTGTTTAATTGCAACGTATGGACTTGAACTGATTCGCGTTGCAAAAAATCCTTTTAGAGTTTTTAGTTTCATTTTGTCATAGAATTTGAAAATTTTTAACACGCGCGAGACAGGTGATTGACGGAAACATACTAGAACAAAATAGAGGTTGAAGAAAGCTGACGGATGATCGTATAGATTGGCTCTTTGGGCGTAGTACCTGGCCAGTTGTAACGTTGCCAAATTTTATTACGAATCGTTCATTCACCGGTTGCCTATTCCATGACCCGCCTCTACGCGCAAGATGAACGCGTGTCTGAGAATTTTCCAAGCGTGCCGAGAGGTCAGTTCGACGAATAAATAAAGAAATGGACGGCGAACACCGGCGGTGGAAACGGATGAAAGTCACGATCGGTGCTCCGTACTTGCTAATTCGAGGAAAAATGTGGAATAACAAAAGCAAATACCACCTGAATGTCCGTCGGCCAAGGATGAAATATCGATTCGGTAAAAGTAACAAAACAAATAACCGAAGAAGGTAAATATATCGAGGCACAAAGGTCTGAGGAAAATGATGGAGGAACGACAAATGGGAAGATTTGACGGCCGTGCGAAAACATACGATATCATAACAGTTCGGGTTCAAAAGAAGTCGGGCTGTTTGAAATTGGAAGCATCGAAAATAACACCGAGGTGCGTGCAAAATGGACGACAACGACTGCAATAGTGTCTTGGAATCCGCTCGGCGATGGTAAAAATTGTTATTTTAAATCGGAGACAGAGACGTTCGAGACGTTAAAGATGAAAGAGAAGTCTGAGACGGTAAGAAAAAATAACGTGCCACTCACCGACCACATTGACCAGGGCGAGAACTTCGCAGAGGTAGTACCTGTAAGCCCACCAATTGTGATAGCGAAGATTTTCCCACAAATAGTCGAGTAGCATCTTTTTCTTCTGCTTCTTCTCGACCTCGGAGCAGAGACCGATGTCGAGGTCCATCATCAGCGCGTGAATTTTCCCACCTTCCCAACCTTTCCACAGCCATCGGGGTGTGTAGAAAAGGATCGCCTGGAAAAGAAACAACGAAAGGGACGGAGGTGGGTGAACGATCGTAAATCCGAACAGCGTATCGACAAACTTTTTATCCGGATCCGAACGATACCGTTTCCTTAAAATTACGTTCGTATTTCCAACCGGTAGGCAGTCTCATTTGTTTCGGTATTCTTTCATCGGCCGCCGAGAAGAATCGGTGTTTAAGAAAAACACGTTCGTCGAATGCGTTATGGGTTATGGCTAAACAATCGGAGCACTGTACGGAATTATCGTTTGCTATAAATCCGGTGATATGTTTAGCTATACTTTGTTCGATAAATGTAAACGGAAATAATTAACGCGTAAAAACGAGCTTTTCGATGTTAATACCATTTTAATAATCGAGATGATTTATTTGGCTGGAAATTTTGTACGATTATGTTTCTCTTAACGTAGAATTGCTGTGTTCCGTGACGCGAAAGGTGAAAGTTTTGAAACGAGTACGTAGCTTGTTTTGAGGAAACGAGAGTGTAAAACATGTATCAAAGCGAAGCACGTGAAAATTTGCCCACGATTATTGCCAGAAACTCTGAAGATAAGTTTTAGTTCGCGTTTTGGTCGCGTGTTGGTTTACGTGTATTGCTTGGCACGCACATAAAGATATCAAATTGGCTGTGCATTTCGTTAGGAGAGATAAAATCGTAGTAAACGGCAGTATTGTTTTAAGCTGACGGATTGATTAATTGCTGTTGATTTAGAAGCAATTCATTTGGATAACGAGTTTACGTTAGCCAGGAGACGGCCAGGATGCTAAATGTATCACCGCGGAATTCTGTTACGAGGGCCGTTAAAGATCGAGATGTCGGTCTTAAAACGGGCACATTTCAGACACGTTTCGCACATGTAAGCGGAAATAACGAAACAAGGATGAGTGAAATATTAGCTTGATACGCACAAAGTGCCGGACCGTTTAAATTGCTTTAAACTGTAATAACATAATTAAAAATAAAAGTTTATCGGTACACGTGATTCTTTGAATAAAAGATTATTTTATAACGCATCAAAATAATACACATACACGTTCACACACAGATCACACGTATGTATTGGTACTACTGACCGAGCAGTCGAAAAATATTTCTACCGATAATAGGTATCGAATATTTGTATCGATCAGGAATATACACTTTGATATCGAGTTGCTTGAATATTATATTAATATGTATATAATCGCATCAGTTTGCTTGCTACTTACAGCTTCGCGTAACCTTCTAGCGAGAAGGTTTTCGCGTTTCGAACTCGTTTACGGTATTATTGTTACGGCGAAGCCAGCCGAAGGTATCTGGCACAACCTTGGTTTATAAGTATTGTTATAATCTAGTCAGAAATAATCGATAACCAGGAAACGATGAGCACATTATAAATACCTGACTTACTCAAGCAGTACGCGGCCCTTGAGTCCCTAAAAATTAAAAGAACATTAAATTTACCTACAATATAAAACACCCATATGCATATAATACGCTATCGTTGAAAAGCATTTGGTGTTCCATGCGTTCGATGCAAAGAAAATTAATTGTTATTTATTAAAAGAACATAGTTGCATTTTTGTACTTCTATACTCTTTTGTGTTCTTCTGACACATCGTGTTACTCTCGCCATTTTTTATATGTTCTAGCGATTGATAATCAGTACCAATGGTGCTACACACGATGGTATTTTAATTAAATAGGGAATTAACGCGACAACGAAAAGAATTGCGTATGTGTCGTACTTGGAGTAGCAGAAAGAAGATGACCCACTGATAATACTTGTGCTGTTTGACTAAGGGATGAGCCGCGTGGCCGTGCATGCCGTCGCCCTTGCTGTTCGAGACGCCGGGATAAGGCACCGCCTGTCCAAGACTCTTATTAAACGCGTGAACCATGCTGTAGGTGGTATGAAGCCAGCAGAAGGTCTCCAAGACAATCTTGTCCACGGAACCGGACGCCTCGCAGTGTATCGGCGAGCCAGAAATACTTTTGCACGCCAAAGTCACGCAACCGCCCAGAAGAAGAGCCACCGTGGCGCGATAATGAAGTCGGAATATCAGCGTGTCTTCGGATATCCTTTGAACCTTGAACAGAGACCGCAGGGAACCAAACACGTCGATCATCTTTAACATTAGAGGCATTTTCTTTCGTTGCGGACGGCCAGTCGCCTTCGACCGCTTGGAATCTCTTTCCACGAGAAGACAATCGCCTTCTTCCTCGTCGTACAAATCCGTTTTTGTGGATGTTTTTTACGTACGGGCCACAGGTCAAGAATTTTTCAAACAGCTTTAGCTCGATCGAAGATACAATATCTTGCGAAGATGTTTAGCGTCGGGAGGATTCGCTATCCTTCCCCATTAAATCCTCTCTCAAGTTCTGCTCCGACGTACCGTACAATCGAAAGCTTGCACCGGATGTTAGAAATCGGAGCCACGCGTACGTTCGTTACTGTACATCGCTCGGTTCTTTCTCTTCGTCGTGTTGTCTTTGGCGATTCTCGTCGGAAGACTCTGCGTAAAGTGAATTTTCCGATCGAGTTGGCAACACCAGTTCCGCTCTGTGCATTTTGCTTATGTTCTGCCCCTGCGACAGAAGCTCGTCGAAACGCAGACGATGCTGGTCCCGTCCGTTTTCCTAGCTCCCATATCCCGACGTCGACCTCTTCTCATCGAATCGCGTGATGATCGTTTCTCTATCGAGTACAAAGATCCACTCGTTTCCACCCTGTTCTTTCCATGGATCCACGCCTCTGATACGCGCGGTCAAGACGCAGTTATCAAACGCGAGTCGTTCGAGCATGCACGCCGGTTACAATTTTGCTGTTTATCGATCAGAAATTTAAATTAGACGGAAACTAGAAAGAAATTTAAGCGGAGATTCGTTCGAAAATTAAATGAGAACGAAGAATGAGAGATTGGAACGAGTATTCGGACACGGTAACAGACACACGTGGGGCGCGAAAGCAAGCCGTCGGAAGACTGGCCGAACTTGAGAGGCATCCCTTGGCCTCGATGCTAAACACATAACTTATATGATCTTCTAAGTATCTTCCTCTCGAATACGAGGGAAATTTGAACAAGATTTTGCCAGATATTACGCCGTTTTCATAGATCAATACAATTTTCTGAAATTGCATTTCTAGTTGTTAGAAACGAACTCTGTGTACAGATCGTATCAAAGTAGATATAAACGAATTCTTCATTTGATACGAAATTGTGAAACCTTTGTACCTATTTAAGTTATTGCTACAAAACGAATCGAAGATTTCGAACTATCATTGTTAGTAGCTATGTTAGTAATCTACAGGATATAGATACAATATTTGTAAATCCAGTAAGGAGCGATTCTACATACAAAAGTAAGAGAAAATCGACTTTGGAAATAGAGTACTGTCCTGAGTTTAGTGGCATAACTAGGAATAATAATTACTGATCGAACGCGTCGAAAAATGTTATTCTTTTTTTTCGATTATATACTTTTCGATGTATACTTTACTGCGTATAATCACGCCATTCGTCCGAATACACCCTGCATACGTAGCTCAATGACTTCCGGCAACATAGTACGATGCTCGTAGAGCCGCATTAGCGTCATTTAGTTCTTGTTTCTTTTCCAGATCCAACTCTTTTATCGCTTATACTTTAGAGTGAAAAATTCATTAAATCATTAATCTCATTTTCTATATTTCTTATTGGAAATCGATGACAAGTATTTCTAGGATTTTCATGCATTGTTTTTATATTATATTTTGTTTAATTTTTGACCCATCTCCCTTAACCTTTCTAGAATCAAGGCGAGGATTTTTATTTTTTATTTATTTTTCAATAATTCAAATCCGTGTACGAATTATACCAGTGCTCTTAGAATGTCTTAATTAATCTTTCCTTAAAGGAAGCTGTTTCTAATACAGCCTTGCAATAATTTCTATTTGAAGTGATAAGCTGCATCGAGGTACACGAACGCAGATATGTATTTAATATACGATCTTACTGATTGCATCACTGTTTTGATAAGACAACTGTATATGTAACGTTTTCCTTATAGACATTTGCCAAATAGGAAAACATCCGAAAGAACACAAAAACACCTGCGGGATACTGATTCGATTCTGAAACACACTTCCATCTGAGTTAGACTTCGAACTTGTAGGTCTGTAGATTTAGCAGAACTAGAATTATCGAAGCCAGAAGCTAATCGATTCGATGAGAGACTTTTTTATTCGATGAAAATGTCTATTCGTATCTCATTCACGCTTATGTTTCACTCCTACGCGTTGAAAATACTTTTTACGAATATTTATACCCGAGGAAACATATGCAGAAGAGTAAATTGGCGCTAGAAAAAATTTATATAAAGTTAACGATATACATATGTATCCCAGGTACCTATGTTTATAATGAAATTATTCATATTTAATTGGACTATTTTTTTGCCCATCTTTTCTAAAAAGTTTATGCACAAATAGCCGCTTGTACGTAAATAGTGTCACCTTTTTCGCGATATCACGTCTTTCGTTATTCGTGCCGTATCAAAAATGAAACGCGTCGAATAAGTTGGATTCGCGTGGATTATGACCTGGAAAGGATGACGTTGATTTATGTCGATGACGTTGTTGGTGAAAAAAATGAAAAATGCAGGGCGTTATGATATCACGTGTAATAATGTATACGTGGTTGATTATTAAGGATTGGCTTCGAGCCAGCGGCACTTGTTGTCGCGAAACGCCCAAAAGAAAAACGGACACCGCGAAAATCCGAGCAAAAAGAATATGAAACATATTCGGGTCATTGTCGCTCTATACTTAGATCGAGGGTTTGCGTTACTTGCATTGAATTATGTTCGCGCAGAGTTAGAAACGATTTAATTATTCGGTCGAGTAATTGGATTTGGTCCATCTCGGCCACGTAATTAGGAGACTCCATTCACGCGGAAGATGATGGATTAATCCCTCCACGAAACGTACGTTCTCGCTGTTATTTATCTAAACCGACCTAGTTGTTAGTTAATTAACTGTCAATTCAATTTCTGAAGCAAAATCTGTCCGTGATCCATTCGATTAATCGGATCTGAAGTTTTTGAGACATTGACCGCGTATTATTGTGGTTCGAATACTTGTTGAAGTTTTCGAAACGCAATTTAGCAAAGGCAAGAACGTTCGCGGATCGATATCGAACCAACGGAAAACACTAATTCCATCCAACGACACGTCTACTTGAAGAGATCAGTTAAAAGGTGAGGGTGGAGGAACGTCTTTGACCGAGCGTCAAGGCGACGAGTACGACAGCGACCCTCGGTGACGAAGTAACAGCTACTGGTTTAACGAGTTAATATGCTTAGGGTTTCCTTCTTGGCAATGAACTAGATATAAGCTTCTGTAAGCAGCGAGTAAATTCCTCGATCGTAGCCGCAACCAGTCCATTCGTTATCCGGCTTTTCTCATTGCCGAACGTATCTAGAATTTCTGTCCTAATGTACACTCTTAATCATCTAACGACCAACGCTCTGAAACCGAACCAATCGAAAATCGTTACACACGATTCCGTAATCGAGGATACTCTATTTTCAATGTTTAATGTTCGTTCGAATAATAAAGTAGACAAACAAATGGAGCTTGGACTATTGAAGTATTTTGTAATGCTACGAACGAACTTGAAATATTTCTGTATTTGAATATCATTATTCAAATGGTAGAAACGAAATGAGAGTAATTTCCTACTCTAATATAACTTCTTATCACTTTATCCGCTGAAAAAGTTCTGTATACAGTTGGAAACATAGTGATCCTAAGTCTAGAAATATTTGATCGACAGAAGGCCTATTTAAAAATTGTGTAAAATTGATTACCTGAAGGAACAGCATGAAGCAGACCCACTGATAGTACCTGTACTCCTTTCGTTCGCTCTCTGGATGCGACTTTGAATTGTCTACACCGGGAAAAGGTACCTCGAAACCTTCCCGCTTCCTGTAAGCCGCGGTGATCGTGTAGGTGCTGTGGATCCAACAGTAAGTGTTCAACACGTCCTCCGGCAGATCCTTGCTGTGTATGCAATCGATCGGATTGCCCACGTATTGACGCGTCGTGACGATTAATGAAAACGCGATCAGCAGGATGACAGTCATGCTGTAATGCAACCTGAAGACGGCAGTGTCGATGTGCACGTGAGAGATCTTGATCAGGCTCTTCAAGCCTCGGAATATGTCCAGCATTTTGACTCGAAGATCGACAGTGGGAATGGACGAACAGGTATCGCTGGATCACGACGATCGTCCGTCGATCCTTTCGATCCTCGTTCTTCACATCTTTCGCTGTCGAAGACACCCTTTCGTCTATCCTCGAAATCCAAGACAAATTGTCGATCACTTATTGACTATTTCAGGCTGGTTACCTAACTTTCTCCTAGAGGAATAAAGCGTTAGAGTCCGAAAAATCTGGATGTGTATACTTTTTTTAGTCTGGTAGAGAAAGACCTTTGAAGTTTTGTCCAAAACCGATTCGTTCGATCGACAAAGGACAGTCTTTGTCGCGTTATCTTCGAAAGATTTTGCTAAACGATCTCGGCAACGTAGGATCCTTTGAAGTGATAGGATCCAGTGCCGCCGCCAATCTTCTTCTATACATTATTCCTCGTTCAAAGCATCGTAAATTCTGTCCAACTCTCGCGGCTGGTCGGTCTTCTGGTCTTAAGTGTTCGAAAAACCGGACTTTCGAACGATAATCTTTTTCGAAATGTTCAACCCGCCACCTAATTCGCTCATGTTTCCAAGATATTCGGCGAAATTCTCTTGGCGAAGTAATTTTCTAAACCGAAAGCAAACCAGGTTTTCACAATTGTCGTTTCGACTGAGAAAATGTTCACTTTTCACACCGAGCGCCATATATCGCGCCATTCACATTCACTGTTAAAGTTTTTTCGATAAACCATCTTCACTGTGATTACGAACGAAGCACTACCGGAAAGTAGCGTCGAAATTGTTTATCTATCGTTTCGAAACTGACTTTACAAGAATATTTGAATTACAAGAATCAAAAACTGAGTTTAGGATAATCAAATATCCTTCGTATATATATTTTTTCGCCATTCTAGAATAGTCTTCCGTTGTGTAATTTATGTTAAGTTGCTACTATAACATTCCGCCAGTGATAATATTTTTTAAGCTTCAATTTTATCAGAACAAGTTTTTTATATGTACATACGTATATTGAAAATTGTATATACACTCGGTGATTTTTTCCTTTTAAACTACACAGAGCAGCTAATTCCTGAAAAATATTTAAAGTTTTTAACTAATTAAAAATTAAATTAAAAATATTTAAATAAACGAAAGAGGGACCATCTTAAAACATTACACGGGCCACAAATGGCCCTCGAGCCATATGTTACCGAACCCTGTCATATCACATTACGATTAATATCAATCTGTAATGGTGAAATTGATTTAACCATCCATTACGGGATAATGAGAGACAAAACAGAGCTAACGTTGCCTCTGATGCAGCGGTGCGCAACTTTCTTCGTTACTGAGCCAAAGAAAATGAAATCATAGATCTTCCGTGGAGTACGATTATATACCCATTCGAACGTAATATAAAAATGTAGAAAGATTAAAATATTGCACCTTGACTTGTAGTGACATTAGAAGTTTGAGGAAGCATGCGAGTCTCAGGATAAGCTTTTTAATAATTGGCTTTAACGATCTACTGGCAAGTTGCGTAATGTTATTGAGATTTTCATCTTTCTTCGGCTTCATAATTGGAGAGCCTTGTTCGAATAGAAGCACATTATGTTTGGATAAGAGTAGAGAATTATATTTTCTGCCTTTATTTTGAAAGGTTTGACTCGACTCGATTCGCGACTTTGTGCACCGCTGCTCTAATGGGCCACAAATTAGACTAAATGAAAAATGGGCAGGAAAGCGTGTTTAAGCTCAGCTTGTCAATTAACTCGACTCGAAAATAAGTATTCGGAACAGGTTTACAACTTAATATAAAGCAGTGACGCTAACCGATTGGATATCAACATTCTCGTTTGAAGAGATCGTGCTGCCTATCTACGCGACGATTAATGTATAAATCCGCATACACTACCCCCTGTATACAGTCACTGGCAGTAAAAATAGTACAGAACACGTTGTAGGAAACGGTAGCTTACAATTAATACGGTTACAGGAAAAGAATTTTGGTAAAAAATGAATTACCGATCTCTAACTTACATATACATAGAATCACAAACTAAATATTATCTTTCGTTACAGGAAAGAAAAGACAACTTCGATAAATGTAAGTCTAATTGATTTTACTTTAAAATTCGAAAAAATCCCTCACGATCATTTATCATTTTGTAGTATTTCCATGTTAGTGTCTTAAAACCGAGTAACTTTGTTAAGGCTAATTTAATATTTTTTCCTTGTGTTTTTCACATGAAGATGTATTATTATATTATCGTTACTCTCATCGATCTGTGAAAGAAGGAGAAAATATATTGAAAATCCTATGTCTCTACCTTGAACCTCATTTGACAAACGTGACAAACATTTTAGAATCTCTTTGAAAATAAGTTTAACGGGCGGTTGACGGAAGATAAAAGGATAAACGTGTCGGCACAGAACGATCGGGAAGATTTGTCGCTAACGAAAGGGTGTTTTTCAGTCTGCAACACCCGTCGCATAAAATATCGATACTTACGCCCACGCGATTCTTCTCGCCGAAGACAAAACATCGACGGGACTCGCGGCAGGTTTGCTTTTCTACTTTATACACCGGTTTTGTCGTGAGGCGCGAAGTAGCGTACGATAATAACGCTCGCGGTTCCTATTTGTAACGCAAAGCGCGATTATCTAAAAATAGAGAAACGCGCGCGAGCCCCCAATTTCGAGAAGACAGCTGACACTTTCATCGAGATCTATTGGAGAAATGCACGAAACGCGCACAGTGCCAGAGGAGCCCTAGATCCTCGACGGCAGCATTTCTTTCGCGAACGTCCGGGAAAATTGTGCAAAACTGCATCGCGATCGCTGATTTTTAAACGCTACCCATCGTCGTGTCGCGCGAAATTCTTAATACATATCTTCGGAAACAGTCAACGGGATACCAGAATAGATCTAATGAGTAATTTTACGGAAATAGAAGCTTTTTGTTGCGGTGAAAATTCTTTGAATCCCCTGGTCGAAGCGTCGCGCCGCGTTCCGAGAAGCGACGTTTCCACGGCGAGAGACCATTTCGTCGATCCTCTCTCGGGAACTAAAAAGTTCGACGTCTGGCTTTTCCGGTTTTTCTCTCGCATCTGGGATTCGATATTTTTTATTCGTCTTTAGATATAAAATTTAAGGAAACATAAAACATCAACGTCGACGCGAATTATGCGGTTGCTCGAATTAAATTTCATTCGACTGGTGTTTTTTACTCGCTGGCAATGAAAATATATATTACCGAACCGGCAAGGAAAATAATATTTATTCGAGGTGAATGAAAATAATCGAGGGAGAAATGGACGGGATTCCCAAATAGCCAGACACTACTACAATCAGAAAATCGAAATTCCGGTAGATTCGATGTTTTACTATTCGATGAGAATAGTGGAAATTCGGAGACTATCGTTCTTTCAGCGAAAAGATTTTAGGGAAAATTGTCCATTTCGAAAATCAACTTTCGTTTTCGATTATTAAAATTCAAATTGGACACTTCGCGTCGAACGAGCGAAGCGCTTCGGTCAGTATGCAAAAACATCGTTCTAAAGATTCCCTGCATCAGTCAACGAACTCGTACCGCGAAGCACGTTAATAAATCGACCTTGTTGGAAGCGAACGGAAACTTGAAAATAATATTGTTCCAAAATCTACCGTCACGCGGTGTCTTGCTCGATTACGTTTCATATATTTCAGGCATTTTTAATCTGACCTCTTAAATTACTTCGAGATTCGTGATGTCAACACTACCTGCACGTACCCCAAACGATATCATGTTTAGTATTACTATAATATCTTTTCTGGACCGTTCAGAATTCGTGGGTTTCTATATTTTCTTTTCTTTCGCATGGCCCAACGAAGGGTTGTATGGTCCCCCTTTGACAATCGATGGCCCAGAAAACGCGCGTCTCGTCCGCTCAATCGCACAACAACCCGAACTTTGATAATATAAGTTTACTCTAGCACTATCAAAGAATTGCAAAAAAAATTCCAAGTCACCGAAACAGTTTTCGTGCGTGTTTACCACAATTTGAAAGCGAACAAGTGTCGGCGGAACGAAACTCGATCGGCAGAATGTTGTTAGTCCCCGTCGGATCTATTTTCTTCGCGGACCACTAATTTCACTTTCCGCGTACAAAATTGTTCGGATTGGCAGATTTTCGCGCAGAAATGCGCGATGCGCAAATACATGCGCACTATCCGCGAAACCGTCGCTAATCGTTTCACATACGACTAGAAGGGTTTGCACGATTGCGAAGCGTTTTCCATTCTCGCGTGGCTCGTCGCGACGTTAATAAACATATCGTCGGTACTGCGAAGAATTTGACGCGCGCTACCAGAGTCGCCGAGAACGACGCGGTTCCTTTGTAGACTAAATCTGGTAAGCGACGCGCACCGTGGAATCGGATTGCTGTAACGAAATCGGGACCGTTCGGGGAACGGAAACGGAAACAGAAACGAGAAACGAGTAAAGTAACCTAAACGTTCCCACACGAGCCGAGGAAACGCGTCGACGAACGTATCGCACTGGTCGAGGAACGAACGAACGGAGACGGATTGCGGCGATTTCCCAGAGAATTTTGAAAGCGTTGTTCCGATCGCACGCGCACCATCCGCGGAACCACGTTACCAAACCTCCAACCGACTTTACTTGACTCGACTCGACTCGACGCGGATCGACTGGTCGTGTTTGCTAGCCAGGGCATAGCACCTCCCGAGGAGTCAATCCGCTCCAGGAATAGAAACACCAAACCCGAAATGTTCGAGCGTAGAAGCGCAACATTAAAACACACCGCACCGCTCCGCACCGCATCGCGAGTCGCGAGACCCTCGGAGAAGAACCGCCGCGGAAACTCGACCATCCGCGTTTCCTATTTTTCGCCAAACAATTTCCCGCTTCCATCGAAAACGATCGCCAATTGTTCGAAACTTTCGTCGCATTGTTGTTGCGGCGGTTTCATTATTCCAGCAAAGCCATCGAGTACTGAAATAAATACCGGTACAATGCCAGTATCGGATCGTTTCACATAAATCCGTGTACTCTAAAAATTAAACTATCTTTCTTTCTGTAACTTTGTAATTTGAATTTTGTAAGTGTTCATCTAAGCAAGTTACGAGTACGTAAAATGCGCGACAAATTAAACATCAGGAAGAGCACTTTGTTTCGTTTAAGTAGTAGCCGTTACGCTCGTCGTGGTATTTTAATATTTCTATGACTTGGCTGCGCTTTCTGAGAAAATAATCATCCTGCTTCTTCGAATAGTATTATTTGATGTCTTAATGTTGGGATGTTCTAAAAGTTCGAGCAATAGTGGACGTGGGATTAGAGCGATGAAAAACAGAAGATTTTGGTGGCGATTGATTTGACGTGGAATGTTCTTAAGGTTAATTTAGGCAGAGACCACGTGGCCAAATGATCTACGAGAAAATGTCTAGTGGCACCAGCAACCCGCGTGCTAACTGCTTACATTTAAGCCACGAACGGAACACTTACAGCTTGCTTTCTTAAATAAATGTCCGACAACGTTAACGAACGAGATTTTCGAGCGAATTTAAATGCTGCGCGAACCGAACCGACTTACGATACTCGGAGCGGTTCAAAGGCTGCATGTATCACAAAAAACAAAATAATCAAATTTCCCTTGTACTCGGTTTCAAACGGTTAAAAACACCCACACGTCAATCAGTTCACTTCCCGTTTTCCAACTCCTTAAACACAAATCAATCATATCCGTACTACCAAGTTCTATTTGTATGCTTTCCTCGGGAACATATGTTTCATTAGGAAAACGTGTTTATCCATACGTTACACCGAGCATGTAATACGATAAAGAGATACATACATGGAGATACGTACATCGTTTAGTCAATTTGTATTACAAATCTCTGTTTTTTTTTTCTTTTTAACTAATAATTAACAACAGAGTGCATTTCCATAGGTATTTTTATTTTGAACTTTTTATTAGAGGAGTTCCGTTTAAACTCCTTCGGCGGAACTTATTGAAAAACTTCTATATTTGTTGTTTCGACCTTTGGATGTGGCCCAATTTCAATTTTTGAGCGGGAGGAGGGTGTGATTTCGATTGCCAGACCTAACTCGATTGACGTCACAAGAGGGAGTCGATATATCGATAGTATAGGAATATTAATATCGAACTGATATAGCATCTAAATATACTGATACTATAAGTAATAAACCGGTTCAGCACGCAGCTAGCGCAATGCTTTCCAAATTATGCGTTTTTATTAAAACTTTTTAATAGTACCTATGTTAAATATAATGAGAGTTTGAAACTCTTAAAATTCCAAACAGTTACGTTGACGGAAAATGGAGGCGATGATAAATTTTATAATTTTTCAGAAAACAATTTATTTTTCAATATGTATAATATCACAATTTTATATTTTCTATCATATATACATACAATATTGAGTAGTATTCGGTGTAATGGACAATGAATTTTCCATTTTTTTATTGTACGCTTTAATTTTTCATATCTATAAATATCAGAAAAATGTTAAATTTGCAGTATAACATAGCCAGTGATAAAGACCACACACACAGAAGTATAGATACAAATGTTAAACTAAAAATTTGTTAAAATTGACGTTGACTCTTTTTCTAAATACAATTAAATTTCCCTCCATACGTATCGTAGTCCTCTGCCTAAGTCTTGCCGCCAGTAGCGCTACAAACGCTATACCGTAAGCATACTGCGAGTTGTATTGTTGTATGTCCCTGCGGACAATTTAAAGATGGCTGCACTTTATACTCGTGCGTAATAGAGTAAGTATAGTAGTGTGCTTTGAATGAAATTTTTGTTTAATTTACCGTTTCTAACGTACATTGGGTATAGCGTGTAAAATTATTGCGTTCTAAACGTAGTTCGCCGTGAACTCTTCGTCCGATTAATTTCGTTTGTTCAACTGTTATTAGAACGTCCTTGAAATATTTATTTGTTTTTCATGGACAGTGGACCGTACGATACTCGTTTTAGTACTATACTGAAGCTATTTTTTGTACGCACGCGTGAAAAACGCGATTCGTCCGGAGCATTGATACGATCGAGGAGAACGACTTATTTCTCGCATTCGCAAGGTTATATTAAGCGGCGAAAAAAATGGAGAACAGCATTATAAATAAGAAAACCGTGCTTTCCATACAACAGAAATTGGATATTGTGAAGAAATTGGATGCTGGTGTCCCTATAAGTGAAATAGTTGGTGACTATTCTGTTCATCCTTCAACGGTTCGTCGCATCCGGCGAAATTGCTTAGCGTTGCACCGCCTTGGTAGCCTGGGTGCTCACGTTCGAAGAAGGAAGAGGCTGCGGAAACCGAGAAACGAAGAACTGGAAAATCGCCTTCATACATGGTTTTTACAACGAAAAGCATTGGGGGATCCAATCACCGATTTATTACTGCAGAAACAGGCGCAAGAAATGGCTAGACAGTTCAAGGGATCAACAGAATTTAAGGCTAGCATGGGGTGGCTGGCAAAATTTAAAAACCGCCATAACATTCGCTTAATCAATATTTTTGGTGATAAAGGTAGCACGGATGTAGCTGCTGCTGAAGATTTTGCAGCATCCTTTACTCATAAACTAAAAGAAGAAAACATTCGATACGAGAATGTGTACAAGATAGATGAAACTGGTTTGACATGGAAAGCTATACCCATGAAACAGAAACAGTTGAAGAAAGACCGAGTAAGCTTCTGCTTGTGCTCCAATGCAACAGGTACCCACAAACTAACACCATTATTCATATATAAATACAAAAATCCAAGAGCACTGAAGAACATGAGAAATCAGTTGCCAGTGGTATTTAAAACACAAAAACGTGCTTGGGTAGATCGGACAGTATTTAGAGATTGGTATGAAAATTATTTTAAACCAGCTGTGAGAAAACAACAATTGGAAAGCGGTAGAATTGGAAAAGTTTTTCTCTTGGTAAACAACTGTCAAGATCATAAATTCAATCAGTCTGAATATGAAGAGGACAATTGTTTTCGGATTGTGTGCTTTCCATCCAAAACCACCTCTGTTTTACAACCAAAGAATCAAGGAATTATAGCCAAAATAAAAAGTTCCTTTCGTCAGAAAATGTTGCAACGAATTCTGTCCTACCCTGGTGGAATACAGGAATTTTATCAAAAGTACAACATAAAAGATTGTATTAATTTTCTCCACGAGGCTTGGACAGAATTGACCACGACAGATATCGTAAATGCATGGAGGAGAATTATCCAGACCATGCCTCGGGTCGCGCCAACCACGGAAGAAGCTATCGATCCGTTGGAACCCCAATTCGAAGATATGATAAATGCTATAATCGGCGAGGAACCCTCTCAAGAAAGAGTCAGTGTATTTCTATCGACGTGCGATGAAGCAGAGAACAATTTTTCCGAAGCGGAGAATAATTTTTATGAAGATGAGACGGACGAAGCGGAAGAAGAAGATTCCGGAAGGCATCTGTGGCAAGAGCAAGAAAATAACAATTTTTCAAAACCGCTCGATGAACGATGCTTAGAAAAGGAGGAAGAAGAAGAAGAATATCCACTGGAAGACACGCGAAAGAAAGAATTGGAAGAAGCTTTCCACATTTTAACGAAACATGCCGAACACGAGTCCCGATTCATCCAACTAACGGTTGCAAATTTACAAGAACATTTTCTAAGAAGAAAAAAGTAACGAATGAACGGTTTGGTAATTGAAGAAATTTCTGACACGAACCAAAAGCAACCGACATTTCTAATGTCCACCAGATAAGTAGTCCTGGATATAACGATGCGTACATAGGGTATAGTCGGAGACATAGACAAACTGAGGGAGTGCAATGAAGTACAACCCACGTAAAAACTATGGGGGAGAAACTGGAAAACTTCCTAAAAATATTCCTTACAACAACACTAAACGAGAACTGTTTAAGGAAAGGAATCCATTGAGCTCAGAGAAATAAGATACAAAATCAACATCCCCTGGTGGGAAAAGTAGTTCGATGTTTTGATCTTTGAGAACATATGTATGTCAGGGAAAGAAGCGGTCAAGGAGAATTTAAAAAAAGATTTCGTTGCTCAGAAGAGCGATAAGGAACGTCGATCAGAAACTTTATATCGAGAGGGAAATTGTTCTAAGCGGATCAAAGCTCTCTCTCCTGGTAGGAGTTAGTAGACTGTAAACTATAGTAGAGATGTAAACATTCATTAGTTTTCTTCTCACAAACGGACAGTAGATACTACGCAGAACGATTTCCCAATTATCGAAATCTCGATAGGATAAAAAAATTAAGAAGGCAGCGAAGAAAGCTATAATAAAGAAATAACAAGATCGATCGTAGGGAAGAAAAATAATTAAACGTCACAGTTATTCTGTAATAAATGCTTTAACTAAAGTTCCTATCTTAATCGATGTTACTTTATTTAAACTTTAAAAAATTGTATAAACGAGTCGAATCTAATTACGATTAAATTAATGATAAAAATAAGTTACTTGTTAGGTTGTAAAATAGTTTTTTGAGACTTTATTTTCTATTCTCTTAAGCATTTATTTATACAATATTATCATATTTTTTAACTTTTCTAACATATTTTATTAACTATTATCTCACTTTTGCTTTGCAAAACAAAATTTCTTCTATTAATACGATTCTTAATAGAATGCAAAAGTTATGGCTAGGTACTGGGACATCGAAATCTGAATGCTAGAACAGTCGCATTTGGTTAACCACATATTGGTACATTCGTGTTTACTGACATTTTTATCCGTAGTAAATTTCATACCGTAAAAAGTAGAAATGACCAATTATTAGTATATTGTTTATCTGCGACTTTTGATCATTTTTCGGCGGTTCGAAATCGCTTAGAAATTTCCTGACTCGTATGTCTAAAATAATCGAAGTTAATATTCGGTAACCGTGCGTATCGAGGAAGCGTAAAAAGATACAATTATATTTCCCAGTAGATAAGTAATTTCTTTTCGAAAATCTGTACGATCGGTCGACAGTCTGTTTCTGCGACAAACGATGAAAAATGAACAACACTGTGATTATAACGGAACAATAATCAGAGGTGCGCGAGTACCTCGACAGCGGCAACCGGAGGCGTTTGATCCCCGCTCAAAATCACGGGTTCCGATTCAGTCTGAACGATCCTGACCAAGTTCGCGTCCTTCTTCGAAGGTGCGACATTCGTATTCGAAGCAACGTTCGATCTAGCGCAATAACTCGGTGGTCTGCTTTCTCGAGTTGTGCCGGGAGTCACGATACTACCAGCATTGGACCTGTAGGTCGGCGGAGGCGAGGACGTTGGTTGCAAACGATCCAGAAGCAATAGTCGAAGCCTATACTCCTGCATACTCGCCTGAAATCACAATCGGTTACAAGTATTGAAATTTCAGCTTTGTCCTTTCTATGACGCGACGTATCAATTTCTCCCACAAACAAATATGACAATTTCTTTAAAATTTTGTAGATCCGTAGGGGACTCAAATAGAAGTGGTATTTTTTGTGATTCTTCTCATCGATACCGATCGATCCCTTCTAACGAAGCTTTCCAGACAAGTATGTATACAAGTAGCACACATTCTTGCGTTCAAAATGCCTTCTAATACTTACATTATTCTTTACAACGAAAAAGAAAATAGGTTTGAAGGAGCGTTAAAAGAAATTTATGAGCTGTTACCTGATAACTTGGTGGTGGTGTTCTAAACTGAAATTCCGGATAAATCATAGCAGCGTACGGATGAATTGGCCTTGCTGGCGGGATCCTGCCCGAGATCCCCGTGAAACCAAAGAAACTACTACAATTTTCTCGACTGGTCACTCGCCACGCTACAGCGCTCACAGTTACCAGAACCACTCCTATACCTGCAACAAAACGCGTTGCCAGAAAGTAAGCAAACGTATTTCGAAAATCAAACGCATCGAACAAATCGATCGTTTAAACGTCGACTACAATTAAGTAAACTTGTTCACATTAAAAAAATGATAATGTTACTTGTCGAACCGTCTTATAATTATGAGCTACACCGATGCTAAATAATGAAATTCGTCTATACACGTTCCTTTTATTTTGGGACTCAACCCCCTCTATATTAGGCACCATCTATTATACATAAAAATTTAATAATAGGTTACGATTATTAATAAAGTTCAATTTGAAAAAATAATGATACACGAGTGTTTGCAGTGTTGGGTGTTCTCAACGTTGTGAACGAATCGTGTGAAATAGTCAGCTGAATTCATTGGATAGTTAAAAATTACGGTAACGTTAAGTATTGTCATGTGTTCTCACGAACGTCAGCATGCGAGAATAGTGAGAATTAAGAAAATATCCTTCGAAGAAACGTAATTATCTAAGTTTTCGCATACGCACATTTGCGCTACCCTCTCATACTCTGGCACGAATTCTTCCTCGCTTATGGCATTCGAACCATACTTACAGTTTCTTTTGGTACGATACCGCCCCTATATCGAATAGTTACATTTTTTTAATCATCTTCTAATAGGACATTTTGAGATGCACACAATGATCTACAATTAAAATTCACTTAAGGGCAGAATCGTGTAAAATCTGTTTAATGAGAACTGTGAATGTACTAACGAAACTAACCAAATATTCAGAATTCAGCAGAAATTTATACGACTCGCCATCTTTATTTGCAATTTTCTAGTACCTCTGTCTCACGGTCCTTCGACGCGTAGGCGTACGACGTCGATCTCTGTAGGTTAGAGCTTTCTCCCATTGTGAGAGCCATTCTATACAGGTCGCAGGTTACATGCCCACGTTTAGAAAGTAACCATTACGATCACGATTCCCCTTCTTTCGTTATGCCACGAACCTCTTGCAGTTTCCTACTGCCTCTGCTGCGTATTTCATAACTCGTTGTTTCTCATTTCAGTGATTTTAATCCTTCGAAAATATGCTTCGAAAGAATCCAAGATAGAAATCTCGTAATAAGCGCAACTCGTCTAACGAACGCATCTCATTTCTGTGTTTTTCAAATAAGGATTTGTTTCTAAAGTAATTTCCAAATCCGAAAAATGTGGTACAACTGGCAACGATAGGGATTCTAGGACCGAAAATGAATCGAAAGGACGTTGATACGTGCAAAGAAGATAATTCTTACCGATCATGAGAAGCGCTACGGCAATGTGATCCCGACCCGAAGCTCTGAGAGCCCCTAGCAGAGCGCCAGCACCCGCGCATACGAGACCCACTACTCCGACGCCCAGGATGGACCAACGTACAGGAGGGGAGCCGAGGCCGCAACATTGCTTCGGTACAGCGTCCCTGTAATACAATAACCAACGGATGAAACGATATACCGATGTACGTGTCAGGTAAATCAATCACATCTTGAGTCATCACGAAGCCGGCAAACTGCCCATTGCACCCCCTTGTTCAGAGTGGTCGAGTATTAATCCTGACTCTGCGTTACCTCTAAAAAAATACACGCAAATTCGTATTCACCTGCCAAAAGCAGAGACGCTAGTCGAAACCGGAAAAGGTAGACCAAGGCTAAGGCCCCTAAGACCCAAATGAGGTGGCGGCGGGTGCAGAAATCCCCCTGGAGGTGTTACCAATGGTATTCCGGGCGCGGTAGAAGGCTGGCATCCCGGTGATGTGCCAGGATACGATGGTGGTAGCGAACAAGATCTCAAGGCACGACGGTGTTGTCTGCGCATCCGTCTCTCTCTTCTACGAGCACCTCGTATACCGTCCAGTTCCTCCAGTGCTTCCAGACCGCTCTGGAGAGCCAGTTCCGTCTGCGCCTCCGTCGAAGTAAAAGATCGCGCATTCTCTCGCGACTCCTACAACAATACATCGAAACATCATTTACAGGCTATCTCATAATCATCGGATAACTTGAAACGTGCAAATTTCTTGCACGCAGAGATATCAGAAAAAAATAGCCATCGGCTTTCCCATCGACTGCGATACCCTGAACCTTTGTGGAAGGTGGTGTGCCCTTCGTCAAGACGCACGATGTTGGTCACTCGTGTGCAAGGTTTACGATTATTATCGCGAATAGAAAAATCGCGGGAGGCACGCAAAAATGTGCAACAAGAATCGTGCAGTAAAACGTCTTTTCACGAGTAAGAAGAAATGTTATTTCACTTGTGTTGCCTATCGGATACCGATCACCCCGTACTCTTATCGCTTTCCTTTCGGATTACGTTTTCTCTCCACTCTTGTTTACAGTATACTCAACACTACCTTAACCTACATACATCCTGTGTCCTGTATAAATGTTTTTAACCATCTCTCGCTAACCTCTTTTTTCGTTACCGTTGCCTGTAATTACCTCCTCCGCACGCTCTACTGTCCCCATTCATTTCCCCACTCCTATCTTGTCTCACCTGCACCACCATCTCTTCTCTAATTGCTGCTCTTCCTACCTCATGCATTCCGTGTATGCTCACCCCCTTCTTCTATTGCTTACTCTTCTCTCTCTCACACCACCCTTGATTCTCTAATCCACCTTAAAATCCTTCTCACCCACACACCCTGCATTTCTGCCTTTCTTCGTCCATGGAATATCTTTCCGATATACTTTGTTCTATCGCCAAACGTAAAAAAAAGCTTGTCTAACCGAGTCCCTAAGGCATACATATGTACGTACCTAAATATCTAGCTTTTATTTTATTTGGATGTAGGATTAATGTCATCCTGAGAGTAGCATGATAACGCGTTTGAACAGTAGAGAAGTATCGAACGAGAACATGTGAAATGGAAAAAAAGAGGAAATGTGTAAGTTAATAGAGAGAAAAAAATATGTACCTGCGGTCTGATGAGGTGATTGTTCCTAGCATTATCGATGGTTGCACCGCCTACTGTGACGACACTGACGGGTCTCGGGGCATTCTCGGACAGAGCCCCAGCCATCGTGCGACTCTGAACATCGGACTCCAGGGTAATTCACCTTCCCTTTTGCTTTCACAACTTCACTCGCTATCGCGCTTATCCTAAACTCCAGTTTTACACGTTCCGCTCTTATTCTCCCCTCTCTTCTCCTCTCCGCCTTTCCACCGCCATCCACTCGGTGATATCCTTGTCCTTCTCGCGACTCGCCTTTCTCTTTTTTCCTGTTTCGATCGAGTATTACTTCACTACGTATCTCGCTTTTCATTTATCCCGATCGAGTGTTGCTTTTCTTTTTAAACGTCTCTTTCCTATCTTTCACGTTGTCTTTATTCCTTTCATATTCATGTTCTCTCTGTGCACTGTAATCCGTTATGTCACTCCCGACCCGTCGCACTACGCCTATATTATCTGCCTTTCTTCCTACCTTTATTTTCGCTTTACAGACATCCCTCATTCTCTGCTTTTCGTTCCCTCTGTCTTTCCATTTACTCGCACTCTACTTTGTCGCTGTTTCTAGTTGTCCCGTCTCTTTTGTCCAACAAAGCGTGAATCGTACGCTTTTGTCCGTTTTTCGTACGCTCCGTGGTGTGCTTTAATCTTTCGTTTCGCCGCTAAATATCGCCCATTCCCTTATTTTCTCAGCCAAACACATTTAAACTGTCAGTTTCCAACCCCGGATTTTCTCGTCTGCATTTCTCGACAATTTTCTTCTCGCTGGTTCGCGATTTTACCACAGAGCGTGCAAAATCGTTGATCTAGTGGGATAAAAATCAATATTTAACAATACTTATAAACATGTATCTACTTTAAAATCAATTCTATCGTAATCTACAGATAGTAAACGAACAAGAAAATCAAATATTGACTACGCGAATTTGTGTGCTTCTTCAATATTCAAATTATCCAAAGTATTTTTTATATTAATATTGTATATTTCAGTTTAGAGTAATGTAAGTTTAATTACGTTGTTATGAAAGCTTTCTCGATTTTCGTTCCTCCAGATCAACGATTTTACGCACTGGATAGTGCCTTTGATCGCTAACGGAGGAAAGACGTTTAATTTCTAACAAAAATTCATCAGAACCTAAACCTTCTTTCGCATTGTACAATTATATACAAGTATACTAAATCTTCAAAGTTTCTTTCAAGTTTTGCAATTCATTGTTTAATAACTCCTGCGCAGATTTATATGGTTCATTTTGCAGGGATCTTTTAGTAACTTACCAAAGAATCCCTAGTACCTTGCATTGCATTGCCGGGTTTTCTCGCACATACGCAGCGCGTCGTATATTTCTTGAATGTATAACGAAACACGAAGAAAAATCCAAAATTGTAATGGATCTGATGATTCCTTAATAACAACAAAATTAGGGTCCATACGACACCCTTCTTCGTTCGATCAAAGTACGGTACTGCATCGTTTTCGATGCGCATGCGCGGAAAATTCCAGCACATCTAACAATATTGGCGCCAAAAAATCGCGGCAGCGTGCGTCGTGTGTGTTTCCACAATTAATTGCGTGTATCGAGAAAGCTGATAGAGGTTCCTAAATAACTACGAACAAAGCAGCAGGAAGCATTTCGTACTTTAATAAGAAAGGTAGACGAAAGCAGTCGAGAACCAATCAATGGAACAGAAATTCAAGAACGAAGAGGCGTGCATAAGGAAGAGGTTATGTTGCAACGAGAAGAATTTTGTATCGATCAATGTCACGAAATGTTCAGGCACGAAAATTCCATACTTTTTTATCATTTAGGCAACGAAGAGAATCAACACAATCTTTAAACGAATTGTGTTGTCTGATGCAAATAGAAAAAGAGGTTGCAAAAGTATTCGTTGCTTCGAATATTGGCAATGAAAACAGTGCTGAGGTTTTTGCAAAAGTTAATAATTAGTATTCAATCAGATTCAAATAAAAATATTGCAAAGAAATTTATTTATAAGTTTTTTTTTTAATTAAATGTAGTGGTACGAAAAAGTTTTCAAAACTTCTTTTTACAGTAATATACGAATAAATGAGAAAACAAATAATATTTCAATTTGTAATCAATTTATTTTTTAACATTTCTGTTGAATACTAAGTACTAAATATATTGTACTGTGGTCCGCTGACTTGAAGTCCCGCGAGACGGCACAGGGGCAAGGGGAGTCGGACCGCCCATTTATCTGTCTCGCTCCCTTGCTCTCAGGCAGTCCACATGTGTGTGTAACTGCCGCGACGAATAGCGAGCTAGAGACCAATGTGTGCGTGGGAATACGTGTGCCCCTTCTACTTCTCCCGCATTCTTTCCGCGGGACTTCAAGTGAGCGGAGCACAGTACCACCATAGGCACTTTAGTTTCAAAAATTGTTAAGGAAATATTCGATAAATCATAATTACCCATCAACGAAGCGTGAAAATGTATTCGGAAATGATTTCCCCCCATATTTCAAATCGACGTCGTATCGGTGGGAAAATCGGTCCTGTTTGAATCGTAATCTAGCTGGCAACCTACACATCGTATTAATGTAAAAAGTATTTGTAATTGCAGTAAACACGAATCGTTTACGACACGATTTTCTTCAGACAAAAGCACGTCGTACTTTGCCGGAAGAATGTACATCATTGTTCGTTGTTTTAAATTGGAAAAACAAGAAAAGACATACGATCGTGAATCAAAATATCGACTCTATAAGGCTAGATGAACACGAACGGTGCGTTGCTGTTGCGTTTCTACATTTTTCCTTGTTTTGGTCTTGAAAACAACCAAGACAAACATAGGAATGTTGTTCTTGTCAGTCTGTGTTGATTTAATTGCAAAATAAGGAAAAACAGAAACGCAATGGGTACACACCGCTCGTATGCATTTGGCCTTAGAATGTTTGTCCGAATCGAATCGTGTCGTAAACGTTTCCTGTTTCAACGGTGAATATAAAGTCAACATTAACGCGGAATTATTTGAAAACTTTCTCCTCGTCTTTGTAAATACGACATTTTATTTTTCGAAACGTCGACGTCAAATATAATAACTTAGGTTGGTTATCTTGATTAATGCAGGACTTTTTAACCCCCATTTCTTGCAATAATCGAGATAACGAATCCAACGAGTAGTAACTCTACACATCCTATCCCAGCTACTATCCTAATTTTACTTGTTGATTAACAATCATTTCCTTCACTCGTCAAAAGCATACAACGAACGAGACTTTCATGCAATAATCAAAGTTCTACTGTATACCTTGCAACGCATATGCTCGTAACAACTCTTTGTATCTATATGGAAAATGAGAGAAGTTAAGAATTAATTTTAGCCATTTGTTACCAGGAAGCATTAATTTCATATTCTCATGCGCGACGCATTACACATACGAAGTATATTCCAAAATATTAATGTTCGTATTCGTCTATTGGGGCAGTAGAATTGGGACATTGGATCCCACTGCTTCAGCTGTCCAAGCACTAGGTCATTCTAATAGTTATACATTTATTATATCTTACAGTTTGTTACTATAAGTATCTTATTTAACACGCATCATGTGCGATATAATGTTAACCTGTATCAATTTTAAAAGTATCCGTATTTTTTAAAACCGGCCATAAAGAAGACAAATATAACTGTATCCTGGTTTAGTTCGAATCTTTCGACTCTGTTTTGCTATTAAAAAATCGTACTTGTTTTAAACAATTGCAGAAAAAATTAAAAAATTTTAATTTTTTGTTATTCGTTTGTTGACGACACGGTTATTATTTTTCGAGGATGAATTAGTTAATACTAACTTTATTGAAAGTTTCAAAATGTTTTCGAGATACGTTTAAATATCGCTAAAGATCATAATGTATCAAAGTTCCAGCAACATCCAAGATGTTCGAAAAACGGCCGATTTCGCATGGTTTGACCTATTAATTCGCTAATGCTCTCATTTTCTACTCGTCCATCGCGTAAAAATTGATCGATCTCGATACTTTTTATGACGCTTTGGGAGCATCAGTTTTCCGTAATAGAATTTCGTATTTTCTCCACAAACGAGCATCGACGGTAAAACTCGTAACCGACTTGAAACTAACTGTATCGCGACGTTTACGTTGCAAATTATCGTCGCACTCGCGACCGACCGTTTTGACAAACGGTACTTTTCGCGCGTATGTGTTTCTACGTCTCTACGCGTTGATTCAACAATTCGACGGCATAGTATAATTTTCAATCGAAACTACTCCACTGCCCGTGTCTATGTTAAAGATTTTTTTTTAAATACGCGCGTATGTGTGTCATTGTTGTCTAACTAATTATACCTAGTTGAGCTTTAAAAAAAGACTATTGCAAACACGTTACGAAGAATGTGCGTTACAGATCCCGTACAACCGGGGGAACAAAAACCTGGCCGCATTAATTTAGACGTGCAGTCGCCACTAAGTCAAGAAGACGCAATATTTGAAAATACTCTATCTTTAAGAAAGAAACGTTAATCGCTTAACTGAATTCTCTCATACAGTACCATTATAAATTCGGATACAATAGCTTTATGCGCACCTCTTCTCAAGCAGAGTACGGCTAACCAGTTTTTTCCACGGGTATATTTATCTTTGTTGAAACGATTGAATATTTCTATCGTTGGCCAACAATTGAAAATAAGACATTGAAGTTGTGGAACTCGATAAAAAAAAGTATTTCTGTAAAATATTCAACGTTTCGATGCTGTAAACTATTCTATCTGTAGCTAATCGTTGAAACCACTTGTTTCGGATTCTTTTCCCGAAATATTTGCAGCCTTAATTTTCATAATACGAACATTGAAAAAACTAGCGAACAATCGGCCACCGAATCTGAGGCGTTAGATAATTATTGACAGAAATGGTACGCGCTCATGCATGCTTTCCAAAGTAACGCGACACTACGTTCGAAGTCACCATTAAACACTTTCACATTGAAGGTAATAAATGAGAAACGGAATCTAACTAATCTGGTTCTGAAATCACTGTAAGATCCTCGGGGACGTTGACGATCCGTTTAAAAAGCAGATATCCACGCGATACGATTTTGTAACTGCAAAATATTATGGAAGACAGTCGAGTGCAAAGAAGCCATCCTTTACCTCGAAATCACGCGTACCACACAGCTTGTAGCGTTCAATTTATCTTTGAAACCAAGAATCGCGTGTATTTTAGATTCACTGTTTTCCACTTTTCAAGCCTCCGCACAAACTTGTATCAATGTTCGCGAAAATAGGTCGAATCGTGTTACCTTGGTTTTTAGACTAACATCACCGAAAACAACACAACTCGAACTCAGATAGCTGTTGTACTGTCTAGTACTGACGAACAAAATGTAGAAACCTGCGGCGACAAGGAGCAAAACCCTCAGGAGCGCACTCGTGTAGCTAAGAGTAGAACTCAATCGAGAAAAAAGCACCAATCGTTCCTCGGTTCCAGTGGAAAGCGTGGAAACTTTTACGAATTTATTGTTTGTTAAATAGAGATAAAGGTACTGAAAACAAACAAATATTTGTTTTATAATAACGTGTTGATATGGCCAACTGTTGCGTGTGCTTTGATATACTGTCCGATAGTCTCTTATATTCTTTTTATTCGCATTTCATCTTTTGGAAATAACGTATTGAGATTGTTGAGTAAAGTTACTACTGATCAGAATTATTAACTTGCTACCTTTACTTTTCCCTTATCCTGTATTTGTACCTAAAATCTGGTCACCCTTTTAAACTAAATATAAACAAATACCTCAAAAAAGAAGAATAATTCTCAATCTATTCACTGTGAATAAAATTATTTAAATTAAGAAAACTTTCCACAAAAAGAATATTATAGGAAATTTTATGCTCTGTATTTAAGAAATTCAATCAAACTGGGTCTTAAAATTGATAAGATAATCAAAGAATTTGCAAATGTACATCAATAGTTACTATTCCTCATTGATTTTATAACAAACATAATATAATTCATGTAAAGTCATCTGCAATCCGAATATAAATAGCCAGAATTTCTCTGGCCTTACTTTTACACAATTGTACTTATTTTACAGTAATCATTGTATTGCAATTTTTATGGTACTTAAAATGAACAGAGTTAGTTTACAAGTTATGATATTATCTGTTTGTTACAAATTTCCCACTGTTTAGTTAGCGTAACTTACAAGCAATACTTGGTTCTTCTAGATTATGTTTCATGTTAAGTGTGCACTAAAAAAACATTGAAAGCTAGATTTATCAGTCAGTTTTATTTAAAGATCTGTGATGAAGGCATCATAATTGGTAAATCAAATAATATATTTAAACAAATATGGAAAATTGGAAGATCCTTGAGGAATTATAATATGTAGTTAGGTGGATAATAAGTTTGCTGGAGAAAACTGCAGCAGTGACACATATGTTTGTACAAAAACTATGACTAATTTAATAGAAATATGAATATAATTAATATATATTCATATTTATATTTTTATTCGTTATTTATATGTATAAAATATTTATATATATATACACGCATACACATATTCATATGTATGTATGTATGTATGTCTGTATATATATAATACGTATACACACGTAGAAGCAACGCGTCTTTAGGAATTTTGAATTAGCTGTTCAAAAATTAGCCAATAATTGAATTCTCTTTACATTATAATTCTTTACTGACTATTTGTATAAAAGAAAAAGCAGTAAGTCAAAAACAGTAGAAGGTAAAAGATTCCTGTGATTATGAGAATTGTGCTATAGATACCTCTGAAGTTCTAATACATAATAATATATAGAATAATTAATGTAATGTATTATTTTAAGTAAATATATTAATGTGCATTTTAAATGCAGCCAATAAACGCATTTCATTTGTCTTCTTTCTATAGGAAAATAATAATTGTAAAAAGTAAGAAGAATGGTTTTAGTATTAAAAATAATAATTCTGTTTTTGAAGCATTTCTAATATTTTATTGTAATACAAACGTTACTATTTATATGCTAATGCTTCACTTCCTGATGAAACACGTCGCATAAAGTATTTTTCATTATTATCGTAATCTCTTCGCAAGCGAAGTATCTTTTTTTGCATAATCAGGAATTACTATACAGATCTACAACTTTGAACATGGTTTACTTAAAATAATACTTGTGAAACGTCGATAAAATGATTTTCCATATCTTCGGTGCACACTTTACAATAGAAATATTCCCAAATAAGTATTGAATATAAAACTGGTAATTATGCACATTTAATGCTCCAAGTGTCCTTTACACAGATCTCATTTTGTAGAGTATTTAGAATTCCTGATGTTTATGTTTATTTTACCATATCGTGATAACATGAAACTACAATATAAAAATCGGCAGTGTGCGTTACCTTCTGTTGTGTTTGTCAGTTTATATACTATGAAAACAGATTGTATATCTATTCAATCACATGGGTTAGTGTAAATTGTTTCATTTCCTGCTAGTATTTATTAATTATCTACTTCGTTATTCGCCAAATTAGCATTAATACTATTTCAATATTTGCGTCACCATAACTCTTTACTTTTTACTGTTAATTATTTTTGTATAAAATACATTATATTTTAAACATGAATGAATGAATGATTCGTACACTTTCATTCTGAATGTTTACCTTTATAAGATACTCATGTTTAGTGCGTTCAATTTATCGCTCTAATATTAATAACAGTACTTATCCTTTGAATGTCCAAAACGTAAATAATTCTTTATTATAGATACAAAAACAGATTTGCACTTATTAATCTTTCGAGGATTCGATCGTTTCTTTTATTCAAATGCACCGTTTAAGTATTTAGAATAGCACAAATTAATGATATTGTTGAAAGTAATTTGGTGCAAAAGCTTCCAGTAATTCATGGAACCCTTTAACACGTTTGCTGCCGAGTGAAATATTTTGATTTCTCTCTCGATCCTATACATACTTATCGTTCTGAAATTGTTTGAATTTTTCACCGCAAACAAGTATATCAATAAGGTTCCAGTAAACATAAAAAATTAAAAACATGCAAACCAATGAAATAAACAAGGAATGAACTTGATGCAAAGCTCGACAACGAACATGTTAAAAATACTAAAAACGAATCAATTGTTATAAGACTTACGTATGTGTATACAGTTAAACAAATTTGCGTCGCGTATCGATATTCGAACAAATTTTCCAACTTGCATTGTAACGATATACAATAATAATCAAAAGTAAAAATAGATAGTCATAAATTTTTTAATTTGCAGCACCGCAGAACATTTTTTCCTAAGTACACTGCTTAAACTGATATATAATACATATATCTACTATATACCTACAATAGTTAACAAGTCTGCAGGCCACAGTAGTGCAGCCCTGATGTTTAATCGATTAACTTAAGTCTTAAGTTTATTTCAAAACCTTGTATATATTCTACCATGTTCTCTTCTCATTATGATATAGTATAATTGGATTCGAATATGAATAACGATCCATATTTTAAAATTAAAAATAAAATGTATCAAAGGAATGATAATATAATTCAGTTCACCGCATTTATTTATTTAAGTTTTAATTATGAAACTGATTCGTACAGAGACAACAACAAGTTTATGCTATTTAAAGGATGTAAAATATCTAGTTATTATTAACGTGTCACTGTAACACCATATACATTTATGTACGAGGATCCAATATTCAATATACGAAATGAAAAATAAAATATTATCGTTTTAATGAAAATACAGGATGTTGTTAAAAATGTGATCGAAGATTTGTAATATGTTGACCAGGAAAATATACATCAAAAATTTTTTACAGAAATTAACGAATATTATATATCAAAATCGTCATATATAAATGTATGTACGGAAATATACAAGGTGTCTTGCTTAACACAGACCACATAATTATCTTCTTCGGCTGTGTCAATGTAAAAAAATGTTTCATACATAATTTGAATGGTTCAAAAATGTGAATACGTGGAAAAAAAATTTTCATTAGGATGTCATTGTTTTCTAGAGATTTTAAAATCACGGATATTCTTTTTACATACAAGTACATATTTTTTTATACGTAATATTTGACATTATGTATGTATTACTGTACAAAAAGATATCCGTGACTGAAAATTGCTAGAAAAACGATGCTCGAAAGAAAATGTTTCTCGCAATATGTTCATCCTCTAAAAGTATTGAAATTATGTATAAAACATTTTTCCATGGAGTGAATATTTGCTAGCATTATCTACCAAAGGAGATAATTAAAAAATTTGCTTTTATTAAGCATTTCTTCGGCCATCGTTAACTGGAACATTCCGTATGTATGTAACCATGTGTTTTATACACATATTGTTATAATAAAGTCTATGCATAAAATGTTATGCACAAGTCTCGGTACTTATCAGCGTCATATTTAGATTTAGGGGCACCTGAACAGTCTGTATCGACAACATTCCACTATTATGATTACTTTGATTTCGTACGTATAGGTGGATACGTTGTGTATGTTCCACATGTTTGTGTGCACCATATAACGATAGTGAGTTACATACGTCACTATATTAGTACGGATAATAAATATAAAATGTTAATTGGCATACAGCGCATATGATTCTGTATTAAATCGTATTATCTTAAAATTCAATTGGCAGTCAAATGTCTATGTTGGTTTGTTGTTCTCAGTCTTACGAGAACTTTTTGAAGTTCAAAGAATGGAAGATGTAAATTTTTTCATATAAACTATCGCACTCTTATAGAAATTGTACCATAATATAGGCAAACATATAATTATGCTTCATTATCAAAACAATTTGACTTAGTAATATCCGTCTTTGACAGTATTGGAAGAATTACTTTATTCTGGAAAAGAGATACAGAACTTTACTTTTTCGTATCATACTAATCTCAAAATGTCTAACAGTCCAACAGTTATGAAGGTCTCGATCTATCATGCTATCGTTTTAGCAAAGGACGGAAGTGAAAAAGGAAATATATTAGCTGGAATGTATATACGTTGATGTTAATGAAATTTCCAGAGAAAAAGTATCAGTCTTTGTGCTGTGTAATTGTGAAATTTACGCTTATTTTATGGAACTAAACTACAATTATATTTTTTGTAGTTCTCTATTTATAAGGCATAAGTATCAATCATACTTATTCAGTGTTTCTATTTATATGTAATTTCTCCCGCATAAATACACATTATGAAATCACGGGGACTCGGGTGCCAAAACCCGTTGTATAAAGCAGGCGGCAAACACCCGTGATTACGATATTGCGTTTGATAAAATAAGTAAAATTAAAAGGACAAGGATTTGGAAAAGAATGGTGTAAGAAGTAGTTTGAGAAAATATTAAAATGAGAAAGATTGTGCAATATTTAGGTGTCTCTGGAAACTTCATAGAAAGTTGATAACATTTTGGTAGAAAAATAAAAGGCTTGATTCTATGGAAAAATAAAATATAAAAAGAAAGAAGTGGAAACCCGATGAAAGTGAAATTACAAGAACGTGGAAGGGCGCAATTCGCTACATTAATTCATACACTTACAACAGGATATTATTCTTTGCATAGTATAACGTGTGTCGTAGATTAATGTAACGAAAAGTAGTATAACGTTTGTCAAGCGCCCAATATTTTCATGTTAAAACGATCGTTCCATAGTCTTAAGAATTTGTAATTCGCGTTTATGTATGATACTTTCCTATTTAATTTTGCAAATGATATTCGCCCATGCTCCTATTGCCGAAATTGTATGCTTTGCGGTAACGTTGTTTAACGTAAGTAAAAGAAGACAATGACAATTACGATTACGAATTAAGACCCTGACGTTTTTCTTCTTCAAGCATAGCATCAAGTTCATCGGTGAGATTGGCAAGCATATTTCCAATGTCGTTCAATACATCCGCCGGCTCGCTTCCACTGGAATGATGGCTCATTACATGACTCTGAAGACTGTTGTTAGAATTATTACTTGCATATTCTTGGACTCGCGCAGACCTCTGCTTTATCGTTCCAGCATTTTCATTTGCAAAAGGAATTGAATCGGATTCTGTACTGGAACTTGACTGTAACGAAGATAATATTCAAAAACATTAATACATGTATATGTATACGAAATAACAAACGTACACTGATTTACACAGATAAATCCTTGCATATCACTGATGCAATTGGAATTAAAATAGAGACATAGAGATTTTCAAAAGATGTTTGAGAATAATAGAGTACCTTAAAGCTGGCATCGGAACCATTGCGATGTTGCAAAGCGAGAGAAGCTATTAATTCATGTTCTTCGTTAACATTAGCATTGACGCTACCCCACGAACGGGACATCGAAGAAGGTGGTCGATTCATTTGCGGAGGAGTCGATGATGTTGGTGCAGGTGCTGGTGGTGGTGGTGAAGGATGATGCAGTAAGTGACGATGTTGATGATGATGTATATGATGATCGTCGCAAGAAGCAGTTGGTACAGGTCCACTGCAATCTATCACAACATCGCCAACACCCGACCCTCCAACACCAACAACGGAAGAACTACTTTCTCTAGAACTTTGTCGTCTTGGAGGAGATGGAGGACAACGCTTCGGAAGATGTGGACTACTTTCTAACCCATACGTTAGTTGATATTTGTTATCGAAGTCTCTTGGCAATGACTTGAATTGCCCTGGAGTTGCTGTGACCTGCAAACAAAACATATTTAGCCCTTGACAGATCCGTAAAGACATCGAAAACGGAAGAGTGTCGAGTTATCTAACATGAAAACATCGTTAAGGATATTAAGGATGACATTAGCAACAAGCGTATCTTACAGATCCGTTATTACCTTGGCTACGGGTCGTGGACGAACAAGGCAATGTCTTGGACGTGGAAGCGTTCCACCACCAGCTTCCACGATCGAAGTATCGTTTGTAGGGGTAAGATCACCATCCTCGAAACTGCGCGGACGCCATTCAATCGGTTGTGGATGCGTAGAAGGTGCTGGCGATGGAGGATACCCAAGGGGCGCATCTTCTAAGCTCTCTAAGGATTTTCCTCGCGAACCAGCCCGTCCAACGATATTGTAATCGGCTGGCAAAGCAGCGTACATACTCCTCCATGCAGTACCGGACGTGCTATCGCTTCCTCCTCTCTGAAAAGACCTCAAAACAGGTGACGAACAATCCTCATCGGGTGACGGCAAATCAGGACCTCCTCGTTGGATAACAACGTCCTAAAAGTATAATTAAAGTTGTATGAATACGAGGCAACAACAGTATATTAAGGATTCTTACTTACTGACCTATACTTGAGGAAGAAAAGTATTGTAATCACATTTTGACTATAAGAAAATGTTAAGTAATCACGATGCAGCCGAGAAGGAAGAGCAGGAGAAAGTTATTTCGCGTAATATTTCGTTTTCGAGACAATTGAATTTACTAGACACTATCCAAAGGTTCTTAAAATGTATAACGAACAGCCGTAACATTATACGATCGATATTTTTATTTGTTCTCTCTGTAAATATTGCAAGCGTTGCAAATGTATTTGTTTACCTGCGTATGTCCGGGATGTGGCGGTAGTCGTGCGAGATCGAGCGGTTGTATACGTTTACCGGCACGAATGTCTTTAACTCTTTTAATCGCCAACAATAACTTCTTCTGATGGCCCAATCGAACAATACCGATATCTTCGAGATCCTCCCAAGTGAGAGTCGTTACGTCTTCGACCGAACGCATACCCTGTTGATGAAGAGCGGTAAGATATTCTTCGAGTCGTAGAAGCCTAAGCCACTCCTCCAAGGAACCAGGAATATGTTCTGGCAAGCCATCTCCAATATTTAAATTATCTATCTCCGCTTTCAATCGTTTTCTATGATTAGGCTTCTTAATTCCTGTAAACGCGTATAATTTTAATTACTACTATTCTTCAACGTTAACTTGCGTTTCTATTACGTTTCATTCAGATGCGAATAGATTCGAAGGATAAATGCTGAATGAAGTGTTTGTCTACCTATGCCCGTTAGATCTTCTGGCGTCATACGCGTTATAGTAGCAAGATCGTAACCAGCGGAGGCAAACAACGGAAAGTATTCTTCGAACTGGAGTTCGGTCAACCAAGCATGAACGACATCGAGATCTGCCGGTCTATCGGGATGACTGCCGAGAGAGCTTATAGAACATCTGGGAGACGAAGCGAGCGCACCAGGTCCTCTAGGACCCAGATGATATCCGGAAGCTCTACCAGAATCTAACGAAGCGGTAGAATGCCTGGATCCAGAGCCAGACCCTGAGCTACCCGGGCTATCTCTGCCGGGGCTTTGAGTCATGTCGATTCCTAAAAAACGATCAAACGTTAAAGAAAAATACGTTATTTAGGTAAATTAAGCAAAAATTAACAAATCAGCTTTGTTAGAATCCATTTAAAAAAATGAAAGCGAAAGGTATTTTCAAGAGATAAATTTAAAAACAACGACACGACCATGTTCTTACGAAGGCTCGTGTTATAAACAAGTAAAATAGTCGAGATAAATTATAAGAATGTTAACGTAAGTTTTCGAGACGAGATGCAGGTGTATCCCATTTTGGTATGCAAAGCCGACGAGCACGATGAATAAACAACGTTATGGAACGTATACGGTATCGAGCATCGTACCTTGATCCTCGGCATGAGCATATTTGCCCACGACCGGTGGAAAGGCGAAGCCAGGATGAGTGAAAATAGGTCCCGGACTCTTTCCAGATGGCATCCCGTAAGAACCATCGTCAGTCGTTCCGCCAGGTCCGCTTCCGGCAAGGAAACAGCTATCTTCGCTGCTCGCATATCCAGCGGAACCAAAAGAGGAACCTGAATGTCGAAACACATCGGGTACAGCCGGCGGTGCCACTTTCTTCGCCTGGGTCACTGCTTTGGACGGCCGGTTCATGCCGCCAACTGCATACACGAGTACATAATACATCCCTTTATTATTCAATTACACGAATTATTGTCGATCATTGCGACATTGACGACTAAACAATAGCAAAGTTTTCTAGATGCAGATAGAATGAAAAACGGATATTTCTGGCAAAACTATTTCGGGCTGAACGTTAACCCTTGGCCTGTGGCGTCTTCTCGATCATCCTAAGGTTTCACCGATCGGCCACTTACAACAGATTTCGAAGAATTTAGCCGCAAGCTGTTAAATTGTTTCTAAAAGAATGTTACTTTCGACGTAAAATTATCCATCGTTGATGAAATTAAGAACATAAACATGAATGATGATGCTGTCTCAGAGATTAAGGTGTACGTTTGGTTTTGCGTTTAATCCGTTTCTGTATTTGGGCCTCGATAAAGCTAACGAAGAAAATACTTGTGCGCGCAAATATGTGGTGCGTGTGGCTCACAGAGTCATTAAGACACTTGAGAAAGGTTGTGAAAGGTCGACTTTTAGGCACGCGTGCCTAGCCGAGAGAATTAGAACAAGTCGAATTTGTTCATTTTAGTACAAGTTTCTTTTTTATTTCTATACTTCGTTTGCAGGCAGACACTTATGGTACTACTGTTATTGCTATTAAAATAACAATATGATGCTATGGTCTTGGATACACTAGTAATTATATTATTGCTATATACAGTATATGTATATTACTACTTTTTGATTACTGTCGTGAAAATAGAGTTCTCGATTCAGGCCTTAATTGTCTATACACGTACTAACGCACGTAACCAGATTAACGTTACGTAAGGTACGCAGCAACCTAGTTAACTTGCTTTGAGAGCAATTGAAAGAAACGCGTTCATCATGTATCATTCGTAGTATCGTTATTTCGTCTTACTTTTATTACTTGCTTACGGAAAAACGTAGCGTTAATATATTGTTAGTTTTTCGGTTTCATTATGTCCAATATTATACGTTTACTGGATTATTGTATGATTTGTTTACACGAAGTTACGATAGACCAGATATTAACCTTTCAAGCAAGTGTCCTAATTCTTATAATCGGTAGCGTACAGAAGATCGGTTCCGACTAGACGCGATACAACACCGGATACGTTCTTCTACTGTTTCTTGGTACGGAATATACAATGCGTGCCCTAAACAGTCTCTCTGGTATAGGACGATCTCTTGTCATACGTCGATTCCGTCAAGAGGTGGGAGGGTGTTTTTGTGACATGCAATTCTGCCACGTGACACTATTAAACGTATTAGACCTTGCAACGGTCGCATCATACCTTATGCGACGATGACTTCTGTTAACCATAGAGTGCCGAACAGCGCCATTCCACGTCGAATAATGACGGCGCGATGTGACGATGTATTGCTCAAGCAGACTCGAGAAACAACGAACTTTTCATTACAGAATTATTTATATTCATGCACGTAGATCTTTGTTACGTCTAACAAAAATTTAATTTGGTGTACTGGGTCGATATTTTTCTATACAAAGTAGAAGGAAGCTGCTCGGCACTTTTGTGAACGTATTCCTGCAATGTTGCTAGTATGTTTAGTAATAATTTACACCACCAAAGAAAATGTTACACTAAATAAATGTTAGACTAAAGTCTATTATAATTCTCAAAAGTAAAGCACTTTTTGCTTTCAGCAATATCGATGCACAATGTTTTTTGCTTTTACTGAAATATCAATTTTCTGAATTTACAGGTACTCTTGCTGTTACAACGTGCATACTAGTTCAGACTTTCATCGCGCCATACATGGTATATACAATGCTTCATTTCCAAGATAATCGAATTTGAAAATTTATCGGATTCGCGTGTGATCCGGCGCGGCACGTCACGTCTGTCCATTACTTGCTATTTCTACTTGTACCGGTGTTCAACCTATACTTACTCTACATATACTTGTCGATGCAGAATCTACCCTTTAGAACGTTTAATAATTTCGTTTAACGTTCGAAAAGTCACCTTGAATCTAATCGTCTCGATCGGAATACTTTCTCAACAAGATATCTGTATCTACGATTTAATATACTGGGACCTTTTGCTGCAATCTTTACGCTTTATTCCCTATATCGTAACGTTACGAACCGGATGTTCGTCGTTTAATTTATTCGACCCGTTTCCCATGCACGATTAGTCGGGCAACATTGGCAGGGGCGTTACACTTACGGTGCATGAGGTTCTTCCAACTGCCATAAATCGCCTGGATGCACTTGTCAAGAGGAGTAGCGGACAACACTGCACTCGTTCTACGCGCACTCAAGTTGCCTTCGGAACAGCTTCTGAACAGATTGCTGTTGCTTATCGTATAGATCACCGAACCGTGTCCACGGGAACGGAGTTTATTTTTCGACATGTCGAAGATTCCGCTCGGAATCCAGGCTTCGACCGCTGGATCCCGAAAACTTTTGTACGTCGACGATAATTTCTTCGAAGGCTTCTGTAGAAAGCGTTTGCCGGGTGGTAAAGGCGGGGGGCCCAAGCAACTCGCCACAGCAGTGATCGCCATTTATGGTGCAAGTAATTTTCTTTCGAATCGATCGTTTCACGATTATTTGCTATTTAGAAAATTTACATAAATTTCGTGGCAGGTGCCTGCGAAACTGATTTAACAGCCTGGAAGTTTCCTTATATTAGCTTCCAATAAATAAAATGTCGTAATTTCGAAATACATATCCCCATGATGTAACAAAGATGACATATCCTTTGAAGATTATAATGTCAAATTGAACCACTTGAACGTATCCACTCCATTACCATTTTATATTTCACTTGGCGCGATAAACGTGTCAAGTTAAACAAATATATGCATGTATATGACATTCGCTTGTTGGTGGAAAAATTTCACAACTTTTAACGGGTGTCAGCGATTTCCAGTGACATGCGAACGCTATGGCTGGGAGATAATGCGAAGAAAACGACAGACATCGCCGGAGAAGACTGTCAAAAACGTTCGACGTCGGGTGCAGGTTCGAGTTAGCGACAGCAGCGACTCGTTGTTGCGGCGAATGCAAAGAGGCGAGGTCGAAGGTGGGTGGACGAGTTTCCGGAGAACGGCGTAGGCCGCCCCCGGTAATGCTTCTAAGCGTAGGTACCCGAAAGCGCGACACGTGAAACAACTTTCCACGTGGAAATATTACAAGCAGTGGAACGGAGAAAGACATTTACGAATGATCCAAGATTCAGGGGAACCGACGCTAGGCTGAATCGATCTAACAGAAAGATGAGCACACGTAGGCGAAATGACCTTCAAATCTGTGCGGTGTGTTTTAGATGAAAGAAACAGAGAGGATTAATTGGTGACAAGATGTTAAGAGACTAAATATAAATTCCTATCCATACACACCTAATTATCGTGTAAATTTCAGATTCGTACACAAGATTAACGAAACGAGATGCGAAGAACGCTCGATTAAAAAAAACTTGGATTATCGTACGTAGATGCCTAAACCAACTGATTGTCAGGGAGGTAGAAAGAAACGGTATAGGACCCATTGTTTGAAGTTGCTTCGCAAGATAGTGCAGGAAACGAAGGGTGAGGGGGCCCGGTCCGCCCACGACATCTCCACCGTTTACGTCGACCCCACGAACCACCGTTCAACCGGATTTCCCCACTGGGCCTTCTCCCCTTGAAGCGACCATTGCTTCGAGCTCGAATCAGCCCACAGCGTCCAGATCCTCGGTTCCAGCGACCAGCAACACTACCCCCGAAGCGGTAGACCTTGGCGATATCTAATAACTCAGACGAGGATCTCACCGCCACCCCTTTCACCCAGTAACACGCAACAGATCTCGCCAATTTCCAACTCATCCTATCGCCTATCCTCGAGAACAGAAACAACTTCTTCCAAACCACGAGGCGTGACAATTAACTGTGGAAAACAATTGTCTTTTCTTCTTCTTTTTTTATACTTCAATTTTCTATCTAAATTCTCGAATACGTAATGCCGGCCTAAGCGGGTAGATTCATAATCATTTAGAAATTTAGAATTTATTTCAATTAACTCACGATCGATATAAAAATAAGGTGGACAGACGAGTCGTCCGGTTATTGCTCTCGTTCTACCAACAATTTCATGGTTATTTTCTTCCTTTCTTCTATCGTGCTCGGCTTCAACCTCTCACGGGTTTACTTGGAAATTCCTTGAACAATTATTTCGCAGATAACAAGACTTTAAAAAGTGCAAAAAAGAAACAAGATATCGGGGAAGATCGAAGAATAACGAAGATTCGTAAAAGTTGTGGGTGAAGGGTATATGTAGTGAAATGTCTTTTTGCTGTTGACTAGATAATCTTTATTTATTCTAAGCGTAAGCTAATTAAAGAGACGGATCGAATGATCTCGTCGTACGCTTTTCTAATAATCGTGCAGACCGAGAAGGTCGCGTCGCGTCTTCTTACCCAGGTCATTAACGCACCAGGCCCTTGAGATGCACATGCATCTCGAAATGCACGGGCCTGGCCGCTCGCTCGAGACCTCAGGTAGTCACTGGTTTTTTTCTGTACGTACGCGTGTACGCCATGAAGTGTTCTGAAAAAAGGGCAAAAAGTGTTAGAAGCCGAGTTAAAAATAACGATCCTGTATTTACGAGTAGAAATGATCAGGGCTTGAAAACCGTTATAATATAAATTTAGGTCCTTGAAACAGTTACAAACAATTTTTATTCTGAATAATTTGTGAAGAATCTAATTTTCCCATTATAGGAACACATAATGGAACATAAGAAACATTAATGTTTCTTCCAATCCATAATGCCCATCGTCAGTCTGCCTTATATCGAGGAGGAGAGTAAACCGACGACTCGTTCGCATTTTAAGATATCGGTTAAAGAAAAAATTTAAGTAATAAAGGCAGCTTAATACGAAGAGTGGAAAGCAGAACGCGAGGCTGAATGCTCGTCGAATCACGAAGGATCCACCGGAGAAACGGAGATGAATGCCATAAAAGAAATGTTTTTACGACCCGAGGAGCAGTATAGATTGAGATACATACATCAATTATACAGGAAATGGTTATTCGAAAACGTATAAAGGAGCGGTAGAAGCTAAACCGTATGCAAATCAGGTATAAATAATAAAAAATGAATACATCAGACGTGTACAAAAGCAAACAGAGACACGACTGTGTTAACTCACAAAACAAATAACTTAAAAGTCATCGGTGGAAAAAATAAACTCGCTGGAAAAGGTTAAGTATCTACTATGAAGTAGCGTTTCGCAGAAATTGCGACTTTGTAGATAAGATTAGAGATACAATCTACGCTACATTCTAGAACTACGATAGATAAAGGACAATGTTAAGTCATAGAGAGGTTTACTGACCCAAGAGCGTACAGCATATGCTATACACCGTTGGAAAGGTCTCGCCAAGGCGAATCGACTGATACCATTTTTAACTTCGATATCAGATGGGATAATGTCGAAAAATGTCCTCAAAGTTCGAGATTTTGCGGTTTTGAACAAAAGAAACCGGTAGTAAAAGCCCATCCGGCCCGAGGGACCTCGGGTAGGCACCTGAGGAAAAACCGAGGGGTGTAAGCGATACTCTATCAGATTGGGACGGCAAATGTGCCCCACCACCTTCATTTCAGTGCCGTGTTGGGCCTGCGTTTGCCGCATGGGCCCCGTTCCAAATGCCCAGGGCGAAATCGCCAATGGATCAGTTGGTTTCATGAACATAATATATTCATGGTATACAATTCGCAAGGTATAAGTTGGGAATGTGCAGGTTAGTATTCAGACTAATGCGTCACTTACAATAGTGAATGGAGTGACATTTTATTGATTGAACGAAACATAATGATGTGAATACTGAATACTAACCTGCACATTCCCAACTCATACCTGCGAATCGTCTATCATGAATATATTATGTTCATGAAAAACAACTGATTCATTGGCGATTTCGCCCTGGGCATTCAGAACGGGGCCCATGCGGCAAACGCAGGCCCAACATGACACTGAAATGAAGGTGGTGGGGCACATTTGCCGTCCCAATCTGCTAGAGTATCGCTTACACCCCTCGGTTTTTCCTCAGATGCCTACCCGAGGTCCCTCGGGTCGGATGGGCTTTTACTACCGGTTTCTTTTGTTCAAAACCGCAAAATCTCGAACTTTGAGGCCATTTTTCGACATTATCCCATCTGATATCGAAGTTAAAAATGGTATCAGTCGATTCGCCTTGGCGAGACCTTTCCAACGGTGTATAGCATATGCTGTATGCTCTTGGGTCAGTAAACCCCTCTATGACTTAACATTGTCCTTTCTATAAGAATATCACTATTTACTGTCAAAAGTTCATTTGCAAAAAGCTGCAAGACTGGAATTAGCTGAAAAAATACTTATGTATTTGTTTAAAAGATGCTTTGCAATTTCAGCAATGCATCTATGGAAGAATGTTTACAGTAGTATGAGAGAGCGTCGTCTTAGATAGCTAAGATTGTCCTCTATCATGTTTGTTTAACTTTGCTTGGAACAAAGTTACTTATATAAATAACCGCGTCTATATAAATAATCATTTTCTAAAGTAAAAATGGAAAAATATATGATTGGCTATTCGGTGATACGCGCGCGTTGTGAAAACATGAATCGTAAGCATATTCTGTCTGCAAAGATAAACGACGATCGGTCGAGTCGTGTTGCTTGCAAATCGGACGTTGGTTGTTTCGAGAGCGAACAAGAAAGACTTACGTTTGCCTTCTTTCTCGACTCTCCGAACTTGTCCGAAGTGCCTAACTTGCATACACGCGACTTTGTGCACTAGTAAGTACGAGTATATGTGGTGGGAGAAATCCACCGTGGACCTCGTGTGTCCGATCCGACATCTCTGGCCCAACCACGGGCTAGGAGTGGTGGGAGACGGTCCCAGGACTGACCACACCCGCCGGTTTACGCACGCGCATTTCTTACTTGACTCTCGCTCGATCAAACAATACGTAAAGTAGAATCACGTTATATCGCCGCTTGGTCCGCTTCTCTTTCGTATACATTTTCACGTGCACGAATGTCACTCCCCTACCACAATAGCGTGGGCTTAGCGATTCACGCGCGCGTTTCAATTCACGTGGAAGAGACGTTTAATATATCGCCGTTTATAAGAATTTTACTTTCTTACTGCCTGTATGCCCGTTAACACGATTACGTTTAAATAGTTGAATGGATTTCAATGAAATTTTATATTTTCCTATCATTTTCCCATCGCAACATCCAATTAGATTTTCAGCAATATCAGTACACAGACAATATTGTTTACTTTTAAAAACGTTTTAAATAAATCTTACAGAGAATTGAAATTTACGTAAACAAACATATATATAAACAGAAAAGAAAAGAAATTGAAGAAATTCGGTAGAAGAGAAGAATTATAAAGAGTATTGTATTATCATAAATTAATTTGAAAGCTTATGTAATGGAACAATAGTTGCGATGTCTAAAAATCAAGTGTTATATGAATTAATATTTTTTGTACACATTTATGATTTTCACAAAATTCATAATGCAATTATCGAAGTTTGATTTACAATTATTTATTTGATTTCAAAAGATTTTAGATTCTCTTTTACATTTTTTAATGGAGTTATTTACTTTTTAATTGCGAATTTTTAATACATGTTTCTCGAGACTTCAGCCAACATAATATGCCTCTTTAATTATTAAAAAAATCAGATTATTTTTACTTGAGAAGAAAGTACGCACATGCAGTGATTGTACCCACTATTAGAAACACTTACGATGTAATTTTGTTTATACTTAATATACATGTATATATGTTTTACGTGTTCTATAATTTTGGGATTTATCTATCCATGTATTTATATTTTTTTGCATGGAAATTGCTGAAATCAGGACAAGGCATCTTATATTTTGTTCAAAGAACTGATAACATAAGGCAGAAATAAGGCAACTTTATATTCTGCCCTTATCATTTGTTACTTTAATCGTACATGAAGACATATTAAAACAGATTTGTTTTTATATTGGTCAAAAATTCTAATACATTTATGTAAGTAATTTAATTGTAATATTTTTGACTCAACTTATTGGTAGATAGTCGATTAAGCTACTTTCTGCGAACGAGAATATATTGTATTTGCAAAAGAAACAGAAAGTAACAGTAACAACAGCAAAATAATAATGTAAAAATTAATAATTTTGTGCTTACCGCAACAAGGAAACGATTGTATTTTTATTATTTAATTTTGGAATTCGTTATGCAGTAGAATATGTTTAGATATAGATACGTGATTATTTGCATGAGTTTGGTACGTTTGCGAAATTTGTAAAATTGCGAAATTTAATTCATAATGTAACGAAACTTGTACAGAATTTTTGATAAAATGTTAAATAATTTGTCAAGTGGTCGTAAAAAATCACACTATACGCATCTTTCCACGAAAGTTTGGAATCGTGATCCTCGCAACCTACAAAGAATTTTACGGGGCGAAATTAATTTAACGAACCGTGAAAAAATGTATTCGACAGAACTGTTTGCCATCGTTTACAAATATTGAAAAATATCGTTGAATATAGTTAAGAAAGCATTTGGTTTACCGCTAATGCGCCTCATGGCGGCTCACGACACGGCTCGTATCCAGAAAACGTTGAGCTGGTTAATCCAGCAAGGTATGCAAGTCTTCCTGTTCACTATAAACACCATGCCACATGTAAGAACACCGATCATCATCTACGCCGTGCACACATCGATTTTAGAACGCAAGATTCTCGCGCCATTGTCCCCAGACGAAACTTTTCTTGGACAAGGAAGATAACCTGCCCCTTCAACACACCGTCTTCTCCTATTACGTTAACGTGGAATAATAGAAAGTTGCTTCAAAGAGGAGCAACATATTGTTAATCGTGATTGGAAAGATTTTCTTCTTTGCAAATAACGAATACAGTAAAAAACGCGATGATTTGATACGTACTTAAACGCAAACGAGAAACGATGACTGAACAGAGTACAAACTACTTCGTTGCGACTTCGCACGTAGCACTGTCGTGGTTAGTATAGAATGCCACCGTTAGAGTGCTCAACCGATCGGTAACGATAAATCTGTCCCTTGTATGGATTTAGGTTTTGCCAGTAAATTGAATATCGCTTTCTTCAATTATTTTTCAATTAATTTCATCGAATATTCTGTTAATTTCTCTACGTTTACTACAAGCTGTTATAGTGGTGTTTGTTTATAAAGTTCCCCAGTTGTGTTATGTAACATTCAACATGCATAATAACATTTAACTCTTATATTCACATTGATTGCACCCTCTTTATACTCTTGAAACGCAGGATTTCGATTGCATTGCCAATACCTAAACATATCAATTCATCGCGTCGACCGTTCCTTTCGGAAGTAATATGTACTTACTGGCTCTAAACAAAGTCGCTGCTTATTCGCGCCAAGTATGTCTTCGGTGACACGACAGTTACATCTCGACAAGAGAAAACAAATGAACTGGTACGCGGAGATATAGAGTCTTTGGGCCTTTCTTTCTTTTTTTTCCGAAAGAAAGAACCATTCGCGACACTTTCTACTCGTACGGGAATCGTCCGGTGTGTAAATAGAGGTTAAACAGCTGTCTGTGATTTGTGATTGTCATCAATAATATTTTTGACAAAGGCCTAAACCAGATCGGCCAAGCGTCACACCATCCAGACCCAGGCCTGGTATCATACGCTCCAAATCTTCTGATAACAACGACCAGCTCCCTTTCCATCGCCCCAGTTCAGTGGATTAGATGATTAGGTCAGCCACTTGTAAGTATAAATGGGTTTCCCTTCATTGTTGAAAAAAACGCGAAACAAAACTAACTCCATTATAAATTTGACCATTCCAAATATATTACTTGTATTTAATTAATTTTTTTATTGAATCTCTAATAACATTCCTGAAGAATTTTTTTACTGATATCTCATGAAATTAATTAGTTACAAATAATTATTGAAGGCATTCTTTCTCTTAGCCGGTTTTCTAAAATATATGGCGTCAACTATGAGCTGATATTCTAATTACTAAAATATTAACAAGAATATAAAATAAGAAAGGTGGTAGACGAATGAGACCAGAGAGAGAAGGAAGTAGTATGCAATAAAAATAGAATACATATTCCCGCCATTTCAATAGATCGAACCACAATCCGCCGTACGATTGAATTTGCCACGCTTTTAAGGCATGCATGCTTCCACCTAGATTCATCTTAAAAAACTTTACACCAGGTGGCGAGGATCGCAACAATAAATATACTAACCCATCTACATTTAAGAATTTTGATAGTTCAAGGAAAGATTACGATGACTCAGTGATGCCAGAAAAGCACCGTCGGACAGTGTGGCCAGATCTGGCATAATTGAGTGCATCGAAATCGACAACAGTGACGACGAACTTCCTTAGCGTCTAACGGAATGGTGGGGATAGCAGGCATACACTACCGCACGAGCCACGGTACGTGAGCTCGGCACTTCGCACAACTTCGGCAAATCGATAAAGAACGCTAGTGTGAGCCTTTCCTTCTTGCTCTTGTAAAAGACAAAACAACTGAAATACGACCTCGCGATAAGTGGCATACGATTCCAAGTCTCGACTGCCCCAGCATTTTTACTTTCCGACCTATATGTAAGGTATAAGGAAATTTATAAAGTATCATAATGAAAAAAAATTTTGAAATTTTTTTTTAGCGGAAATACACGTTTTGGACCCCCTGATCATATTGTGACTATTGAAAAAAACGATATTTTTTTTTGTTCCTATGCTATTAACATGAATGGATTAAACGACTAAGTGAATTTCAATAACGAAAAAAATATCTCGAAATTTTTTTTTAGCGGAAATACACGTTTTAGGACCCCCTCATCATATTGTGACTACTACAAAAAAACATATTTTTTTTTTGATCCTATGCTATTGTCATGATTGCGTCTAAACAGCTGAATGAATTTCAATGAAACTTAACATTTAAGTTTTATGTTCTCGTTTTAAGGTCTCATTATATTTTAAGCGTGATCAGTTCCCATATAATGATGATTATACGTCTGTAGTTTTATAATTATTTCGATACATATACATCATTTGTAACAAATTTTTAAAGCGATTTATATAACTCTTAAGAAGGATTAAGATCAAATATACTTTTCTCCTATCTTTCCTAGACAGGAAAAATTAAACGAAATCTTATGCCTTGCATACCTACCTAAACCACATAAAAAACGTATTCCACAAATATTTTAGAATAATGTTGTTCAAAGCAGCCTTACTCGTAAAGGGTTAATTAAGGGTTAATTAAAATGAAAAACCACTCTTAGCCAGTACCGTGCACGCTACAGAAATAGATTACTACTGACTTTTCCCACTATGTTTTTTAATAACCGTATCAAATTATTACACACAATCAAATGTTATATATTTGACTTAACTTTACATAACAAAATAATTGTAACGATAGGTAAAAGAATAACGTGCACGCTACCGTTCAATGGAAACCACGGGAAGGTGGTGGTCACTTCCATCAGGAGGGAAATGTAAAAAATTGTTATTTCTTTGTAACATTATCACATGCCATATATTAGAACGTCTATATTCTTCTTTCCTTTTTTTTGATTCCCCTCTAAATTCATTTCTGCAAAATGAAATATATTAAATTGACGTCTATATACTGCTATTCATTCAATAGAACTTTATTTCTAATTATTGCCTTTTAAAAACCTATGGGAACTGGGCTATATCTACGCGATGGTTATCGCATTATACATCCGTAGTTACACTTTTAGAGAATTGGGACTCTGTATTGCTTTTTTTGCAAGAATTGACAATAAGCGAGAAATCAGAGTCCGGGGAACGTCTGTTAATCTCGATGCAAAATCCAGAGGCCAAAGCATATCTTTATTTTCTAAATTACGCTCTTGAGTTTTTTTTATAAATTTAGCATTTTCTTTCAAACTCAAGAGACAAGAATTCATTTGCTTCAAAAGACTGCGGCAGAACTTTTATGCGATATATTGCGCAATTTTCTGAAACCGCAGCTTTTGAAACACATGGATTTAGTAAGAATGATGAATTTTTCTGTAGTCGAAAATCAACTCCCATTTAATAGTATAAATTTAGGAACAGAGTGTCTTAATTTTCTGCATCAACTGAATGCAGAAGGCAAGTCCGACATCGTAGAAACCGTAAGGAAAAATTGTTTAATGTTTTATATTACAGCTGCAAATGAAATTCGTCATCGATTGCCAATCGATGACGAATTTCTTAGCAAGTTGTATGTTTTTGAACCCACTTTTATATTAAATGATACAAATAGAGACATTTCCTTCAGAAATGTTCTCTTAATCGCTAAGAAATTCGGCGGTTTCGACGAAGAAGGACTGCAAACAGAATGGTCAGTATTGCCTTTGGAATTTACAACGAAAGGTAGACAGACGCTTATCGAGATGAAATTCGATGGTTTCTGGAAAACAATTTTATTAACGCGAAATTTGGACTATAAAATTAAATTTCCTGAATTGATGAAATTAGTAAATACAATTAGATCACTTCCAAAATTCCAATGCCGATGCAGAAAGATTGTTTTCCATGTTACCTGACATAAAAACAAAGAAACGGAATAAACTTTCTTCGGCCAGCGTCAACTCTATTTGCGTTGTGAAATCTTCGTTAAAGGCGCAGAGGGAAAACTCTCAACCCATGGAGGTAGATGACGATCATCTAGCTCTATTGTATTCCAAAAATTTATATCATAGATTTGCTAAGAAGCAAAAGTGTAATTTAAGATTAAACGCAACATATGACAATAACTTTGAGAATTTTCCCGCTACGTCATATGACGAAAATTAAGGTACCGATTTACTACAGAGCTTTTCTCTAGAGAGATTTTTCTCTCCAGAGAAAAGCTCTTTAGTAAATTCGTACTATTAGGCTGCAATGACAGTATAAACGTTTTCATGCGACGTCGCGGTAGACTGGTCTTGTTACGTCAACGGTACCGCGACGTAGGCGCAACAAGGTGTGATGCATGTATGTGCCATAACGTCACGCGAAAGCGCTTACACTGCAACCGCAGTCTTGTTAGTGATGTCCAAAATATTTTTTTTTGGACATCGCTAATATGTAAATAGTCGTTCAATTTGTCTCGCGTTGTTACTTTTTTTACGTATTTCGCTTGCTGTAAATACTATTCTGCTTGCTCTAACTATCATTTTTTTTCTTCATTTATTTGCTTATATTTTGCCGTATATTTTTAGTTAGTGAAATTGCTTGCTGTAGATAGTGTGGCTATGACGTAGAATGTCGCGCCTTGTTACACTTACGTCACGGTACCGTAAGAGCAACAATGCACGACATAACGTGCCAGCTTAATCGCAAACGTCCTATCCCGACATCCCATCCTTTGGAAATGTAAACAATTATATCATTTTTCCATTTTTATGGCTCGTGTGTATATTAATAAAAATTAATGCATTCACGAGTTAGTTTTTCATTATATTGTAATTTCATTACATTAATAAAAACATTTTAATATACGGCATGTGATAATGTTACAAAGAAATAACAATTTTTTACATTTCCCTCCTGATGGAAGTGACCACCACCTTCCCGTGGTTTCCATTGAACGGTAGCGTGCACGTTATTCTTTTACCTATCGTTACAATTATTTTGTTATGTAAAGTTAAGTCAAATATATAACATTTGATTGTGTGTAACAATTTGATACGGTTATTAAAAAACATAGTGGGAAAAGTCAGTAGTAATCTATTTCTGTAGCGTGCACGGTACTGGCTAAGAGTGGTTTTTCATTTTAATTAACCCTTAATTAACCCTTTACGAGTAAGGCTGCTTTGAACAACATTATTCTAAAATATTTGTGGAATACGTTTTTTATGTGGTTTAGGTAGGTATGCAAGGCATAAGATTTCGTTTAATTTTTCCTGTCTAGGAAAGATAGGAGAAAAGTATATTTGATCTTAATCCTTCTTAAGATTTATATAAATCGCTTTAAAAATTTGTTACAAATGATGTGTATGTATCGAAATAATTATAAAACTACAGACGTATAATCATCATTATATGGGAACTGATCACGCTTAAAATATAATGAGACCTTAAAACGAGAACATAAAACTTAAATGTTAAGTTTCATTGAAATTCATTCAGCCGTTTAGACGCAATCATGTCAATAGCATAGGATCAAAAAAAAATATGTTTTTTTGTAGTAGTCACAATATGATGAGGGGGTCCTAAAACGTGTATTTCCGCTAAAAAAAAATTTCGAGATATTTTTTTCGTTATTGAAATTCACTTAGTCGTTTAATCCATTCATGTTAATAGCATAGGAACAAAAAAAAATATCGTTTTTTCAATAGTCACAATATGATCAGGGGGTCCCCAAAACGTGTATTTCCGCTAAAAAAAAATTTCGAAATTTTTTTTCATTATGATACTTTATAAATTTCCTTATACCTTACATATAGGTCGGAAAGTAAAAATGCTGGGGCAGTCGAGACTTGGAATCGTATGCCACTTATCGCGAGGTCGTATTTCAGTTGTTTTGTCTTTTACAAGAGCAAGAAGGAAAGGCTCACACTAGCGTTCTTTATCGATTTGCCGAAGTTGTGCGAAGTGCCGAGCTCACGTACACGTGGCTCGTGCGGTAGTGTATGCCTGCTATCCCCACCATTCCGTTAGACGCTAAGGAAGTTCGTCGTCACTGTTGTCGATTTCGATGCACTCAATTATGCCCGATCTGGCCACACTGCGCACAACCTTAAGGCTGGTTTACGCGCGCTAAATAACCCTGTAGGGAGCATAAAGTAACTCCCTAGTTACTCCCGCAGATGGCGCAGTCGTCGCCGATGCCAACCGTCGATATCAGTGATGCCAGAAAAGCACCGTCGGGTGCACACGCACCCATGCCACATACGCGTACGTGAGCTCGTGGAGTTTCGGAAAGTCGACAAAGGCAAACTGACGCATGCCCTCTTTCTCGATTCTCCGAAGCTGCCCGAAGTAATTTCGGATCGCTTCGTGGGAGTCGAGAGAGAAAGGCTCACATTTGCCTTCTCGCTCTAAACAACTGAAATCCGACCTCCCGTCAACGGCATACGATTTGGATTCTCGAGCCGAGATTCTCGACTGCCCAGGCATTTTTACTTTCCGACCTATGTAGGCGCACATAAGCAAAGTACCCATAATGAAAAAAAAATTTTGTAAAATTTATTTTACGGAAATACACGTTTTAAGACCTCCTGATCATATTTTAATTATTGAAAAAAAAGAAATTTTTTTTATTCCCATGTATGAGCACACATATGTATATTATTAATACGATTTTTGAAAATCAAAATACTTTAAGATTGAAAATTAATAAATTAAAATGAGATTCCACTCTTTACCAGTATTGTGCACGCTGTGGTATTTTTCAATAAGAAGAGTTCTTACTTTTATAACATAAACAAAACAGTAGAATTAATAATTGCAGAAATTAATTAATAATGATTTTCCTCGATTGTTTTGAGATAACCGTATCAATTTGTTATGACAAACTAAATAGAACTAACTAGAAACAAAGGAAAAGTGATCCCGTTTGCCAGTTTAATACAAAGTATGGGTTGTATCTTAAATTTTAAAAGGACATAGTCGAATATTTTTAAAGGTACAAAACATAGCGTTTCATTGTAGAACAGTAACATAAGTTAGCAGGTAATGTCATAAAACTGTTTTTCCCAGCTATATCCCTTTTTACCTGAAGTATAAGGTAAAAAGTACGAGCTACAAGGTACGACTATCCGAAAATCGTTCACATTTTATCAATGTAAATGAAGCGGCCTTTCCATCAGAGTTAAATACAAAATTTTGTTATTTCTGTGAAAACAGAACTTTCATTAGATGTAGGTGGTGCTTGAAATTGTTATGTTTTCACTGTTTTTACGAAAAGTAGATTCATGTACTTCGTACATTGAAAATAACATATGTTAAATGTAATTGGTTAAATTCAACTTTAAAAAAAAAATATTCGAAGGTCAGACAAAAATATAATGTCACATTTAGTGTACGATTAAAATATGATTGAAAAAATAAAAAAAAAGGATTTGTTTTGGCAGGGTTTGAACCTGCAGAGCAGAAGAAGCTCGGAACTTGCAGGCAAATACCTTGTCATTCACGCCACGCTGGTTGTTGAATGTATTTCTATTTCTGAAGATAAGCATCTGTGATAACTTTAATAATATCTCAAAGTAAAACCTAATCCAAAATCGGGTACCATTCCAACTTTTCCTTGTTAGAACCGAGTTTTCAATTTGTCTTAGCGAAAATCGTAATCACATTTTGCACATTATTCTAAAACATTTGTGGTATTCGTTTTCAATGCGATTTAAGTAAGCATGTAATGTATAAGATTTCATTTAATTTTTTCTTTTCTAGAGAAGATAGAGAAAAAGTTTATATAATTTTTTTTATATGTAAGGCGTCGGGAAAAGGCGTGGCCCAAGCCGAGGCGCTGGCAAGGGACCGCGTCTGGCCTTCGTCCGTCATCACTCCCACCCCTACCGATGGGGGAGAAGGCTGACGACAAAGGCGAGGGTCTAGGCCCAGGACGGGCTCATTTGTTTTTCCGACGCTGAAAGAACGGGAATAAAGCATGTATACGAATACCCTGCGTATTTCTTAATTCCTAATTCCATTCTACGCGTCTGTCTAACATATATAAAATTTAATTCGTCCTAAGATTTATATGAAACATTTAAAAGATTTTTTATACATTATGCCTATACATATATCGGAACAACTATGAAACAAGAGGTATAATCATTATTATCCATCGACTGATTATAGTCAAAGTCTAACCGGACTTTGAAATGAGAACATAAAACTTAAATGTAAAGTTTCATTTAAATTCATTTAGCTATTTATACTCAATCGTAATAATAATATACATATGTGTGCTCATACATGGGAATAAAAAAAAATTTCTTTTTTTTCAATAATTAAAATATGATTAGGAGGTCTTAAAACGTGTATTTCCGTAAAATAAATTTTACAAAATTTTTTTTTCATTATGGGTACTTTGCTTATGTGCGGCTACATAGGTCGGAAAGTAAAAATGCCTGAGCAGTCGGGAATCTCGGCTCGAGAATCCGAATCATATGCCGTTGACGGGAGGTCGGATTTCAGTTGTTAAGAGCGAGAAGGCAAATGTGAGCCTTTCTCTCTCGACTCCCACGAAGCGGTCCGAAATTACTTCGGGCAGCTTCGGAGAATCGAGAAAGAGGGCATGCGTCAGTTTGCCTTTGTTGTCTTTCCGAAACTCCACGAGCTCACGTACGCGTATCTAGCATGCGAGAGTGTGCATCCGACGGTGCTTTTCTGGCATCACTGCGATGACTTGTCATTTTAGGATAATGTAAAATATTATTTAACTAAATAAAGTAAAAGAATTATGCCACTTTAGTGCATAAAACAGAGATGGTTACATAAAAACGTAAAAGTACTAAATTCCAAGCGTTTCGTTGATATACCAACTGTAGTGGTTGCTACATGTAGACACGCCTTTACGTACGTTGAGAACGCACCGTTGTAGTGTAGTGCTCATGACGACCGCGCAGAGTTTTCTTGCCGCGGAAAAGTAACCAATAAGGAAATAACTGCAGTGCTAACAAAGCTTTTGTAAGAGGAGCACGTCAAGTCTTGATTAAAAAACACTTTAATTTTTTTAACCGTACCAATATATTAACCAATATTAATAGATAGATACAAATTATTCCGTTAGTAACACGATACAACAAATTTAGATTGCAATGTAAAATAAGAATTTGATAATCAACACCCAAATAAAATTCTTATTCTAAGTCAATACCTTCTATGCTAATAGAAAGTCATAGAACGTTACATCTTCCTAAAAGAATATACCCATAGTAAAGTGAAAATAAAACTAACATCCATATTAATACAATAAAGTAAAATGAATTGTTAAATACAGGAAGATAAGTTTGGTAGTGCTAGAATAGGAATTAGAATAGCAAGTACAATAGACATTGTTATAAAAATATATATTTGGAAGAGAAAATTAGGATGCAGGATATGTTACATAGTAATGATGGGGTCAAGTACGCTATACTCATTAAGTAAGCAAGTGTAAAACGTCTTAAGATACTTAAGTAATTAGAAACGATGAGCACCGTTTCACGATATGATGACGGCACTGTCTGTGACTAGCGCACTGACTCATCGATCAGTCCACGTCGGACCACAGCACGGTTGAGTTCGTATTTTCGGTTTCGCGATCGTAAGCGTCAAATATTTAAATCGATGTTCTACGATTGTCTGTGGTGCTACGCGTGTTGTTTATTCGCATAACCTAGTGAAAATGTTGTTAGCAATTGTATTTTGGTAGATAAGTGCCTTTTTCATGTGGATTTCTCGGATATATAAAGTGTTTCGTTGAATACAAAGTCTTGGGTACAAAGGAATAATCAAAAAGTCGACCTGATTGATATGGTGAGTGTTGAAAAACCTGGATTTGTCGTGTATCGATAGCTACATTGTACGACGAGAATTCACGTCGTGTACAAGCAAAGATTTAACGGATGGCATGAAATAAGCATGGAAACATGATTAAGATGTTTCTTAGTGAAAGTAGACAGATAGAAATTTATAAGTCAGTGATATGCGGATCACGTTGTAACGAATCCTATGAACGAAAACCAGTCTAACATTGTATGAATAGGAACTGAAGTTAGTCGTTATTTTTAATCTGTTTATTTACAATTTCAACAATGTCCAAAAATGGCTCTATATAGTAGCAGACAAGAAGATCAATTTTATTAACGTAAAATCGGGACTTTGTTTTTTGTATAAGTAGAAATTAATTTATCTGACCGAACGATTTAAATTCAGCACAGTATATTGCAAATAGATTATAATATATTATATATAGAGCTGTAAAACAATAATATATCGCAACATGATTTTAATTGAGTTTTTTTAGTTCGCGTTATTTAGCCAAAAAGTAACAAAAAAATATAAAATATTGTAAGGTGTCATTCATAGGATTTATCAGATAGTACTTATCAAATATGTTTACTTTGATAAGATTAAGCACGTTTCGTAATAGATTTTGATAACAATTGAGGGATTTATAGTAATAAAACAGTTTTTTTGAAAATGTATACTTCCCCGTTATTTTAACATGTAAATATACAAAAGTTATATTCTAAATTAAGGTGTTTGCCTACTTCGTTTGTTTATAAATGGTTTTTTGCTGGTTCTTTTTGCCATTTCCGTGGTGAAACAATGTTTATACGTTCATTGTCTTCCTCGTCAAGCTGGGACCTATCGTTCGATCGATTTACGAGTTTTCTCAACGAATGAAAACTCTTTGTTACGAGCGTAATCTAAAAGAAAGCCGAACAATTCTCGGAATATCTTCTTCTTTAGGAGCGTGCTATGTACATATATTACGTGTTGTACGTTGTACTTCCAACTGCGAAAGGAATGTCTCCTTGTACCGGAAAAATACACGCATTAGTGTCGCACGTTGATGTAGTGACATCAATCGAGTGGTTTATGGCTTGGAAATGGCTATAGGTAGATACATTATAATGGAGCAAGCACTGCTCAATACGCCGTCAGCTGTAGCCAGCTTTCGTGCAGATAATAGCCATATCCAAGAAGTGCATGTAATGCTTGAGTTTAAATTTTAAATCGACAACCGTTAGAAGAGATTTCTAAAAAAACGAAACGAGCAAGTAAATAACTTGATTAGCCCAATTAGATCTATGATGAATGTCATAAAATACAACGTTGTACGAAAGGAAAACAATCGCTACGTATTTGATGTATCCAAATAGATCGTTCAGAGTATTTGGGTACCCTAGTTATCTAACGATGCTAAACATTTTGATGGCCTACATAATAGTTAAACACGTTTTAAAACTCTGTTAAATATCATTATGTGGTTGAGAACCAGTAAAAATTGCACTATTTTTTAATGACAATCTTAACCTCTTCACGCCCTTGGCCACATGTGTGGACGTTTAGTTTTTTTTGTTTTTATAATTACAGTTATTGTCAATAATAAATAGACAAAAAAAAATCGTCCCTGAAGAGGTTAATATCTTGATAATTACAAGACGATTTACATTAACTTTGAGTTTTTTTTTTTTAACTATACAATGCCACATTTGATCGTAAAGTTTATTGAATATAGAATACAAAATTAAAGCGCACGATATTCTTTGATTGATCTTTAGTGCAAGAAATGTTCAAATGTCGTCCATTAGAATCAATGGAAGGATGTAGGCGATTAAGCAATGTGAGTGATACATGTATAAGTGGCTCTGTAGATATAGCATTACACGCTGTAACGATGAGGTCTGTCGTATCTTAAATGATTGTAGGTAGTTCGCGATAAACGAGGATTATATCTCGCTTTTCTAAATATTACTAATCTTTATTATGACGAAGATGTTTGTCACGTTCGCGTGTGCTGATGAGTTATCATCGCGGAATTGATTCATGCATCAATAACATTAGAAGGTTCTACATGATTGTAAATATTGAAATTGAGGCAAACGTTGCGTGGAATTCTCGTACACAAAAGTTCCGCCATCATTGGGGAATATTTCGGTAACTATTAATTTCTGACACCTTGCTACTTAATAGTTTTTTTTGATTCTGCATTCAATGGACTTTTGAACGGCATGATTAAATGCTGCACATTATAGTTAAAATACTCAGGGTTACCTTCATATTTTAATAAAAAAGGAAAATAGCAAAAAATTAATTGTATGCTCCTCTTTATACCAAATAACTTTCATATTTGAATTACCAGTAGTTTATTAATAAATATCATTCTGATAGACAAATATTACGAAGAATAGATTAAACGTGTGATTTATAAAATAATAATGTTTGTATGAATAAATATTTTGTTTTTGTAACAGGTGTATCATTGGCAGAGTCAAAATGTTAAACTTTCAGGAGTGGATGATATGGTTCTGCTCCCGAAAATTACTGAAGAGACTATTATTGAGAATCTTCGAAAGAGATACATGGATGATTACATATTTGTATCCTTCATAATTCGTTTTTCTAAAACGGTATTTAATTATGTTAGGTATCGCGTATCGCAGTAATATAAAAAACAGAGGATTTATAATTGTTAATTTTGTCAAAATTAATTAGCTTTTTCAAATAAATAAAAATTTACCATCAAATATCTAGAATAACAAGGATGTATCTTTTAAAGATACAGTAACCGCGAAAGAAATTTTCGACAGGTAGTAGCTCTTGATTTTTGCGATGACTGTACTTTACACAATACTTTAAAAGGTTTCTTCTTATGTGTCTCAGAATATTCGTAAGATATAATGTGAATACGTACCATGTGGCATCGATTAGCCATTCAGTCGTATTATTCGCCGTAAGAAACTTAGAATTAATCTTTAGAAATTCATTTGATCTTTAATTGAAATTATCTCTATTGTATCCAAAATTCTGCATATTCTAAAGTGCAAGGTAGAGGCAATACGTAGTTAAAAATTACAGTAAGTTTCTTAATGATTGTCAGACATGCATTGGTCCCGTGTTAGTATCGATCAATCCATTCAAGCAGATGCCATATTTTGGAGAAAAGGAGATAGAAATATATCAAGGAGCGGTAAGTTATATTAGTTAAAAATTGTGACGTTCTAACTAAGATGTTCACAATTTTAATCTTTCTTCTATATTAGGCACCATATGAGAATCCACCACATATTTATGGCCTAGCAGATGACATGTATAGAAATATGTTAATTGATAATGAAAGTCATTGCGTTATCATCAGGTAATATTCGAAGCATTTGTCCGTTTTCAAAATAATTGTATAGGCAAATATAATTTTTAATAATACTGTAAATTTCATTTCTTACAGTGGCGAGTCTGGTGCTGGAAAAACTGTAACTGCGAAATATATTATGTCCTACATCGCGAGAGTCAGTGGTGGCGGTAAACAAGTACAGAGAGTAAAAGATGTAATTTTGGAGTCTAATCCTCTTTTGGAAGCTTTTGGAAACGCAAAAACTGTTCGAAATAATAATAGTAGTAGATTTGTATGTATATTTTAGTATTCCCTTATATGTATAATTGTAATTTTAAATATACAGTTTGTTTGATCGCCCCTGGAAAAAAATTTGAATGGGGATTCTAGAGGCCAAAATAAGACGAAAATCAAGAATACCAATTTGTTGATGGAGGCTTCGTTAAAAAGTTATTAACAATTCAATTAAAAAATTTCAAATCGTTCTGGAAAAATTATTTTCGGTTGCGGGGATCAATTACAATCATTTTTTGTGGATACACATATCTCCGAAATCCTATCCACTTTCAAGAAAAAAAATCAGTACGGGCAAAACTTTAAACGTTAATAACTTTTTAACAAAGCCTCCATCAACAAATTGGTATTCTTGATTTTTGTCTTATTTAGGCTTCTAGAATACCCCATTAAAATGTTTCCCAGGGGTGGCCGAACACCCTGTATATATTAAAGAATTTTTTAATAAATAACATGCGTGGTCAATAGAAAATATTTTTAATAAAAAAATTTTTTTAATTTTCTTAAAATATACGCTTTACTAGGGTAAATACGTACAAATGCAATTTGGTCGTGGCGGCCAACCAAGTGGAGGAAAAGTTTCTAACTTTCTCTTAGAAAAGTCGAGGGTTACATCTCATAACTTTGGAGAAAGAAATTTCCATGTGTTCTATCAATTAGTAACAGGTGCAAACCAACAAATGAAATGTAAATATCGTTTACAAATTATTACCCAAGTTTTATTAATTATTAAAAAAAAATGATACGTAATTGAAACAAACATTGTGTATATTTAATATTTTATTTTGCAGCTGAGTTTGGATTAACGGATCTTGATTATTATCAGTATCTTAGTTATAGTGAAAACCATAGGGTTGAGGGAGTAAATGATGCCCACGAATTTCAGGAAACATTAAAAGGTAAACTTTATAATAGTATTAGAATAAACAAATTTTTATAAAAGTATACATTTGATATACGAAATGATTCTTTTTATTTTTCCAGCGCTGAGTGTGATGGGAATAAATGATTCGGAGGCAACTAATATTTGTAGAGTAGTTGCAGGAATACTTCACATAGGAAATATTGAATTTGTCGAAAAGGAAAATTATTCACAAGTCGCTAATAAGGAGTGTAAGTGTTCGACTTACGATGTGTCAAGGCACAGCTGGAGAGCTTTTCCTGAGGAACAGTCAACTTATATTTTCCATTTTTATATTTCAGGCCTTGAGTTACCAGCTTATTTATTGCAAATCTCAGCGGATCAGTTAGCCCATAAATTAACGTCACGCGAATTTGAATCGAAATGGGGAGGCCAATCCGAAAGCGTCGATGTAACGTTAAATGTGGAACAAGCTCTTTACACCCGGGATGCCTTGGCGAAGGATATTTATGCTAGACTCTTTGATTACTTAGTGAAAGTAAGTATATAGTTTTATGTACAGACTAAACAAAATATAAATAACATCAATTGATTACGGCTTTGATTTCTAATTATTAACTATTTTAATATTTTACAGAAAGTTAATTGTGCTATGGAGACTAATGCACATACTCTCGAGATTGGTATTTTGGATATCTACGGATTCGAAATCTTCGAGAAGAATGGATTCGAACAGTTCTGTATTAATTTTGTGAATGAAAAATTACAACAGATCTTTATAGAGCTCACCTTAAAGGCTGAACAGGTAAGTTTGCTTGTTTTTATTAAAAAAATTCGAATAGTAATTTGTTATGTATATTATTTATGTAGATTAAATAGTTTGACTTGGTTTTATTTTTTCTCTATCATTTTGAGGGTTTTTCTTAAATATCCAGTAGGTCCTCGATTTAACAGATGATTTAACGAATTTTATTCTATTACATTCTGTACGTATATACGTTTATAAGACATATTATAAATGCTTTATTTGCAAATTACTTTACTCATAACTAGAGTAACTGCGCCTAGTCTGCGCTGGTGACAGAATTACGTTATCATCTATAGTTAGTCACATAATAAATTGATTACACACGAATATTTATAGTACATTTATTATGTTAAAAATATGTTTGCCGTGTGTAAATCTCTTCTCGTTTAACAACTCTCTTCCCATTATATCTATATCATCGCTATAAAACTTGTTTGACTTTTCATTAAAATATCGTTCCATGTTGTTCTTTACTACATTGAGATTTTGAAATTGTTTACCCACTAAAAAGCGTTTCGACAAAGTAATGAGGCAATCTGCGGGGAATAAAGTAAGTGTGACAAAACTTCCTAAACCAAATTCATGTTATCGTTTTCAAACATATTTCATCTTGTATGGTATTTTACATCTATTCATTGCTAACATTGATAGTTGTTCCAATACATCACGGAACATATGCATCAGATGCAAAGTTTACTTCTTGACTCTATTCGATTGTTGTATATTATAATAAATGATCGCCACTGTAGTTCGCAACAAGAAACGTTCATTACGTTAAACTATCCAGCAATTTCAAATTTCATTTAATATAAATAAACTGACATCGCTATGACGGGAACATTTAATCGCGCGTAACACTTTCGACCTCATAGAACTGAGATCTTCCGAACGAATAATCCTTGATGTTGTTTTAGTCATCGGAGAAGCTGTATCCTGGTAATATATCCGTTCTTCGTAACGCATATTTCTGAACAGGCGTAGTCTGTACCACGAAACTTCCGTTCGGAACTTTCGCTGGCGGTGCTGGTATTTGTTTCGGCAATTCGCTGGAAGTTACCATAGAATGTTCGGTGGTGGAAAGATCGTCTAAACCGTAAATCGACGCTAATCTGTTCAACTTTTTAGCTTCGATCCGCGAAACGAGTTTCCGGTTTCCACGATTCGTATCTATTCGACGATCAAATTTTTTTCGTAGTCGATTGGTTTCAGCATTCTCGGATTTCCAATCGGCTTGTCTTTGAAGATGCGGTTTCGCTCTGAGAAAACCTTCGTTGTTGGACGTCGTTGTGAAGGCCAAATTCTTTTGAAAGGAGCCGCTGCGACCCCTCACGTTTACGTAAACCTTCGGCCTATTGGTCTTTAAATAATAAAGCTTCTCGTCGAAGTTCGGAAGCTTCGGTGGATCGATCAATATGTCTTTCTCCTCGTCGAACATATTCAATTTAAAATTTGGAGTCAAACCGAAGTCTCTTACTCCGAAAATCGAATGAGGCACCACTTCCGGATTCGGGTAGCTCTCGTTGTGGATTTCCTCAGGTTGCTTCAACATCGCGTGCACTATGTTTTGAAGATTCGTAGTGCCAAAATCGTCCCGACTCTGCAATTCAATTTCTAGAACACTGACAGGGCAAATTTACTTTTATTATTCGGTTTTCATTTAATTATCTCTTATTGAATACTTTAGTACGGTCAGTTTTAACGCTTATCAATGCAATGGTTACAAACTTGATCTCCTTGTTAGTTATTATATTACATTCCAGTAATATTGTTTTGCAAATTAATTCTAAAGGACCCCGCACAGATCCTATGGAAAATGGCCCCCGGTTAAATTAGCTAAACTTTTAATATGATGTAGTTCATGATGTCTTGATGAAAAGTTTCAATGGGCCCAAGCTCGTAAATTGAACAGTTTCCGAGATACGGGGGATCAAAAGTCAATAATATTTGAGTCTAAGAAGCACTGTTGTACACTGTCCATTTATTTGACCCCTTAAAACTCAATAGTAGTACTGTGGGCCCTTAAATATTACCCCTTGTCCCCCTGATCCTCTTCCCTTCAGGAGTCAAAATAAAAAAACGCCAAAAAGGTAAAGAATGGTTCTCTTCTTCAATGTACAAACATGAAGCATCGCCGACATTAGCATTACCCAGTGTGCACCACGAAGAGGTTGCTCGAGATTTTGCACACTTGGGCCCATTGGAACTTTTCATCAAGACATAATGAACTACAGTATATCAAAAGTTCAGCTAATTTAACCGGGGGCCATTTTCCATAAGATCTATGCGGGGTCCTTTTAGGTGATACAATAATATGTAGTTTCAATACAGATAAACAAATGAGTAATGGTTACCTGTAATCGTTGGTGTTGGGTCTTTCAACGTTAGAACTTTGCAGGAAATTTTGAATGGTCTTCTCTTCGTAAATTTTTTCATTACTTTGTCCTTGATCCTGTCGTATGTGATTCGACGAAGGTGGTGGCCTCGGAAGAACCATCGCAGAGAATAATGGATGTATGAGTACGTAAAGTACCATTGTTGTGTAATAGTTGTCTGTCGCTAACATTCTGAAAATTGATTTCACATTGTACGTTAAAACATAATATGTATACAGGGTGTTCGGCCACCCCTGGGAAAAAATTTTAATGGGAGATTCTAGAGGCCAAAATAAGACGAAGATCGAGAATACCAATTTGTTGATTGAGGCTTCGTTAAAAAGTTATTAATATTTAAAGTTTTTTTTTAAAGAATTTTTTTCTCGAAAGTGCGTAGGATGTCTACTCACCTAAAATGATTGTAATTGATCCTCGCAACCAAAAATAATTTTTCCAAAAAGATTTGAAATTTTTTTTTTTAGCATCTACTCCTTGCCAATTTTTCTTAAACATTCGTTCTTGATTTTTAGTAATTTTGTTTGACGTCCCAAAGAAAAGTTGTCTAATACTTTTTTGTAGGTTTCTGCGAGCTCTACACCCTCCCAAAATTTCATTGAAATATATTCACTATTGTACGAGTTATGGTCGTTTGAAAATTGGACTATTTTTATGAGGCTTTTTGTTACTTCACGGGGTTAAGTTACAACTTTTCAAATATTTTTAGAATTTCTACATATTCTTCAGTAAAATACGCGTCGTTTGCATTTTTAAACATTAAAATCCTCCAATCCGTTCTGAAGTTATGATGTTTTAAAGATACGCATGAAATATTGAGGAGACATTTCTGGCCTGAAATTATATTTTCGGTAAGGAATTTTTTTCTTGAAACTGAGTAGGATTTCGGGGATATGTCCATTCACCAAAAACGATTGTAAATGACCCTTGGAACTAGAAATAATTTTTTTAGAACGTTTTGAAATTGTTTAATTTCGCCCAAAAATTTTAGTATCTACTGAATTTTTTTCTTGAAAGTGCGTAGGATTTCAGGGGTATGTCTACTCACCAAAAATGATTGTAATTTGATCCCCGCAGACCTAACCCAGACCTAACCCGCTCACGTTTCGTGTTCTTTATAGAAAATTTCCTGGATAGAAAACGCTTTCTTTTTTAATTAAAACAAAGTGAATTGTTGCTCTGTGGAAACGTTCTGCTGTGCTCTGATAAACATTTAAGCTATTAGCAGTCTTTCATAACGAAGAGGTACGCTGCTTCTTTTCATTAAAAGAAATAAGAAACGAAGGACAGAAAAATGTTAACGTTTCTGGTTAGCCGCATAGAACAGCATGTAACGAGCGTGTTATAATAAACGCAGTGAAAGTTTTACCTGCTCGCACGACCAGCCTGAAGGAACAAAATGATACAATTTCTCTTGTTTCACTTATACAGGCTGCACGTCAAATTACCACGCATACGTTTTGTAATCAGACAGGCTAACAAAAATAATAATATCCTCCATTTATAAATCAGTATTTTAAATTATCGTTATATTGGAAAAAATGCAATTGCAAAAAATTGAACTGGTATAAAAATAGGGTAATAGAAATATTCAATATTTAACAAATAAGGAAACAAGGTAAAAATGAAATCACAATAGAAGTGGAGTTCCCTTGATTGGCTTTCTGAAGATGTTTTACAGCACCAAATTTAATAGGGTATTTTCGCCAATTTCTAAATCCCAGAATGTATAATACAGAGAATAATACATTTCATATTTTCCAGTATTTTCATTTCCTTTCATCCTGTTGAGTAATTTGCCCTCACTTGTAATAAATGCGTATTACTTTTATCACTGTTAACTGTCCGTAGGCGGACATTTTGTAGCGTGGGCGTTAGGAAAACACAGAAAACTAACGTGTATCTAAATTTTATTCAGTGTATTATTATTATTGCTATTCAGTTTGCGAAGTAACGGAAAGATCCTCCATTCCAAAGAGATCTATGGTCTGAACTCTTAGTAGGTGTGGTTCATTCGATATAGGTTCGCGTTGCAGCGGAAACAGGTTCTCTTAAAAAGTGCAAGTGCATTCGTTGCTCTGGTGAACGTACTCAACTGTACTCGGTGAACGTAAGAGTACACGTGGAGTCGGTCAGTCAAGTGGCTTTACGTTTGTTTCTAGCGGTTTATCATGTTCATATTTGTATGGTTTCAAGTAGAGTAGGACAAATATCATTTAAAATGAAATCTACTTCAATTCGTAACTTAACCATTTGACGAAGACTGGAAGTGTTTAAAATTTGGATTACTTTTTAAAAAAACAAAGTTCATCTTTATTTGACCTTCGTGTCGTATATATTAATAAAATAAACATTAAAGTGCGTCGATGAGGATAGAATACATTGTAGAGTTTCATAATCGAAAAAACTTATTTAACTTCAAGTTGGAAAACGCAATTATCTGTAAGCGATTTGTTCAAGGTTCGAAATATAATAACGCCATTATTAGAAAAGGAATTGTGTACAATTATCGTGACCTTAGACGGTGAGTCTTACACGGAGTTCAAAGGTTATGCAATTATCATTCTTTAGTAGCTGAGTATCTCGAACTTTATTAGTTTTCGAATAGATGTACTTTGATATTTTTATTCTCGAAATTCACTATTTTATCGAATTCTGTCAAAGAAACGTTAAGTATACCCCGCGATATCAATCTTATATATTTTTCTTTGGATTCTATTCAAGCTGTTTCCAGGTATTAAAAAGAATATTATTATTTACAAAACGACGGTCGAAGGGGAAATGCGTTTAATTTCTATGAAAGTTGGAAATGCGAGTAAAACAGTTTTTGCGGTTGGGAAGTAATTGAAATCGCGCGGTTTCTATTATTTGATCTTTTGTCAAATGATATCTCTGTTCGTTTTTTAAATCCTTCTCGGTGTCTGATTTATTATTACTGTCCCAATTTTGTTCGTTATTATTTTCCAAAATTTGTTGTAAATATCTTTTCTTTTTTGGTTTCATGTTTTTTTCAGATTGAGTATTTAACTTATTAGGAAAAGTCATTATGTTTCTTTACGTCGCATTTGAACTCATATGGATTATCCCCTGTATCTTCCATTTGTTTTTCTCCTACTTTCTTCGATCTTTCCCTTTCTCTATTTCGCAACCTGTTTCATTCGGTCACTTGCTCATTCACTTTCTGCCAATCACTACAGTGGTTCCCATTGCAAAATGGCGTATATGCCCGAAAATATTAGTTCCATATAGAAAATAATCGATCTAAAGGACAAAACTAAAAACATTGGCAGAGTCTACGCTCATAGTGTCTCGTCGTCTGTCTCGTGCACTCTGTTATTTGCACTTTTTCGTTTCTCAACCCTCTATAACTCAAATTATACTTGGCTTCTGAAAAAATTACACGATAGTAACAAGTTTAAAGGAAAATTTCAATAAATACAAATTTCCAACTGCAGCCATGCTTCTGTACATATGTTGGTTGCAAGCAATACTGTAGCTTTAAAACTGCAATCGATGTATTATTGTACATTGAAAATAGAATTAAAACGAATTAAAAAAATGTAGACAACGAGTATGTGGCTCTCAAGTCACCTGTGTTCGATAAAAATGAATTAACTCGAACTCGTATAACTTATGTAACATGTTTTATAATTTAAAGAATACTCGTCGTGTCCCAGGCGCGTTAAATTTTAAATCTCACGACGAGCAATTTGTCTTGTTTTCCCAAAAAGTTACTCGTACGATTCCTAAATAATTTTTAAAATTTCTACAGGTAAACATTTTAATATCGACGAATAACTACGTGGGGCATTAATACGATTGTTGACATCATATTTGTATCGTACCTGAACTATAAACGAGTCGAAATAGGTCACTGCGAACACGATTCTTCCGGGATCAATCGATCTTGCGTCCGTATAGCTGCGGTTTGTTTCTGATTGTCTCAGAGCCGATGCATGTCGCTTGAACGTAAGATTTTTTAACAGACGATGGATCAACGGTGCTTCTTCGACAATCTGTTTACGAGATCCATTTATGGCGATTGAAAGTTCACTCGATCACACGGTCTTTAACGTTTCACGTCCACGATCGATTCTACCCATCGTTGATTCGCGCGCAAACGACGCACCTCAATGGTGGATAAATGAAAGAAACGTGAAGTATCGAATACACGCGTTACACCGACGATGGTTCTATTTGCTCTGCGACCAAGACTCGAGTGAAGGTAATGAAATGGCTAAGTGAAACGTTGGCCTCTCTCTTTCTCAATCTTCTCTCTTTCTTTATGTGTCCCTCTCTCTGGTTTATCCATGGTTGTGTTCGCGTAACCGTCGCAATTGGTATCGCTTCCTTCCTTCCTTCCTTCCTTCCGTTTCGCGCCGTGAAATTTTCAAACGTCACCAATTCGGTTCGAAACATCGTTCGAATAGATATCAATTAAGGGGTCTTTCTACTTTGTGGGAATTAAAAAATCGAATTTTTTTTGGCGTTTTCTTTTAGTATGTAATCCCGAAAATATATCTACCAAATATTAAATTGAAATTCGAAAAACTAACGAAGCTGAAATGTACCACACGCAGGTATAACAACTGGACGTGAAACTTTAAAGCTGTTTTTCTCGAAACTTCTATTTTCGGCACTGCGTAGACGATAACATGGAAACTATTCAAGATATCAACATCAAATTTATACAGTATCTTTAGAACTAGTCTCCCTATAGCATGAACTAGGATAATTGCCATATATGCAATACTTTTTCTTTTATTAACATAAGGGCAACCGAATATATGAAAATATTCAGTATTTTTTCGTAAAATAGCTGCAATTTTGCCTTTTTTTGTTTTTTTGAAAAGACCCTAGTTCGTGCTTTAACCAAACTTATCTATATTAAGAATATCTTTGGTTTTTGAATTTCGGATAACTTGTTCGCAAGATATCACATACTGTTGTTCGTTGATCAACAAAAACAGCGTAATCTTAAATATTATGCGTTACAAAAATTTCTTAAATATATAATAAATAAATATAGTTAAATATGTAATAAATGTATCCACAAAACCCGGAATTAATCCCTCTTTAATAGACCGCAAAAAAAAGTCACAAAGAAACATGTATTTTTCGTGCCTACAAAGTAGAATGGCCCCTTAAGCAACTATTCGAAAGGAAAGCCTATATCTGTTGAAACCTTGTTTCGAAATATTGGTTTTTACAAAAAGTGATTTAAAAGTCACGTATGGATGTGGATTTTTCACTGAAGTGCTAAAAAGAAATTAATTCCCAAGATTAGATGTTAAAGAAAATAAATTTAGAGTTTTGAGTTTTTAACGATGCGGAGGATACCCCATAATTTACTTCTTAATTGTGTTTCAATTCATAATCACAGTGATTATAACGCGTGCAATGTATTTTCCATGGAACGGTTGAAACGATAGAATTTTGTCAGTGTTGAAGCCACGAGAAATAACGGTTTTGTTATCAGCTTAAATCTCCAAGTAGAAACATACAGTTGCAGTCTAATGACTGAACTTTGTTTTATTTCCGACGATGTAGAAGATGTCTCGGGAAATCCTGCTATTCAAGGTAGAAGAAATGGGTTAAAGTGATTTATAAGAGACTCTATTTCGAGCATTTCCCCATTGCGAAACATTATAAAAATAAGATTTGTCATTAAAAAACAATGCGAAACATTATAAAAACAAGCATTTGTCGGTTTGATTTTCGTCGAATTTAATCGCTGAATTATAAAATATAAAGAAATTGTAAGAAACTGATGTTTTTTTATACAGGTACATACTTATTACACATCCAATAATTAATATAATTTCAAATTTGTTTTTGGGCCTTATTTTTTTTTTATTTGCGTTGACTCTTTCTGCGTCTAATTATTTCATTAAAATATTTAAAAGTTGTCGGAATGTATTTTACTGTTGTGTACCATTGTCACGTTTAGATGTCACGAATGTCATAGTAATTTCCTGAAGAAAGCGACAGGGCACTTTCTAATTACTTTGTATTTTAGTTCTACTGGTAACATTTATTATGCTTTATGTTTTTTTTCGCGTCCATTTTAAATAAATTTTCTTGAATAAAAGACAGAACTATGCGATCAGAAACAGATTATAATATGCACGTATTTTTTCTTTGCAAAATACAAAACATTACTTTTAATTCACTGTAAAAATTACATACCGGCTTATATAATAAATCAGTGGCGTACGAACAGGCCGGTTTTTGGGTGTCAGAACCCCTTCGTCTCCATAAATTTCAACGAAACGCTTTATAAAAATTTATTTGATTTATTTACTTAAGAAATACTATTAGTGAAGAAAAATTAAATGATTTAGAAGCTTTGAATATTTATAAAAGTATTTATATTTTTGCAGAGGTGGTACCAATAATGAGAAGAATTCCAATTAAATCGTAAGAAATAAAAATAAATAAAATGTAAGAGTATAGTTCAGTTGTATGCGCGTTTTTCTTTAAAATTGAATATGGCCAGACAATCGGAGTAATTCTATAAAAATAAATTCGCATCATTACTTGATGAAGCATCTTTGTTATTGTGTCCGGCCTTCTTAAAACGCATGCGATATTTTTATATTACATTAAATCGTTTCTCACGGCCTACACCGACATCCATGACTTTTGTGCTCGTTTCGTCTTCGCACGAATACTCGGGACACATTGTGGAACTACATTATTATCCTCCACGTGACATTTTCCATTTCACCTAAAAGCATAGAAACCATTTTGCCGGTAAACTCTTAAAGAAAGAAAATGTAAGAATTACAGACAAAATCCTTCACTCATAGCACCTTCTTATAACGCTACCAATTTCAGTTGATTTCTCTTCAAATAAATTCAATTGACTTCATCCTTTTATAAAAATTAAAAAAATAATTCTAGTAAAACGTTGATATTTTATTACGTGAAAAAACATGTGGCAAACGTAATATAAAATAGTAATAATAATAACATGTTTTCAATGCACACAGGTGCGCGTTAGAAAAGAGAGTACACTAAAAACAAATTAATCATTTTCTAATATACAATACCGGACATATATGTTTCGACACTTCTTCTTGTGCAATTTCAGTATACAGTGCATAGTATATTAATCAATATACAGGGTGTTCGGCCACCTCTGGAAAAAATTTTAATGGACGATTGTAGATGCCAAAATAAGACGAAAATCAAGAATACGAATTTGTTGATGTTAAAAACGTTAATAACTTCTTCGTTAAGAAGTTATTAACGTTTAAAGTTCCGTCCGTACTGAATTTTTTTCTCGAATATGAGTAGGATTTCGGGGGTATGTCGATTCATAAAAAATTATTGTAATTGATTATAATTATTAGTATTAAATTATTTTTTTTCGCCGAAAAATTTGTCCACCTTCCTGAATTTTGTCTCGAAAGTGCGTAGGATTTCGGGGGTATGTGTATTCACCAAAAATGGTTGTATTTGACCCCAATACCTAGAAATAATTTTTTTAGAACGATTTGAAATTTTTTTTTCGCACATAAACCCTCTATCAATTTTCCTTAAAAATTCGTTTTTCATTTTTAATAAAGTTTGACGCTGTACGGAAATTTTGTCTAATACTTTTTTGTAGGTATCCATGAGCTCTACTTCAGAAAAAAATTTCATTGAAATATATTCACTATTCTAGGAGTTAGGGTCGTTTGAAAATTGGGACTATTTTTACGAGGTTTTTCTTACTTTATGGGGTCAAGGAACAACTTTTCGAATATTCTTGGAATATCTACTTATTGTACACTAAAATACGCGTTGTTTGCCGTTCGAAACATTAAAATCGTCCAATCCGTTCAGGAATTATGACATTTTAAAGATTCGCATGAAATTTCAGGGAAGCATTTCTGGCCTCACATTAGATTTTCGGTAAGGAATTTTTTTCTCGAAAGTGGGTACGATTTCGGGAGTCTTTGTATTCACCAAAAATGATTGTTATTGATCTCCGCAACCAAAAATAATTTTTTCAGAATGATTTGAAATTTTTTAATTTAATTTTTTAATAACTTTTTAACGAAGCCTCAGTCAAGAAATTGATATTCTTGATTTTCATCTCATTTTGGCTTCTAGAGTCTCCCATTAAAATTTTTCCCAGGGATGGCCGAACGCCCTGTATAGTGGAAGGAATGATATTACAATTAATTTTAATCGCAACAAACGTTATTTATATTAACACATAAGTATAACCTTAATAGTATTAAATTTCTGAATAATTTTATGAGGTAAACCAAACGAAAGAATGAATTTCTAGCCTATCCGTTCGAATCGATGACTGGTTCGGTTCTTTTTAGCGTAGACTCAGTATTATATAATTTTTGTCGTGCAGTTATCGTTGAAGAAATAACAGAATCATGAGAAAGGTTCGTTCGTGCCTTTAACGATCCAAGAACACGGTAAGGAGGTCGTCGTTAATATGAAATGGAATCGTTACCTCAGGCACGGGCTAAGACGAAAAGAATCGTACCACTTTTGCCGTCACCTCTCGATGTTCACCGCAACTAGACCGCGCATAAAAACGCGAGAGAGCTGAGAGACGACGACGAAATTGCTCGCCTCCGAGCCTTTTGTCGCAAGCGGGATCGTCTAGCCTGATTCGGAGCGGAACACCGTGTTTTATCGATGTGGATCGTGAGATATTCGAACAAAGATATTACCGAAGTAAACAAAGAAAATCGTGTGAAATACGCACAGGATAACACAGACGATCAGATAACAAAGCCTTTTCATCGCCGTCTGCAAAACATTTACAAATACTATATTTCGTAATCGTCTACTTTGATGAGTTTTAAGGGGTAAGACCAACGTAAAAACCTGAAATGAAGGGGTTTTTTCTGATTTTTTATTTTTTTTGATGGATGGAAAAGTAAGAGGATAATAATATTCAAGAATGTTATTAACCATGTCGTTAAGTGTTACAAAAGAAAATAATATAAAATGACGATGCTGGAGCCAATTTCGCGAGGCGTGTTTTGAATTTGTGGCGCTCTACGGCACGCAGTGTAACTGACGTGAAATACGTAGGGGGTCTTCGATAAGTTAATTTTGACATTATTAATTGACAAATGTTTGCCCCATTGTATGTACAAAATTGAACTTTCTACTTCAAATGCTCGCCAGTCACACAAAAATTAATGTTTCAAAAATCCCCTACATATTTCTCTAGCTATACTCACGTAGATTAAGAGAAAATTGTTTGTTTTTTTCCGCGTCAGTTACATTGCGTGCAGCAGAGCGCCTCAAATTCAAAACACGCTTCGCGAAAATGGCTCCAACGTCGTCATTTTGCACTATTTTTTTTTTAACACTTAACGACATGGTTGATAACATTCTTGAATATTATTATCCTCTTACTTTTCCATCCATCAAAAAAATAATCGCAAAAGAACGCTTTATTTCAGGTGTTTACAGTGGTCTTACCCTTTATGAAACGTTGCAATTGGAACAGAACTTCTGTAATATAACAGTAGACGTAAATAAATAATAAACAAATTATGTGCATTATGTTTACCTCGAGATAGTTCCTCCTTCCATCTTTTCTTCTTTAGAAAAATTAACGTTTTGAATTCTATGGATATTTCTTTATCGTCCTCAAAGATGAAACGTTTTCATATTAACGAAAACTAAAATATTTTATTGTAGGAAGCTATGTTTAATAAGGATACAAATAATTTTTTCTAACATTTGTATTTTTATAAACAAGAAACGTTATGTTGTTTAGGAGGAGTACGTATTGGAGAATATAAAATGGACTCCGATAGAATACTTCAATAATGCCGTTGTCGTCGAACTTCTCGAAGAAAAGCGTCCACCAGGGCTTTTCTTGATACTCGACGATGTGTGTGCTACTCTTCATGCTGGTAGCACAGGAGCAGACGCAGATTTGCAAAAGGTATGAAACCCTGTTTCCGGATCTACAAATAAAATGTTCGCCATAATACTCATTTGCACTGGATAATTCGTTCATTAATCTTCATTAGCTAATCTGTAAAATGAAGTTATTAGAACTAAGCGCTATTTAATTTGTTAGCTATTGCTGTGTTACAATTTCATTAATTTTAACGATAATTACAGAAACTCGCAGTCGGGGCAAACAAGCACGAACACTTTCAAACCACAAGCGAAGGTTTCGCCATTTATCACTATGCCGGAGTGGTTTCGTATTCGGTCGATGGATTTTGTGATAAAAATCGAGACGTACTCTTTCTGGATCTTGTCGAGTTAATACAAAGCAGCACGAAGTAAGTTAATACCCCTGATAGTAAGTTAATACTGTTTGGTTTAGATGAAAGACGTAAAACTTTTATTATAAATGTATGATTACATGCAAACGATACATCGAAAGTGTAAGATTATTATTTAGATAAAAGTTATCGTATAAACTGAATCGTTTACAATAATATTGTGGTATCGGGAAATGCGAGAAACTTGAGCGGAGTAAGAACTATAGGTTAAAAGAGAAAGCGTTACAGGTCGAAAGGGACGGGAAAAACCCCTGGGTCAGCGGGCCCAGTGACGCGTTCGAGGTCCTCTCGCGCAGGGGTGCGAAACGCAAGCATGACCATATTTGGTCATGTACGCGCCCGAAAGAAGCTTGAATGGTGGGGCGGAAAAGGTTTTAAAAAGGGATGTTTCGAGCGGAAAAGGGAGACTCACTTGACAAGACGTTGCCGTAACAAGTCGCTTTAAGTTGTCGTTTTAAGTTGTTGTTTTAAGTTGTCGTTCTAAGTTATATCAGTTTAAGCGTAGCTGTTATGCAAATAGTCTTAAAATTAGTTCCTAGTCACTTTTAATATTTAAATAAAGACCTTTTTGAACAAATACCCACAATATTATTATTGCAGTTCATTGATTCGTGCATTGTATCCGCAAGAAACTCATGTACAGAAAACGAAGACGCTCAAATCTAGACCTACTACTGCTGGTAGCAAAATACGAAGTCAAGCTAGTCAACTAGTCAAACAATTGGTGCAATGCACCCCGCATTATATCAGATGCATTAAACCAAATGAAACAAAGAAACCTCGAGATTGGGATCCAGTCAGAGTAAAACATCAGGTACGATTAATACATCATTTTACCAAAACATTCTTTTTAATTATAATTGATGGCAATCGAGAACAGATCACTGAAATATGAAGTTTGACTTATAGAAGTTAGAATTGAAATAAAATAAAAGCTCCATTATCACAATCTATTACATTATACATGACATAGAGTATCATTTAAATGGCCACCACAAACAAATGAGAAAATACATTTGCTTGAAGATCTGAATATTTTATAAGTGCAGTTGCATGGTAATTTTTAAATAATGAAATAGCAACACGTTTTAAGGGGTAAAAACACTGTAAAAATCTGAAATAAAGCGTTTTTTTTTTGATGGATGGAAAAGTAAGAGGATAATAATATTCAAGAATGTTATTAACCATGTCATTAAGTGTTAAAAAAAAAATAGTGCAAAATGACGACGTTGGAGCCATTCTCGCGAGGCGTGTTTTGAATTTGAGGCGCTCTGCGACACGCAATGTAACTGCCGCGGAAAAAAACAAACAATTTTCTCTTAATCTACGTGAGTATAGCTAGAGAAATATGTAGGGGATTTTTGAAACATTAATTTTTGTATGACTGGCGAGCATTTGAAGTAGAAAGTTCAATTTTGTACAAAAAATGAGGCAATCATTTGTCAATAAATAATGTCAAAATTAACTTATCGAAGATCCCGTACGTATTTCTCTAGCTATACTCGTGTAGATTAAGAAAAAATTTTTTCTCTTTTTCGAGATACAAATGCGTCACAAATTCAAAACACGCCTCGCGAGAATGGCTCCAGCGTTGTCATTTAGCACTATTTTTTTTTTTAACACTTAACGACATGGTTAATAACATTCTTGAATATTATTATTCTCTTACTTTTCCATCTATCCTGTGGCGCTTTACGGGAGAGTACGGGTCGACCGTAGGGAAACCCCAAGTGAAGGTCGCCACGCGGTCACGGGGAATCTCGTACGTGTATATTAATATCGAAACAGTTTTATCAATTTCGCTGTATGATTTATTGACTTGAATAAATTACATTCCTTATTTTTATCGGACCACACATCGCTTTATTTCAGGTTTTTACAGTGGTGTTACCCTTTAAATGACCACGACAAACAAATGGGAAAATACATTTGCTTGAAGATCTGAATATTTTGTAAGTTCAGTTACATGGTAATTTTTAAGTAACGAAATAGCAACACGTTTTAAATGCTTTATGCAAATTTAAATGTATGTGTATTGATACAATGGTATATTCTCTATGGCACTATATTGTGCCTTCTATGTCATTTAGGTAGAATATTTGGGTTTGAAGGAAAACATCAAAGTGCGAAGAGCCGGGTTTGCACACAGGACAGCATTTTCAAAATTTTTGCACAGATATGCAATTTTCACCAAGGAGACTTGGCCATGTTGGTCCGGCGATGAGAAAGAGGGAGTAAAATGGATATTAAGCAACCTACGTATCGATCAATCGCAGTATCAACTAGGAAAGACAAAATTGTTTATAAAAGTTCCTGAAACTGTAAGATCAAATTTTATTTTGAAACAGAATTTGTATCGCGCACTTTGATATCATTTTAATGATACAATGTCCGTAGCTTTTCATGTTGGAGGAAGCGAGAGACCGGAAATACAACATGTATGCCAGAGTGATTCAAAAGGCATTTAAAAAGTATTTCGCGCGTAAAAGGCAAGATCAACAAATACAAGAAGCAGCTGATTTACTGTTCGGTCATAAAGAACGCAGACGAGCAAGTTTAAATAGAAAATTTATAGGCGATTACATTGGATTAGAAGGCAAACCACAACTAATGAACTTAATTGGAAGAAGAGAAAAAGTCTGTTTCAGCGAAGTGGTAAAAAAGTATGACAGGAGATTCAAGGTACTTTTATACACGTATACAACTTTATTTGACAAAATATATTATGTAGAATAAATGAAACACGAATTGTAGGTAAGTAGAAGGGACCTTGTCCTGACCAATAAATATTTATACCTAATCGGCCGGGAACAAATTAAGAAAGGCTTGGAAAAAGGGAAGCTAGTGGAAGTTATAAAACGAAAACTTGCATTCAATCAAATTAGTCATGTTTCATTAAGTACTCTTCAAGTGAGTGGATTACATATATGATTATCGTCATTGTTGTTTATAAAAATAGAAATTATTAATATTTTATTAACGATCATAGGATGATTTCCTTATTGTTCACTCGAAAGAAGATTATGCCAGTTTATTAGAATTGATATTTAAGACGGAATTTTTAATTGCTCTTAGTAAAAGATATGTTGAAGATACTGGGCACATCTTGAATATAAAATTTAGTAATAAGTAAGACTTTTGTATACAATTATTCCGTACGAAATTATTTAATGGGCAATTAAAAGTATTTTGAACATAAATTATTTTTACAGTCTAGAATTTAAAGTGAAGAAAGAAGGTTGGGGAGGTGGTGGAATAAGACAAGTAATATTAACACAAATCGATTATGGTGATAAAGAAATTTTGAAACCAAGTGGAAAAATATTGAATGTCTGGATTGGACCAGGATTGCCATCTATTACAAGTATATTATTATTAGTTTTTAGTTTTTAGTTAAATCACTAAAAATAGATATTATACTAATAAACTTATTACTAAAATTAGGTGTATTTCTACCGATATTTCAGAACCAAATACTAACAGACTAGCGATGGTACCAATGAGTCGACAGTATTGTATTTCAAAACGTGCTCATCCGGTTCCACAATCTGTAACAGAAACAGTTGTAAACAAGCCAACCCGTCCAGCTCCAAGGCCTACACATTCAGAACGAAATCAAAGTTTGCCATTTGAAAGACCTACTTTGCACATGCCTAAAGCTCCAAGATCGTCACCACTTAACCGTCCAAATATTTCACTGATGCAAGTACAAGAGAAAAAATTCGTAAAACTGCCAAATAAAGTAAAAAATAATTTACCGCTCATGGGTATGTTTACTGATCCGAAAGGAGCAAGACGAGGTAAGTTATATCAGAATCGCTATTGATCGTTATTGGTTCTTCATTGAAATGAACATTTTCAATGTTCCATGAACAGGTTTATTGAAATTTCCTCCGCCGCCAACTGAACCACCACCACCTAATACGCCAACTATACCATCAGGATTTCGATTACCATCAATCAACAGGGACGAACATAGAAATAACCAAAGTATAAGCTTTAATAAGGAGATACAGACAGTTAGAGAGTACAATACTAAATCGGTGTCAGACAATACTAAAACGGAATGCGCATCTCGTGTTGTCTCAAAAAATAAAAAACCTCCGCAAAGACCAGTTCTTCCTAATCTACCCAAAGCCAAAGCTTTATACGATTACAATCCTCAAGATCTGGATGAACTAGAACTTAAAATAGGCGATATTATCGAAATACTTAAAGAACGTAAGTTGTGCCATGTATATACAAAATGGTTTATAGCGACACGCAACTACTCTATACTTGGAACTAACAATGATCTACTAGTTGATTGTTTAATCATTGTTACATGTTAACGTGAGCAACTAAATGCATTCATTTTTCTATATATTAGACGAAGGTGGTTGGTGGCACGGAAGATTGAGAGGGAAAACGGGGCTGTTTCCATCGAATTACATCGAGAAAGTATGAAGTTTTTCATACAAACTGAAGAACTCTCGTCGCAATTATTAATATTGTATATTCTGTACTTAGGAAACAAACTATGATTTTTAAACGAATGAAAAATTCGACTAGGGAACAAAATAAATTATGCGCGTCTAAAAGATGTACTTATGTTTTTCATTCTTAAAACTGCCCATATATTTTTATAGTACTTCGTCTATCGTCGTATAGTACAAGAAATTATTATAATCGTACAAACGAAAAATCACAAGTTCGAAGTTCTTTTGTTATCATCGTTTTCAAAGTAAATATAATAATAGATTTTAGAAACTGATACTTTAAGTAACCAGTTATTATCAGTAAAAGTTACCAATATTAATTTAATTAGTTTAGAGTATAATGTAGTTTTGAAGTTTAATACTACTGCATTTCGTACTGCGAAACGTGCTATCAAGATGTTGAGGCATGTTTTTATTTAATAGAGTTAGAAATGTGTAACACATTCCTTATGTTTTTTATTAATAAAATATTAAAATCATAGTATATATTTTCCATCCTTTTTATTTAACCGTTTGAGTCCCAGGGGATATTGAAAAAACACTGTCGAAGAATCCCGAACAGCGCAACGGCGCTTTCTCTAAATATGTACGAGAAGACCCAAGCAGCGCGATTGCACTTCTTTTATTTTATATCGACAAATCCTAACACAACTGTATTATTACATATGCGTACTGTAAGTTTATAAATATTTCAAGTTTTGTTCGATAAAAATTATTCAGAAGATAATAATGAAATACAAAATATTTTATTTTGTAATGTATTATTGCACTATTATGCAAGCAGTGAGCAGAGGTGCCAGAAAAGCACCGACGGTGCCCTACTCATACATGCCAGATCACGCGTAAGTACTTACGTGAGCTCGTGGAGTTTCAGAAAGTCGACAAAGGCAAACTGACGCATGCCTTCTTTCTCGATTTTCCGAAGCTGCCCGAAGTAATTTCGGACTGCCCCGTGGGAGTCGAGAGAGAATGCTCATATTTGCCTTCTCGCTCTTAACAACTGAAATCCGAACTCCCGTCAACGGCATACGATTTGGATTCTCGAGCCGAGATTCTCGACTGCCCAGGCATTTTTACTTTCCGACCTATGTAGGCGCACATAAGCAAAGAATCTATAATGAAAACAAATTTTGTAAAATTTATTTTACGGAAATACACGTTTTGAGACCCCTGATCATATTTTAATTATTGAAAAAAAAGGAAATTTTTTTCGTCGAGAATTCAAATCGTATGCCATTGACGGGAGGTCGGATTTCAGCTGTTAAAAACGAGAAGGCAAATGTGAGCCTTTCTTTCTCGACTCCCACGAGGTGGTCCGAAATTATTTCGGGCAGTTTCGGAGAATCGAGAAAGAGGGCATGCGTCAGTTTGCCTTTGTTGACTTTTTGAAACTCCACGAGCTCACGTATGCGTGATCTCGCATGTGTGAGTAAGGCACCGCTGATGCTTTTCTGGCACCTCTGCCGGTGAGCTAGCTTTTTTTTTTTGTACGTGGGGAAATCCTCATGGACACCCGCGGGCCCACCCGATGGGAGGGCCGGCGGGTAGTGCCGGCACAGACGAGATATATGAATAGACCTTTCACCTTATGGACTTTCGCGGCCGAATCTGACTGCCATACCGACCTGAAAATTCGGAGCTGATTTTAGCGGCCTCTTCTCATGGATGGCGGTTAGTTGAGAAACTAGGCACTGAATTAGTATTGATGGGCAGCCAGCTGAGTGTGTACGTAAATACATGTGAGTTGATTATGGGAGGGATTGGAAAAGACAGTGTAGTATTATCAGACAGCAGACCCGTGCCCAAAGGGAACTGCCCCACCACTCACACACACTAATGCCAACCACCTTGTATATGAGTTCTGGCGTTTCGTATAGCTTCGTAGATTCGAGAAAGGCGGCGAATGTGATTCTATCCTTCTTGCTCTCAACACAGCTGAAATTCGATCTCGCATATTCTCGAGCCGAGATTCTCGACTGCCTAGGCATTTTTGACTTTCCGACCTGTGTAGGCATATACAATGTATAAGCAATATATCATAATGAAGAAAAAATTACAAAAATTTGTTTTTACGGAAATACACGTTTTAAAACGATAATATTTTATGGACATATTTTAACCCTTTGCACTCGGTTGTCCCCTCTGAGGGGACATGAAAGTTTATTAGTGATTAAGGAGAATGAACTGATTTCACCGCAATTTTTTAAGAAACACATGTCTTCCTGTACTTTCCTATTAAAATGGGAAATATTCTATTAAAGTGAGAAATATATCAGCCGTTTTTACGTTGGAAGTGGAAGGATTATCGAGGATGGTCAGAGGCGTATGGTCGGATTCAAACACGTGGACAATAAACGTAACTATATAAACTATATTATTTAATGTTTACTAAAACTATTTAACATAAAGAACATAAAACGTAAACGTAAAAAACTATAAACGTAAAATCGAAACTTCACTCAAAGTCGAACCATTCCTATTGCTATCTTCGTTATAATCTAAATAAATGAACGTTCTTTGTCGGACAATAGAATGAATAATAAGCTACATATTCCAAATGTAGGCCAAAGAAACCGGGACTGCATTATTTGTTCCGACAGGAAAACACCAGGAGAAAGATGTCAAACAACATTTTATTGTGAAACATGTATAAATCAACCTGCTATGTATATTGGGAATTGTTTCAGAATTTACCATACCATAGAAAATTATGAGAAATAAATTTTTATTTTGTATTGTAAATATGTGTTCTTCAATGTCCATAAATACATATAAACCAAATTTCAACACAATGCCTTACTTGGTTCCAAAGTTGTACCATATAATATCACGACTCAAGGGTTTACGTTTTCGCGAGAAAGTAGCGTCGAGTTGCTGGTAGCTAACGTCCGAAAAGGTGCCGAGTGCAAAGGGTTAACTATTAAAAAAGACATTTTTTTACTACGCTTATGGACGTGCGTTCATATATTTATACTATTAATACGATTGAGTCTAAACAACCAAATGAATTTCAATGTAATTTTACATTAAGTTTTGTGTTCTCATTTCAAGGTTTGATACACGTTATTAGATCATTAGCATGATATTGTCGACGGAAGATTCACCTAAATAGCCTACATAATGTATTTGGCGAGTTCCATACTTCAGAATATTCGAACCTTTGACAACAATGCAGAACTAGATTTAGCTTGACACATTATACATTATTTGTCGTCGGTTGTCATGCCGACTAATACAAACAAGAGAAAAAAGCAACGATCGTGGACTGATGCAATACAGAGCCACAGACATGTGCATATAGACAGAATTCATTGTAGTAGTAGCGATCTTTTTGAAGAAAAATCTCGAAAACTAAGGCCGAGCGGCGGTTATATGTATAGGAAAAAGTTGCTCAAAATGTTGATTTCTACAACATATTCAAAAATCATCGAAATCTGTGAGACCCGACCTTTCCTAAATAATTACCTCATGTTCTTTCAATAATTCTCCATTGCAAAAATTCTACAGTATTCTTACATTATTTTATATTTTAAAATTTTCCCATGTTATTAGAAAGTAGATATACAACGAAAGTTATACAATTTATAGTTCCTAGCATGTATGACATGTATATGTATGTATATAACGCATGGTCGCTTCGTATGGAAAGTCAATGAATCTTCAAAAAGCGCCCAGGTCCGATTTCGAGAAATGTAAGGTCTGTCAGTCACGATGGCTTTTGTCGTTTAATGACGATTCGAACGGTTGGCGATGCCAGGCTTGCTTTCGAGAAATGTAAACGACGTCAACGATGCAAGAGCGAGAAGGAAAGCGAGTATCAGCCTGTTCTTCTCGGCTCTTCCGAAACTCAACGAACTCACGTACACGCAATTGAGCATAGGGTGCGAAAGCGAGGAATGAGGAGTTTCCGGGGCCCCGATGCACAGTCTGATTAAACTGATTTCGAGTCGCAAATACGTTTCTGCCGAGTTATTTTTTTAATAAATGATGTATTACAATTTAAAATAAAAAATAGAGAATTTGCGGTGTACGTATCAATGAAATACATCCTTAGGAATTTTAATAATCTTGAAACTTTTAAATACTCTTAATCGATTGATTTCTCCAATGAAATTAATCGATTAATGTCCAATGATGGACCCTACAGCTTTAATTCCGTTAAAAAATAATAAAATTTATGTAATTTTATTTTCTGTCTCACTTCCTCTTGTGTTAATTTCTGAATCTGTTGATAACATTGCGAGTGACACGAAAATGGTAATGGGGTCCCGGGACCCCAGAAACTCCGGCCGAAAAATTACATTACGTGAAACGTCTATTCATATATCTCGTCTGTGGTGCCGGACTCTTACCGGCTAAAACCCCACGGTGACCATCCTCAGGTACGGGTGCGTGGTCCGGTGAGCTAGGTAGCAAGCGGTGAGCTAGCAGTAGGTCAGAAGAGAGCGTTCGAAGCCCCGGCCCCCGAGAGGGGTGCGGTGACCGGGGGAGGTGCCCGCGCGCCGGTGTGAGGGGTCTGTTGGCAGGGGGGGACCGTGCGCCAGGGTGGGGGTAATTATTACCGACGGTCGGTAATTAGTATCAATGGTCGGTAATTACCAGAGGTTAGTAAAAAAGGGAGAGGTAATTGCCAGATGTCGGTAAAAGGGGGAAAGAAATTAGATCACAGACGAGATATATGAATAGACCTTTCACCTTATGGACTTTCGCGGCCGAATCTGACTGCCATATCGACCTGAAAATTCGGAGGTGATTTTAGCGGCCTCTTCTCATGGATGGCGGTTAGTTGAGAAACTAGGCACTGAATTAGTATTAATGGGCAGCCAGCTGAATGTGTGCGTAAATACATGTGAGTTGACTATGGGGGGAATTGAAAAAGACAGTGCAGTATTATCAGATGGCAGACCTGTGCCCAAAGGGAGCTGCCCCTCCACTTACACACACTAATGCCAACCTCCTTGTATATGAGTTCTGGCGTTCCGTATCTCTTCGAGGATTCGAGAAAGGCGGCGAATGTCAGTCTATCCTTCTTGCTCTTACCACAGCCGAAATTCGATCTCGCATAATCTTGAGCCGAGATTCTCGACTGCCCAGGCATTTTTGACTTTCCGACCTATGTAGGCGTATACAATGTATAAGCAAAATACCATAATGAAACAAAAATTTTTTTTACGGAAATACACGTTTTAGGACCCCTTGATCATATTTTAACTATTAAAAAAAAGACATTTTTTTACTATGCTTATGAACGTGCGTTCATATATTTATACTATTAACCCTTTGCG